TTTTTAATATTTTTCCTAAGTTTTGCTTGGCAAAAAAGACGTTTTTTCGACGCTGCTACACTAAAAAGTCTTAAAGATACTTTAATTACTTTTAAGCCAAGAAACAGTTTATTAGTTTCTATAAATATCCCTAGCTAAAAAGGCGTTTAATAATATTACTACACTAGAAGGACGTTAACATCTACTAACGACGTTTTAGCATAGGACTCGTACAATAATAATCAAGAAATACTTTTCTTACACCTCTAACCACCTTTAGTTACTCATTATATGGTATAAATACTCCGCTTAAAAGACACTAAGCCAAAATACTTGGCTAAAAAGACGCTACGTGCTCTCGCCTCTCACCCCCGCGCAGTTGTGGCCCTAGTCTCTATCGTCGTCTTCGCGTGTCATTCGTGGAGCGGAAGGTTTCCCGCCATATTTACAATGACTGACCAAATACCCAGGTAAGTAAATACTATTTTAAAGTAGTTATTGCAGTAAATAAATAATTTATGGGTCTCATAAGCGCAAAGCTTCAAAATGGTGCCCGGGAACGAAGACGTTTATAACGTTCTACCATGCGCCATGCCAAATACCTACTTACCTACCAAATAGCTATCGCGGTCGACCGTGGGTTTGCCGCCATAATTTTTGCATGATCTTAGATGTAAGTTAATTATTGATTAGGCAGCTTATAGTAGACGGAATTATTCAAATTGGGCTATTTTATTTTGCTGGCTTATTATTATGTCTGCGTCCTATGCCGATCTGGCGGTCCAGACTACGTACTCAAAGGTTAAGGATTCGAATATCGCATGGCCAAAACGTGAATATGATACTTTGAACTTGTTATTGGTTTAAGTTTCTCTTTCTTTAGGTGTATTGTGTGCACAGAAATAAATGAAAAATATAGATATTTGTTCTTAAAACATCGTTTATATATATATATATACATTATACAGTTTCAAATTTGCCATAATAATAAAGTGATGGTTAGTTTATAGCTAGATCATTTCATTGGCGTGAACATTGACCAGATCAGACTAACGAGTTTGAGCTTTATCTGTCGCTCGGTGTGTCCATCTACATTTTAGCATGTTTTTTTTTAACAGATCCAGAAGATCAGTGTTTTCATCACGAGCAAAAGCAATACTTAATATGGTAGGTGCTGAAAATAATTGTGTTACCACAATTTCGACATCACATGACAGCAAAGAAACAACGAAAATAAAAGTGGATACAAAAATTGAAAAGACAATGAATAAACTTTACGCACGGCCATACTCCATGACTTCCCAAGTGTTTGACAAATTCTGCGAGACTCAAACCACATTACGTTCTCACTACCTTCAAGATCTAGCAATACATGTAGATAACTTGAACGAGACCTTTTCTTCACGTAATACCGCCTGTGAATCATTACCTTCACCAAGTAAACCACGTATGCTTGAACTCAAGGATTTGACTTGTTATGAAAAAATGCCGTCTATATCTGAAGAACAACAACTGTGTGAAACTAATAATTTAAGAAGTCCGGCTGCACACTTTACCAATAGTTTTATGCCAGAATCACCATTGCCAAAATTAAATAGTCAGTTATCCCTTGATTTCGATTCTGATGACTCAGTTCGCGACAAGGACTATGTTCCCAACTCAAGTGATGATTCTGATGAAGACTTTTCCACTACATCTTCAAGTCAAAAGGTTTTGGTCAAAAGTAACTTACAGGCATCAACATCAGCCAGACATGCACCTCTCCAGCTACAGCAATCGGTCAAAACCATTTATAATATTATTTTGTCAAAGAAAAGACTTGATACTGTCAATGAAGCAATACACAAGAGTATAATTAACAATTCCGACTGCATGTCATCTAAAAACTGTCATTTAATGCCGGTCGATTGTCCATTAATAACAGCAAAGTAATAGTACAGTCTCTCAAACCAGAAAACTTCATAAACATTCCAAATTTGATATCAGATAGGCGTATTCAAAAATCCAACCCTAGAGCATATTTAAAAAACACGGTACAGGTAACATTTAAACGAAACGATTTTGACCTTTATTATAAAAATAACTTCGACGACGAATTTACTGCATTGCGTTTCATGAACGATAAATACCTGAAAAGTCCTCATATCATGAGTATTTCTTATCGTTCAACACCAAAAGGGATTGACTCTTCGAGAAAATCTACCATCATAGATAAGTTAGCTGCCATAATTCCTCCACACAAACTAACATTTTGGAACAATTTACCAGTAATTGATGTAGGAAATACAAATGAGACTGACAAATAATATATAATTAAGTAACTAAAAGACTGATTCAAGTGCCATTTTTTAATTTTAAGTAATAATTGATTTAGAATATTATAACGTTAGACATTAAAAATGTCAAATATTCATAATAATTTTGTTTAATTGTTTTGAAAGGTTTTGTTAATTTTTATTCAGGTGTTTTAATTTTCCAAGCCAGGATCTCATTTTATGTTTTAAATATCCTCTTATTTTTAAGTTTTATAAAATGTTAATAAACGAATTGAAAATATTTTGGTTTTTGTTTTCGAATATTCAGTCCTTAATGCATAACTAAAAAGCAGTTAAGATAAAAGTTTTAACGGTTAACGACCTTTAAGCGTAGTAAGTATGAAAGAAAATGTTCCTAAAAAGACACTAAATTCAAAAAACTTACCTATATGGACACTAAAATACTATAGTTGTAATATAGCTAAGACTGAATACTAAATGGAAATCGGAAATACATAAATATAAAGCCGCTAAGTAACTAAATGCCTTTTTAGCTAAGTAATTTTGAATAGTTTTTGTACACAAAAATAAAACACTTCAAGTATGTCGAAATCATAAGCTATAAAGTCGCTGAGGTGTACTTAGTGCCTTTTTAGGTAAGTATTTATTTAAAAATAACCAAGTTATGCACTGCTGAAAGGGAAAAGGTGTTTTTTTTCTATTTAAAACAAATTGTATTTAAACAAGGTTATGGCTATTAGTTTGTAAATTTAAAAAGCTATCTTTGAACGTTTAATATAATGTTTTACGACCAATGGTTTTCAAGTGGCATAGTTTTGAAATATTTACCGCGTTTTTCACTCATATCTCAAAATTTGATTTTGTGGCTTTGCGCCCTTTAAGTTAACGGACGGCAGAGCAGTCATTCGATGATTTTCCACCCTTAAAAAAATGCATCGAGTAGTGCCTTGCACTGCACTGCTCAATATACACACAATGAAAGAATTTTGATTTGCATTGTCACCTCCGATGAAAAATGAAATCTGTATGATAACCACACGCGTTTAGCATGTTGGTTGAATCCTAGTTCAGCACCTAAACAATGCCCTAAACGAAAACTTACCCCTAGAAAAGTGATGGTCACTGATGGTCTAGCGCTCGCGCTATTCTGATTCATCACAAATTCTTACCAAACGGAGTGAGCATTACTACGGATGTGTAGTGTGAAGAACTGAACACAATGATGGAGAAGCTGACACATCTCCAACCAGCATTGGTCAATCGCTAATCTCCATTGCTCCTGCATTACAACGCGCGACTTAAAGCTGCTCAAGAGACGGCATCCACGTTACAAGAACTGGGGTTGTGAAGCTCTCCGACATCCATCCTACTCACCAGTCACCAGACTACTTCTTTTTCCAGAATTTGGATAACTTCTTGGCGGGAAAAAATTTAATAACCAAGAGGCAGTACAAAATGCATTTGAAGAATTTGTTGTTACCCGTCCAGCTGATTGAAGAAGGGCATCAATAAACTGCCACTGCGTTGGCAACGATGCATTGATTGCATGGGTGATTACGTTGATTATACAAATAAAAAATACATGAAAAAATCGTTTAAATTTTTTCATACAAAACGGCAATTTCAGTAAATGACCCATTAATTTAATTGATTTTGCTGAAATATAATCGATATTCCTATTGAAACTGTAATTATTACTCTAAATAAATACTTTGATATTGTGTTGTGTTTATTTATTCAATGTAAGCATCTGAGATTTTCGGTGATTGCGATATATCCAGGTTGTTTTCAGCCATTAATCGCCTTAGATGTAAATAAACATAAACATTAAACGTTATAATTTCAATGTTATATGTCACATAAGTAAATTAGCCTGTCACTCATTTTAGTCTGAATTGGTAGTTAAGATAAATAGCTTGCTTCTATTAATTTTGGGTTTCGTCACTTCATATTTTTTAGCTTACTCTGTAAATAGAGTGCATTGTCGCTTAATTTTTTTCCCTTGTAGCCAATTGTAGTTATGAAGTCACTTAAATCATTTTTCCTGACTCTAAAAAAGGGCAGATTGTATTAAGCGACATTTATCTTTGTAATTAAAGGTCCGCTTTATTTAGAATTAGCATCAGCAACTAGATAATTTAATTTAAATTTCAATGCAATTTACCCCGTTCAAATAACTGCAGAAACGTTTTTGTTACGAATTTTTTTTCGAAATTTCAAACTTTAAAACGCTCTCCTGTAAAGTTGCAAAAATGTCGCTTAAACCAAATAGCCCGTTACCCCTCGATATATATATATACACACACACACATAAGTAACTTCTAGTTCAATAAATACCGTGTCATGAGTATGAAAGCGATAAAGTATTGTCTTTGTCACGTAGTACCAATCATTACAAGTTTAGTGCATATAACCATAGTATAAAGTCTTTATACTATGATATAACTATAACAAAATCTTTTGCTTAGCTAGCCTAGCCTACATAAACATTATAAGATGTGTGTTTTTGAAACTAAAATAACGGTTTGTTAAATAGAATACGATTTGCTAATAAAATTAATAGATATTAAACAGAGTTGCAGAAACATGAAAATAGGTACGTATGTATTTGGTGTTAACTACTTATTCATATTAAGGTTTGATTCGTTTAAAACCTAAGTAGGTAGCTCGCCGCCGTCTGAAAAGGAAACACAAATAATATTGTTTTAATTCTTATTTTCAGGGCAAAACCGTCATCCATTAAAAATGGCATCGGGAAAAGCTAATAAAAAGTAAGTACCTATACATACCCAACTATTTAAATATACATTACGCATTTGTTATTGTATCTTATTATATTGCACTTTATCTTCTGACGCCAATATATTATTGGCATTCCGATATGATCTGTACATAATAATGACACTGTCTTATACATACATGACAAGTATTTACCTAAAAATAACGGTAAGTAGGTAAAAATTTCAATTATAGGTAAAGTCAAACACGTCATTGTTAACACTAAGAACTTTTTTATTTGCACAGAGTTGCAGCACTGGCCATTGACCTGCCGGAATGTCCGGTTTGTTTGGACACGATGTGCGCCCCAATCTTCCAGTGTCAATCGGGACACAGCCTCTGTAATAACTGTACGCAGAACCTGCTGCCGCCAGTATGCCCAATATGCCGTCAAAACATGACGCAGATGAGGAACTGGCAACTCGAGGAAATTATTGCTAAGGTAACGTCAAACAGCTGATATTATGTCTACACAAAATATACCTAGATTAAATAGTTCGTGCTGTACGGGACCATTAGTTGAAAAAATCTAACAAAGTTAGGCATAACATTTGTAGACTTGGTCCATTTGTGTATGTTACCCAAATTGTTGTAATAATGTTGAATCTGATTTGCTTTAAACATATAGGTATCCCACTTAAACCTCTCTCTATTACCATAAAATAAGTAACTTCATTATTGCATTGATGATTACGCCTGATTACAACTAAAGCATTTATTAACTTATCAAAGTACATACTTATAATTACGTACCATAAGTGTTTGTGTGCACTCAATTATATTAGGTATCTACTTGTATAAGAAAAACTGATAACTACCTATCTCCCACACAGAAGGAAACCAAAAATAAGCAATTTCAAATGCATTTTATTCCAGGCAAAAGTGCCGTGTCCTAATAAATCATCTGGATGCGTGTACACCATGATGGCAGTGGATTTAGAAGACCATCTTAAAGAATGCATCTTCCGCGAAATGCACTGCCCACTCGGAGCTGTCTTCGGAAAGTGTTCCTGGACAGGTAAGAACAATATAAGGCTTGTTACCTTCTCTTTTCAGTACAGAGTCGCTTCAATGTTAGTCCTAGATAGTACTCGACACTTTTGGCCGACTGTGTTATAGGGAGGAAATAGCAACTTCAGCACCGAATTGTACAACGATTCAAACGATACGTGATACTCAAATAATTATTATATTTCCAGGTAAATTAAAGGATATGATGGAACACTTTAAGGATCGTCACGCGGAGAACTGCGGCGTCACCACTGATGAGGAAGTGGAACTTGCCAACGTCAATATAAAAAATGATGATCGTCATCTCTTCTTGGTAGCACAAGCCAAGTTTATTTTTATTGTCACCGTGAAAATGGATACTCTCCAGAACATGGTGTACTGGACCATTCAGCACATTGGCAGTAAGAAAGTGGCATACGATCATATTTATGAGATACATCTGCTAAGCAAGCAGACTCCAAGAAGGAAAATTGTATTCACGGAACATTGCTTCAATGATGCTGTTAAACCTGAAGAGGTATTTCGTGAAGGCAAATGTCCCATGTTGCCACTGGAGGTATTGACTAACTACATCAAAGACAAGAAATTGTCTTTCAGATTCTTTATCAAGAGGATCCCACCAGTTGTACCCAAAAGTAGTAATGATAAGGGGAAAAATGACAACAAACCAAATCCTGGACCGGGACCGGGACCAAAAGGTCCTGGGCCGAAGGGACCCAAACAACCAGATGGGAAAAATAAACAAAATGGACCGGGTCCTGCCGGAAAGAATCAGAAAACTAAAGCTTAGTTGTAATATCATGACTTATTTACTGTTCCACGTTTTCAATGTACTCGAAATCTGGAACCTTTCTACTAAGATACATTTATGTAACTAGGTCGACTCGTTACAATGAGGATTAGGTTGAGATTGGAGGCCAATTCTAATGATTACGTGCCGCACATTGGGACCCGTAATTACGTTATTCTTATATAAAACACGTGTACCTGATATAATAATAAGGCTGTCTTTAGCTGTTCGCCTTGCGAACGATTGCATTAGGAAAATAAGATCTTGTACACGAATTTAATCATCATTATTATTTTTTATATTTGATGGGCCGACCTTTGTCGGTGGCCGCATCATCGCTTACCACCAAACGAGATCACTATCTCATAAGTAGTGGTAAGCGATGATGCGGCCTATGATGAAGCACGTTCATCCTTAACCAACCTTTGTACTCGCTTTGACACCCCTTCACAGATACACCGAAATGTATCCAGTAAAAAACCGAAAGGCTTGTAAACTTACGCCTGTCTTCGAGGCTTTAAAGCCGGGCCTCCACAAGCACATCATTGTTGAAGAGCCTCTTGGCACGCCTCTCGATGGTATCCATGGTATGGTATGGTCCGGCTGGTATTTAGCCGAGCTGTCCCAAAGATGATAACAGCACTCCATACAGGATCGATCCTGTGCTTGGTACAGACAGGCTCATCAATTATTTCGGCTTGAAGTACCGCCTCACTCTCCATAGATTACAAAACTTCCTACCTGTTGCGCTATCGACTCTATATAGGAGCCAAAGTTGAGTGTGGGCGTCAGAGTTACGCCAAAAAGCTTAACATGATAAGTTATCGGAACGGATACATTCCGGAAAGTAAGCGTCAGTGAAAATTGAGTCCGTTTGGTGTCAACTTTCTAAACATTCCGCTAATCCGCGCATCGGACACATACCTTTCAAGAACTGCAGTCATCTGAATAGCCATAGATACCGGGTTTAAGCAGGTCGTTTATGTGCAGCAAAAATGAGTGTCGCTGAAAGTACTCCCCCCCCCCTCCTCTCAGGGGCTCCGACGTTAATACCGAATTGGTCAGAGGAGCCGCTGCTAGTCTTTGACGTCGATGGCTATTGATGACTATTCGAATTTACCGATCCCTCAGGAAGTCTGCTATCTATCTTCTCAGATCAGCAGGAAGTCCACATGCAGGAAGCTTGCCGGCAAACTATCGTGGCATACCCTGTCAAAGGCCTTAAAAATATAGACCGTGACTGCCAATGCCTCCCCGTGCCTCTTGATGGCCTCGCTCCAAATATGTGAGTGACGTACGCAAGAAGGTTCCCAAAAGTTCCCGCAGTTCTAAGGAGATTGTTACCTTCAAGGTATGCCCGAAGTCTACTGTTAAAGACTAAAGTACACGTTCCAATATTCTGTGTACAATACCAATGTACTAAAGCAATCAAATATTAATGTGCGTTCGCTAAACGGCAGCCTGCGATCACATTGGAGGCAACAGATTTGCCAACGAAGTGATCATGAATGTGTCAAAAGAAGTCCCTACTTGTTAGGTTACTTCTAGTGACATATATAAGAGTATCTTTGCCAAAGGCTGAGAAACTCAAATTAACACGTGATTTTTTAAATAAAGTTTTACAATACCTAATTAGATAATTATGATGTCCCATTGCGTGACACGAAAAATGAGTTTTGGTCTCTAATTAAAACCAATCACTAATGATCGATTTAGTTACGTTATATTTCGCACTTTTTAATTAGTATTTAGGTACCTGATTACGCACTTAGATTTCCACAAATTCCCCAATTATAGGAAAGGTTTTTTATATACTTTATATATTTAAGATTATATTGATTTGAGGAATTGTTTAAGTAGTTTGATAGAAATAAGGTTTCATTTTCGTTTATCGTATCAAGACATCGGAAACTTTGTTTTTTATCTCTTTAAAAAAGAAGCAGGTACCTACTTGTAATAGAAACAAAATACTAGATACCCACTAGGTTAACTCCTGCGGCTTTGTCCACCTGGAAATGAACACATTTCTCTTGGGTAGGTTCCGATCAAAAGAAGATTGAGTAAATATTGGAAAAAAGCAGAATATTTGGAGATTTTTTTTTCGATAGTGAAGAATTTTATTTATCGTACCATTAGTTTATCGTACCATTATTTTCGGGCCCAATTCTAATATTAATTATTAATATAGACAGGTATTCCACCAAGTACATACGGCCACACATCAATCTATACAAACCCAGTTTATCCTGGTGTCGCGTCGCATAATGTTTCCCGCGTAACCGTAACGCGTAACGTTCAGTTTATACTGGTAATGCGTGTGTACTTGCACTTTTTTCCAATTTTACCTACGAAGACGAAAACTATGATTATGGATATTATACATATTATAAATGATGATCATTGGTCACAATTTCTTTTTTATTTTTATTGACTACAAAATTATGTGAACATAATTCCTAAGATACCTTAGTTAGTTTGAGTATGATATATCTAGACTACCCTATGTAGGTTACCTACCTACATAGGGTAGTCTATTTTAGACATACCTATTTTAATTTTAATTTGTATTCTTGTATATTTTAATTAGTTACACATGATTAGGTAGGTACCATGTACGTAACTATATTATAACAGCTTGCATTTAGATTTAGAAAATAAAAACTAAAGTGATTATTTTGTTTTTTATTTACAATCACGGCACCTTTATGTCACAATATTTTTACCGACATCCTTAATTCCTTATTCCTTACTTACATTATAAATCGGAAAGTGAGTTTGTTTGTTTGTTTGTTTGTTCCACTATAACGCCGTAACTACTAAACCGATTGCTTTGAAATTTTGCAGACGTAAAGTTGGAAGTCCGGATTAAATAATAGGGTACTTTTTATCCTTGAAAATTTTTATATTCCCGAGGGAAAACAAAAATATTGGTATAGATGGCGCTATGTGTATTGGTATAGATAGCTTTGTATGTCATTTAAATCAAGTCAACGAATTACCTACTAATTGTAAAAATATAAAAAGCATGATATAACCGAATTCCACGCGAAAGCTAATTGTTTGTTTGCCTATCTTAAACGACAGAACGGAGGTACTAATTAACGTGATTTTTTAACTGAAGGTAGTTGAAGGGATGGATAGGCACATCACATAAGCTACTTTTTATCATTTTGTAACGCGAGCGAAGCCGCAGGTAAAAGCTAGTATATTATAACACTAAAAAGCACATAAATAAATATACTAATACCTTTTACCAAAGTGTAACAAATACTTTTCTGAAAATCTCCTCAAAATCGATTTTTTTATGGAAGCCGGTAAACGAGCTGACGAATCACCTAATGGTAAGCAATTGGCGTCGCCCATGGACACCTGGAACACCAGAGGCGTTACAAGTGCGTTACCGGCCTTTTGGGGATTAGGAGTTTGAGGATCGTTGGGGATTCAGGAATTGGGGAGATTGGGGAAGGGGAGGGTAATTAGGCCTCCGATAACCTCACTCACACGACGAAACACAACGCAATTACGCAAGCGTTGCTTCATTTCGGGTTCATCCAATCGCGAGACAACAGCACACAGACATACGTACAAATCATACTGAAAACCTCCCCATACCTAACCATTCTCCGTGTGAAAATAGACCTTTTCTCAGTAGTTGGACAATTATCTATAGATTAAATGAATAGACTGCCTCGATGGCCGAGTGGTCGCAAGTGCGACTGCCGGGCAAAGGGGTCTCGGGTTCGATTCCCGGGTCGGGTAAAGTATTACTGGGTTTAAAAAAAAATCTCAGTAGTAGGACGGAGTCTGGAAATGTGCCCGGTATATGGCAATAGGCTTCACCCCCTATTACATGGGACTCATAACACAAATAAGTAGTGAAAAGTGGGTGTTACTTCTGTGTGCATCTCTGTCTACCCCTTCGGTAATTAAAGGGTGTGATGTAAATGAAATAGGTAATAGAAGTTGTATATTGAAAATATTAAAAAATAAATAGCAGGATGTTACTAGATTCTTCAAAGAGCCAACAGACCACCACAGATGGGGCCCAATATGGTTGATGCAGATACCGAGCCGCTGAAAACTTAACGGGTTATCGGCTCAAAGTGCAGGAGTAGGAACGGGGTGGTTTTTAGTCAGTAAGAGTCTGACACTGCCTCTCGCCTCACCCAGGCGGGAGAAGTAATTAGATAAATTTTCTCGCTTAAAAAAAAATGGGGATTACTAGATACGACACCGAAACTGAAAATGTGGTTATAAAAATGTTTGTCTGTCTGTCTGACCGTCTCTACGTATATGTCCACGAATTACGCAAAAACTATCGGTTCTATTGCGATGAAACTTGATATAATTATACTTTAATGTCCTGGGCATCACACTGGATACTTTTAACCCTGAAACTATATAGATACACTAAGAAACAAATTGATTTGTGCGGCTCGATCCCTGGACTCAATTACTGTACCGAACGCAAATATGTGCAATGGACATTACGCTGTAACTGTAGCACCGATGGTCTAAATTAGTTTGAATTGCTATTATAAATGTAAAAAATTATGAGTTTGTGTGATTGTTTGTTTGTAATGCTCAATCACGTCAAGACGGCTGTAGGGACCGAGATAAAATTCAGAACATAGATAGATTATGGTCTGACCTTATCTAGAGTAGCATATAGGCTATTTTTAACCCCTGGGAACGCGGGCGAAGCCGCTGGCAGAAGTTAATTATGAACATTTTCGTATGTTATCTACTTAGTACTTAGATAATTTGTAGCAACTATAATTGTGCAACAAAACTAAATTAGTTAGGTACTTAAGTAGTGCAAGTACATTGGATCATTTAATACCCAAATGGTACCTAATTAGGTAAGTACCTCATTTGTGATTTTTAACACTGAAGTAATTAGCATTCCGTCATTAACGTTCCTATATATAAAATAAGGTTTTCTAAACGCTACCATAACCGTTGTTGAACTGCGATCCTGAGCATCTATCATCTACTTACTTGATTGAAATATTAATATTTACATTATGGAAAAAATGACGAAACATTTTGGTAAGTAAACGTTGATACATAAGCGCGATTAATACATACATTTATTTTGCTTGTCCTGGACAATACTTTATTAATAAATATTTTGTTCATTTGCAGGAGAGACCCGTCAGCCATCGGGAATTAAGCCAGTGGACTTCAATCGTAAAGCCAGGTACAGTACTTATTTGCTTATATTTTGTAATTTACGTTTCCTCAGCAATATTTTTCATTGCATTCTCGCCTGTCATTGGTCGGGATTATTCTCACAACCAATGGCATGCGATCGAGCTCACTTCGATAGTTCGAATTGACATCTTATAGAATAGTTTAGCTGTTCAAATTACACTATCATATTTTTGAATGGGGTTCTTGCCAACTAGTAAAATTCAATATATGTATTTTTCGAACAGTCAAAACAACAGTTTTCTATGTATTTTGTACGCGATTGTGTATTGTGACGTCACGGTTTTTTACCGACAAACACCATACTTATTTCTTAAAAAATGGTGGAAAAATACTAAAGTTGGTCATAAAATCAATTAATGAAAGTGTGTTTATTTTTATATTCTATTTGCATTGAATAGTCAAAATTATTTATTTTTGATTAAGGAAAGTACCTACTCAATTCTTAGCAACTAACTACCTACCTTATATTTTCATAATTTTCCCCTTACCCACTAAAATTTATTTTATTTAACAGACAGTACCCCGAGTGCCTGTGCATGGTAGAACTGAGGGAGCCGATTTACCAGTGCGAGTCGGGGCACAACATGTGCAGCAAGTGCACGAAGGAGACACCGGTGTGCCCAATTTGCCGAAAATCAACCGGGAAAATGAGAAACTGGCAGCTAGAGGAAATAGTTGCATATTATCGAGGTAAATTCAAAAATCTTCATATTTGTGTCCCTATTTTGATTTACCTAATTATATTTTAGTCTAATTTACTCAAATTTGGTACTTAGTTCCTTTTTTATTTGATTATGCTGAATTTCAGTTATTAAATTTTCGATAATCTAAATCATTGATGCGTATAACCATTGTAATTTATAAATTAACTACATTAGACAATAATTAAGCAGGTACCTACGTAGTACATAGTTAATAGTTTAGCACGCGTGCTCCAGTTCTAACGGCAATTCTCATTTCAGCCGAAGACAAATTAAAAGAGATGGTAACACTGCAGTGCATACTCTATAACGAGTGTCAAAAGAAAAGAGACTCCTAGCCGAATTCGGATGATGTCTAGTCAGGTAAGACATTTTTTACTTTTATTTCTTGTAGCTGAATGATAGACAGTGGTCTGGTTAATACACTACAATACAAATATTACATAGGTACGGGTCACCGTGCAACGTGTGCCTGACGGGCACTGTAATTGTTATCTACTTAATATTATATTTCCTATCACCTGTATGTTGTACTTTACTTCCCCTGTACTTATTATGAAGTATTATGAAGTGATTATGAACGTGTGGCAGATTTGATACCCGCACGGAACAACTCTGTGTAAGCCACTAGTTGTTGTTCCGGCTCTAGTGTCATGTCTACCTGTGAAATTGTATCTTTGTAAACGCACCACGACACAGAAACAATACCTAGTGTGGGACTTTATTTCAATCTAAGCTCCATGAATAGTTATAATACTGTGTTACTCGACCCAGAGGGTTTATATTATTCTATTTTCGGTTCCAGGCAAATTAAAGGACATGATGGATGGAACACTTCAAGGATGGTCACGCTGAGAACTGTGGCATCACCTCTGATGCGATGCGGGTGGCATGGCACGTCAAAGTTCAATGAATTTAGTTCCTTTGAATCAATATGTACCTACTTATTATGTTGTGATTGTGAATAAAACTTAAAAAAACATATTTTTTTTAATTCAGAACAAGGACAGAGTTGTGAATGATAATATTCATACTTAGTCTTCATGATAAAATCCATATTATTTAGAACCCTAAGGTAAAAAAATATTTTTCTCTACTGGCAGATTTCTTAATCTGTTAATCTAAAATAATATACTCTTATTTCACTGATATTTTTGACAGAAACTCCACAAAAAAATATCTTAATCCAATGATTTTGGAATGAGATTGAATATTAATGTCAGCCATTGTTTGTAGTGTTTAAAATGTCTAAATATGAATAAAACCTCAACCTGATGGCACAGCCAGAACAAATTAACCTTCAAACATTATAATGGGATGCTTTACATATTGGTGTTTAAATTGAAACAAGAGAATATTTTTAAGTTTTTATTTCCTTACACCTAGATGTTCATTTCTTAGCCTTGGCTTCTCGTGTGGCTTTCCTCTCTGCGGCACGGGCAAGCTGCTTTGCTGGTTTCAGGTTGCCTTTTTTGCAGAACCTTTGGTTCCTTAAGAACTTAGGGTCCATCTGTTAAACAAAGGAGTATTATTAATTTCTATTTCTTATGGTGAATATTTATGTTTACAATATACATAATGCCATTAACTTTGCTTACGAGAGTACTTAGGTTGCATAAATGTAAGATAGTATTCAATAAAAATATTTTAGGAGGCAAGGGCTATTTAGTTGCAAATTTTTTTTATTATTATTTTGCTCTTTTGACACTTCATGTGTGTAAACGTCCATGATCCATGTGAGACACAATATATTTTCTATTGTGTCTTATACATGCGGTTCTCATTCAATCCACAATCAGATGATTCGACTTTAATCTGTCAAACACCAAGCGGTCACCGGTGACCGCAACCTATTGTTCTTTAATTGTGTCTATAAAACCGGTACTCGACGAGTTAATAAAAAAAATGTTTGTAGTTGCAAAATAAAAATGTTTTATTAACAAACAATGTACTTAGAAAGAAACTTATAGTTATTATTTTTAATATATCAAGTGCAGTAAATCATTATTAGTATCGGAGGCTATTGTTCAAATACTTAAACACCATCCAATTTTAAGTCACATTTAAGTATAGTTCTGTCACTACAAATTCTTTGTAAAATGACAGTGATGGCACGATTTTTAAGTACAGCCTTTCATTATTCAGGCATATGAGTCTCAGAACTATGTATTCTTGTTTTATCTCATAACTTTATAATTAAATACAAAGATTCAATTTATAATAGACTATAAATTAATCACAATAAAACTGCTGCCTATTACGGGGATCATATAATAAGATGAGCCAATTGTCATATTAAACTGGGCATGGTTGTGATGATAACTAATTATGATACTTTTGGTATGAGATTTCACAATAGTACTGTAATAAGGGCTAATGACCGATTCGAGACTCGTATTGAGTCACACAATGTTCTAATAAGCACACTGAAATAACTTAAACATAACATCATAACATCACGCCTTTTATCCCCGAAGGGGAAGGCAGAAGTGTACATTATGCCACTGTACAATGTAACACCCACTTTTCACTATTTATGTTATGAGTCCCATGTAATAGGGGGTGAGCCTATTGCCATATATATAATAACTTAAAATAGGTACTTATATAGAATATTATATATTAATAATCAACACATCCAGCTTAGTTCACAAGCACACGATTTTAAGTATAAGTTCTTACTGACAAAGCTAAACAGTTTAGCTTACATAGTTGTGTTTTATTATTTAACACTTAATTATCTGTACTCAAGTTAGGGGTACATCTAATATAACACTTGTTTTTACATCAAACTTTAATCGTCTCACATTGAACTGTAACTTTTCGTAGGTAAGGTTTCCGTGACTCGTTACTAAAAGGAGGAGTAAACAAACACATTTTGCAATAAGAGAAGTTTGGAGGAGAGAATGCAGTACTTACGCCAAGGGTGGATTCGTGCCTCTGATTTGTAGGCTTTTTGATGCCATTCCTGTGGGCTTTGCGGTCTGAAATAAAAACAATTTCGTTTTATTTACAATTCTCAAAATCTAACCATACTTGAATAGAGACGTGTTGAATTTAACTTATATTAACTCGTCGAGTACCGTATTTATAGACACAATTAAAGAACAATAGGTTGCGGTCACCGGTGACCGCTCGGTGTTTGACAGTTTAATTATCGCAGGAACTAATACAATGTTTCAGATAGTTACAATCGTTTTAAATACTCACTTTGGTTGTGATTTGTGTGATTCTTTGACTTTGCCATTTCGTCAAATTGCGAGTTCTGAAAAAGAAAATAATATAAATATTACAATATTTGCCACTATCTTCCTCTACAGAACAATTAAATCTTAGTCAATATGAAAAGATTTTCAAGATATTTATGGAATTATTTTAAAACTTGCAAACACTAACCTAAAAACAGCAAGAGAAAAAGACAAGAGGAAAACAATCCGGCCTGAATGTCAAAAGCAAACGTAAAAATGTACAAATAAAAGCATTAGACTACTAGTGTCTCTGTCACTCTTACGATTTTGGTATATTGCTCTTTCGCACAAACCTACGGTTTTATGTTCAAATAATGAAATTGAGGACTGGAATACGCATAGTCAACTGCGTTCAGTGCGTTCCGTTTTATATAGATTTTTTTTAAATAAAATTACATTCAAAGCAATTATAATTATAATACATCTAGTGAATCTTGAATGGGTTTTGGCTTTCAAGTTTTGCGTTTTAGTAATGTGGTTCGTTTTCGTTTCATCATTTCATTTCATCAATTCGTTTCATCATTAATCATCATAAAAATGTAATTGTTTCAATAAAATGAAGAATTTTTTATTTACAGATAATAAAAACTTATATATAATAAATACTAACTATTACTAAACAAACACAACTTAACACAAAAATTGATTAAAATTAAAGTAAAAATAACTATTAAATGATGATTAAATGTCTCTAGGTTTTTATGTAAAGACTTGTATCTATGGTCAGGAATCAAATATAAAAAAAAAATATGAAAGATCCGAATTCCGAACGTCAACGTCCAGTTGTCATTGTCATATGACGTGCCAGTCAAAGCGTTATGTTCCATGTAGCTCCGTAACGAAAAATGGTTGTATAGTATAAGCAAAGTACGTTTACTATTTACTTGTTTCAACTGATACCCAAACAACCGAACGAGTAAGGGAGAAGAACAAAAAATATCATGACATTAATGTAGTTATTGTCTGACCTAGAATGTATAACATGTGTCGTGTTGTCTGAAAGCTGTCTTTATAAATTAAAATAAAATCGAAATAAAATATCGTAAAATTAAATTAAAATAATCAGTAAAATTAGTGGCAAGTCACAATGGTTGTGTTGGAAGGTGATTCCGGAGATGCTAAACCTATAACTTCCGAAGAAAGTGATAAAGAAGTCAAGTCTCCAAGACTGTTATCATTAGAAAGTATCCTTTTTAACATGCATATATCTTCATATTTTAAATGAAAAAATGTTATTCAATTATTTTTCATACATAATCACTACCTATAAATTCAGAAACTGGTGCTTAAAATCGAATAAATTAATGCTATCTCTATCCTAATAATAATCTTATTGGTTATTCATAAAACATCTGCAACTTTTTATTTCCATTGCCTGCATGTGGTTATTAGCTGTTTCTGTATAAAGGTCATATAATCTAGCTTTTGTAGGCTAAAGTTTTCTAGTGAAAGAGTTCAAGGTTTCTATTTGGTTTACAAGAAAGTTAAAAAATATGTTTATTAATGTTCATGTACCTTTTTCAGTGTCAGATAACTCGTTTGATAGTTAATTGTGTTCTGGTTTAAGTCTACATAAAGTTACAAAATGTAATAGTTATGGTATACTATCAATTAAAATTTTTGATACAACAAATTATTTTCAAGAGTGAGGGCATTGTATAAGACACAGAGCATACACAACTTACGTTTTTTGCATGAAGTTCTTAAATGAATGCTCATAAATGTATGCTTCGAAAATCTGAAATTAGTTACAAAGGTGTTTTCTAGAATAAGTTTGTGTTCAAATACAAACCCAATATGTTATAATAGAATCAGAAATTCTTTTTGAATTAATTAAAGTAATAATTTATTTCTGATTAGACTATGTATTCTTAATCTTAAACTGTCACACACTTCGAGGACACCGGTGACCGCAACCTATTGTTCTTTAATTGTGTCTATAATGAAGGTACTCAAAGGGTTAATTTGTGTATCAGCAATCTATGTTTGTGTTAGATAATGTTTCTTGAACTAGCCAATCAGTATTCCGCATAACTAAGGATGCCCAACAACAGCATGGACTTCGCCATGGTGACTACCAGCGCTACAGAGGATATTGTTCAAGGCGTCTCAGGAGACTGCGCAAAGTGCTCAAAATACCACAGGTCTGTACATTAACATGTTCACTGTGTTAAAAATTTTTAAAGGCGAACTGCTGCCCTTTGGCACTAGTGATGTGGTAATCTAAGAATCAAATGTTTCACATTCTACATTGCTAATAGTCAGTCTCAAACAGTTTTAATAACCAACACTTAGCGATAGATGTGGCACTGACAGAATTTGTGTACAAGTAGTAACCAAAAATTAACGTTGTTCACTTGGTTTCGACAGGGCGATAGACGTCACTACCGTCGTCGTGACGTCACAACCGTGCACTTGACGGCGACATCAGCCGAAGGCCGTCTTCTTTGCGTGCCCTTACTTCAAGCTGAGAGAGCTTGGGCACATGCCATGCAGCTAAGGCAAGAGGCCAATACTGAGCCTAGGAAGAAGTTCCATCTAGTCTCCCGGCTTAAGAAGGCATATGCTCACGCGCAGACTCTTCTGCAGTTGTGCGAGGTAAATAACTTACTTTTTTATCAATATTCTTTTCTATGTTGATCGAATGGCGCAAGGGATTTCGGAAGGATTAATTTCTTTTTGCGATATTAAAAGTTGACAGTTACAGCAACAATTCGGGTTATGTTGTAATTGCATAGATATTCATTTAAATATGAACCTGGTTACATCTATAGCAAAGTGGAGTTTGCGACGCGCGCACGCAGCTGGAGGCGGGCGCGTACGCGGCGTGGTTGGGCGGCGCCTTACTGGTTGAGCTGCAGCAGTGGCGCCCCGCCGCGGAGGCGCTGCATCGCGCGCAACTTGTGCTCGAGAAACTATGCGCCGCATTACCGGAGGACGAGCGTTTGCCATACAAGCAGAAGGTATTAAATATGCTTTCAAATGTTCCCTAAAAGACGAAATTATCCCCAATTTTAGTGAATGGCTAATATTAACTGACACCAAATTATTGAAATCACTTTTAAAGAGGGTTTTATAATTTTGTTTATACATTTGGAAAATCAACAGCTATACAATTTCATTAAATAGAATATCGTATGCAACAAAAAACCAATAACTGGTTTCCACGATTAGTAACAGAGAGTAGAAACATGCCAAATTGCCAACACATTACTCAAATTACTTATTAAACTTATTAAACCACAAGCAATCTATAATGATGCATAACTTGCTCCACATATTACGGACCGTATAGGTATCCACTATGAATTAAAGAAATCAAGGTTTAGCTGCATACGCAAAACAAATCTTTACTGAGTTTATTGAAATCATTGCTCGCTCGCACAATATACGAATTACTCCGATAGTCTATCTGCCTCTTGTAAAATTGATGTCTTCGTCGTTTGTAATGGAAGATGACTTTATATATAGGTGGAAGAACTGAAGCCTAGCCTTCGTTACTGCGCCTACAACATCGGGGACGAGTCTGCGGCCGGCGACCTCGTTGCTATGCGCGGCCAGGGACTCATCGAGAACTTGGACTCACTCATGGCACAAGCTAAGTTAGTACTTATTAACGATAAAAATTAAAATTTAATAATCAATATCTTATTTGAAAATATGGCTATGATGATCGTTTTTATTACAGGGAGTCTCGCTCTGGTGTGATGCATGAAGTGGAATGGCGCGGACGCAAGGTAAGCGTGAAGCCTGAGAAAGTGCGACTCTTCCTCATCGCGTTACAAGACCTTGACAAGTCTGTCGCCAACGCAGACTCTGTCCAGGCCAAGATCGATATCCTCGAGAATATTCTGATGGACTGCAAGGACGCCATATCAGCCATCAAGGATGAAATCAAAAGCGACCCCAAGCTGAAGTCTGCTTCCGAGATCCAGATGTCTGGCATCAACTACTTGCTGTCTTACTTGATGTACCTGCGTTTGATGCGCACTATCGACAGGAACAACTTGCTGGTCCAGCAGGCTGAGGAAGCTCGCAAGAACAATATACAGATCGACGGCAAGAAGGTCCGGCCCCAGGACTTGACGAGACTCTACGAGATCATCTTGCAGAACTTAACTGAGTTGCAGCAGTTGCCTGGATTTGAAAACGACGCGGCGTATCAACAGGAAATCGAGACATTGACTAAAGCATACCGTGCGTTCCGTTGCTACTACATCGCTCAGGTACTCACCGGACTCCGTCGCTTCAGAGAAGCTCTCGCTATGTTGGAGAGATGCAGCAACTACTCCGCCGAGTCGCTCAAAACCAAACTAGATGACAAGCGTTTGGTTGAGAAGTTGCAAATGTTGAAGAAGGACATCGAGAGCTGCAAGTTTGAGGTCCATGCTGACTCTGTGCTAGAGGATGATGAAGATCAAGATGAGGAGACGAAGTACACGAGTGGCAAGTCTTACAAGGATAAGAAGCCTCTAGTCGATCGTTTGGACGAGTACAGGGAAGACACTCAAGTCCTGACAAAGAACCCTAACGTCTACAAAATGCCACCGTCGATGGAAGCCATTCCTTGCAAGCCATTGTTCTTTGACCTGGCATGCAACTTCGTAGAGTTTCCGAACCTGGACGACAAGACCGGTGCAGCAGATAACAAGAAGCAAGGCGCCGGTCTCACCGGACTGGTCAAAGGATTCTTGGGATGGGGTAAAAGTGACAAGTGAACATAGATTTATTTATACATTTTCATTGGTTTTACTATATACCAGGATTTGTTTTTAAAGGTTCAAATTATATACAACAACAAATTAGTCTCTTTATTTATTTTTGAATTGTTTTAATCAATCAATGCCCCTCATCAATGGTCATGACATTGGTCTCGGGTTCGTAGTCAGGATCGATCATTCGCGTCTTAATAATGTGTTTGTAGACAAAAGCAGACTTTCTTGGCGTACGAGTGAGTTCGGGATCATCGTAATCCACTTGGTATAAGCCGAAACGTTCCCTGTAAACAATGAAGATATTCAGTATATTTCTTATATAAGAACTTTACTTTAATTTGAATTTTCAAGAAAACTTTAGTTAGAACATGACTGCACCGCTGGCGCGCAACGTGGCGCGGGTTCGATTCCCAAAACGAACACTCGCAAACTCTGTGTAGGTAATTTAAAAATTGTTGTTCCTGGTCTGGGTATGATGTGTATGTGAATATTTGAAACACACCCATGATACGAAAAAATCTTTCTATAGGACGAAATGTTAAATGACGCTCACGTGTATCCAGCTAGCCATTCGAAGTTATCCATGAGACTCCACGCGTAATAGCCCTTGATGTTGAGTCCGTCGTCCAAAGCGTCTAGCACGCCCTCTAACGCAGATCTATAGTAATCCACTCGGTCATCATCATCTATGCCTCCGTATGACGACCAACCATTCTCCGTAATATAAATAGGAAGATCCCCATATCTTTTCTGAATTAGTTTCAATGTGATATACATACTGTCTGGCATTTTCTGCGAATAAATTAATATTACATTAGAACTATGGCAAGTATGGCAACACTAAATAGTATAAAATAAAGTTTTGTTTCCGCTGTGTATCCCTATGTATATGTATGCTTTTTGTAAGGGGGGAAAATCATCGAATGACTGCTCTGTATCAGACTCTTAATGACTAAAAACCATCCCGTTCCTTCTCCTGCACATCGAGCCGGAGCCCCGGTAACGGTAACCCGTTAGGTTCTCCGCGACATGTATATGTATGCCTAGTTTGTTAAACCTACGCCACGGCTACAGAACAATACAGATAGAAATCACATGCAATTGTATTTTATGTTCGTATAATAAACCGCTATTTATCTTACTAACTAGCATCTCAAATCTCTAATTTCGATTGAGATAGTGTCATTCGTAATATGATGTACTTTATATTCTTGTAAACAACAACAGAATGATAAAATTTATCATAGTGATATCTCCGTCATAGTGACACTTGAATCTTCTGCAAAGAAGATAACATTATACCTACGAGGAATATGAAACTGCATTTAATAAGTAGGTAGCTGACGTTAATAAGTTGATAGGACCTAGGTACCTACCTACCTACAGAACTATAGTTCATTTTCAATTTTCAACTTTATTGTTTGGTTATAAAGTTCAAAGTCATAAAAAGAATTTAAAAGCACATACTTGGAACCATGCAGACGCAGACTGAAGCCAGTCATCAGGTATCATTTGTCCCACTTCAATATCGTCCAAAGATGATGGTACGGCGTACTGTGACGTATACAGAGAGGACGAAACCAGGGATCCAGTGTAATGGTTGACGCCATAGAAGTCGCTGGTACCACGTATATAGGCCTTCTCTTCCTCCGTAAAGTCAATTAGTCTAGATCTTGGGAAGCCCTGCGCTGCGCTTTTTTTAGCAACTAACTCCAAAAGCTCTTTAGGGAATCCTCCGTCTTTAGAAAACACGGGGTCGCTGTATATTGCCCACTGGAAAGTTTTAATTTTTTATAAGATGAATAAAAAGTAGCATAGATATGTAATTCAACAGAAATTCAAAATCGTTATTAACACACAGGGGAGCCATGCTTCGGCACGAATTGGCCGGCTTCTTATAGACAACGATAGCAACGAAATAGTGTTGCGGGAATGGCGCCGATTGCTTACCATCAGGTGATCCAAAAATTTCGATCATCTGATAGTGGGCGCAAGGTACATTTAATAACAAACCTGATGCTGGGTCATTAACTCCACGGCATATTTATCTTCTTCAGAATCCGTGAGAGGGGCTACCGAGTCCATGGCGAAGGTGTAACCACACACTCCACCGTATTTAGGCTTGTACACATTGTTATACAGGTGGTACGCTTTGGCGTGGGCGAGGGCAATGTGTCTTGCGCATATATACTCGCCGATTCCCGTTGCATTCAACAATGGAGCCTTTATATCAGTTCCGTAGCCGTCGTAACAAACTTGTCCAGGCTCGTTGATTGTGATAAAACTCTTAACTCTGTCGCTAAAGCTCTCGTACACGACACGAGCATAATCCTCGAACCAGTCAACAACAAGAGGGTTCAGCCAGCCGCCCAGCTCTTGAAGTTTTTGAGGCAGGTCCCAGTGGTACAACGTAATTATAGGATCGATGTTGTATTTGAGTAATTCGTCGATAAGGTTATTGTAGAATTGTACGCCAGCTTCGTTGACGTGGTTCGCGAAGCCAGAAGGTAATATCCTAGACCACGACAAGGAGAACCGGTACGAGTCGATGCCTAACTCTCGCATCATTTCTACATCGCGCTTGTACTTGTGGTAAGAGTCACACGCTACGTCACCAGTGCTTCGGTCAACAATTGCATCTGGATTATTGTGGACTAAATAATCCCAGATGTTTTCGCTTTTCCCTGAAATTACAAAGCATCTAAAATCACGCCTGTTGTTTTTGCAATTTCGCATGCCTATAATTCGGGTCCTATTAGAAGAAGGAATTATCCTATACCTAACAATATTTAAAGCAATCATCAGAGCAAGAAACACGCAGTTACAGTGCACTCCGTCTTAAGGTAGCCTAAGACGGAACATTTCAAAATCCAATCCATATTAATTAACCATATATCCAATCAATATTATAACATTATTATGCAGTGCTTTCATAAACTAAAATTAGGCACTATTTTGCTGTTAAGCTAGTAAAGGGAAAATAGAAATAGAAAGAAGTAGTATATGCTCTATTCAGTTGATACCTACCATCTTCATCCCATGCTCCCTCGATTTGATAACTAGCAGTAGCAACTCCGAAGACAAAGCCATCTGGGAACTTCCTGCCTTGTCTTACCTTACCACATGTTACTGCTACTGCAGAGCTAATAAAATATTTTACTTATTAATAAATCCATTAAAAATATATCATATCAGTCATAAAACGTCCACTGTTGAACATAAGCTTCCCCCAATTAATTAAATTGATACAAAAGCGGAGTGAATAGAATATTAGGACATTGTTCTTATATTATAATCTATTCATCCCATGTTATCGTACCTTTTTTTTTAATGGGACAAGCCCGCCACAGCCTCTCAAAACCGCTGCGACTCCTGTAAGCCAGGATCTACAGTAGATACAACCATGAAAACGCCGGAACACTGAAGTCCGGCGCGTCGCAGGGACATGGTAACTGTCTTGGTTCCCGCAACGAAGTGAATCAGAAGATATTATAAGAGAAGAAGAAAAACCTATAGTTTCCACTTCCTTCGGTGAATTACTGCAGGAGACAGAATGAACTGGACCGTACCTACCTAATGTACGGCCAGTACATCAATTTACTTTGCAGGTACGAAAGTAGATTGACTTGGTACAGAGACAGTAGCTATTATTATACTAAATGTCCAAATACTCAAACGCCACTAAATTTCAAGTCGCGCTACGCATAGTTCTGTTACTACTGCACGGTTGGTGCGGTGGCTGGGCAACCGGCTGCCGTGCAACGTGTCGCGGGTTCGATTCCCGCTTTGTGTGATCCACAAATTATTGCTTCGGGTTTGGGTGTTATTGTGTATGTGAACTTGTATGTAAACGCACCCACGACACAGGAGAAAATCCTAGTGTGGGGGCAACGTTTTATTAAAAAAGAAAATAAATATACAAAATTCTTTGTAAAATGACAGACATGGCACTATATTTAACTACAACTTAAAATTGAGTAACGTTTAAGTATTCGGGCATAATTTATTTATATAGTTTTTTAACCAGACCATCTTCTGTAACCATTGGTCGGTTCAGTAGCCAACCAGTGGTTACTGTCTCTGTACTGCATAAATCTTAATTTTCTTACCTGCAGCTGTAGCCAAATGCCATTTAGACATGTAGAATAGAAAACCAAAATGGGATTGACGTAAATTTTTACCATACATTTAGTTTCCTACTCTCTCTGTAGACAAGCGCTATAATGGCGTTTGGATAAAGGCACAGTGCCAGAAAACCAAATGTAAGGGGATGCCACTGAAAAAGTGTCAAAATTTTCGACGACTCCATATAAATTGGTTTTCTAGTCTTCAAGTCAAGTCACTGATATGATACTTCAAGTAGACAAATGCCAGATAGCATTTAGCTACAGCTGCTGCTTATTAAATAGCTATGTTGACTTTCAAATGTATTTATCTCAAAAAGAAACTTACCATAATAACAACACGAGTAGCTTCATTATGTAACCATGCAGTATTGCGAGACCACCAAGACGCCGAAACATATTTATAGGCATCACTTATCAGTATCACTCATCTCTGCTAAACCGATCCGGTATTATGACACATGTACTTGAATCTATCTAGATTATAATGGTTCGGTATCATTTGTACACACGACCTGTCGAATTTATCAATTTCTATCTTTCTGCAAGCCATGTGAGTTAAAAACCAGTTACTATCACGACTGTAAGGAAATGGCATCAAATTCATATTACATAAACATAATGTTACCCCAATTTAATAGATTGTCAACTTTATCGTTCATAAAATAAAGTAGATTTTTTATGATTATATGATGTGTTTCACATTGATACGCCGACAGGGATCCACTTCTTATCCATGATACGCGGTTGTTACGAGTTCTTGGTACTATCTACTCGTTCAAATCTGTGTGAAGTATCTACAGAGGATATGGTCGGTCCATAGTCTCGTGTCTAAAGAGTCGGGCAACACGAAATAAATACGTTAGTTTGTAATTCTGTTTATTATATAAAACAGACATCATTCACTAGTATAAATTCGTTATTTTAACGTTAACTGAAACTTGTAAGTTGAGATCGTTTATAACTGAGTCATAACATAGTATCTCTTTAGTTTAGATATTATTGTTGCTGGAAGGAAGAGAGCAATGGTTTTATCAAACAAAGTTTGCACTTCAATATATAATTATATATAAGAGTATGTACATACGTCAATATAAAATTTTAGCATTGTATCTATACAATGCAAATAAATGTATTACATACACAAATGTTTAAAATTAAGATGGACTGATATTTTGAAATATAATTTAGCACAGGGGTCGCAATGAAACACTAACAATAATCAACAAAAATATTTTACACAAAACTCAAGAAACGGTTCTATTTAACGTACAAAAATATAATAAACTTTGAAATAATATTTTACATCATAACATTTACATTTTACAAATCACATGTCGGCGTGTTTAATTGCGCTACTGTAGATTTATATGATCACATAATACTACACAGTCAAAGGAATATTCAGGCTAGCGTTACGATACTGTACTGAGTACGGTTACAATGACCTACTACGTCGCGTGGAACAATCGTCTATGAAATAACTATATAGATATGTACAAAAAATAGGTACAAATAAATCCCAATTTTAACATTGAACTTCGAGGTATAGTCTTTATATCTCTGTCGATGTCTGTCGTCCGGGTAATGTAAGACATTACTGAAACGAATCACTAGTAGCGAACAGTTTGACATGAGCGGGCGCGGCGCGCTAGCGAGGCGCGGAGAGCGCGGGCCAGTGGTGCGCGTGGTGCGGCGCCGCGTCCGCCGGCTGCAGCAGCTGGCCGCAGACTGCGCACACGGCCAGCCCGTGCGCGCGCGACACCACCAGCTCCTGCTGCTTGGCGATGTCGGGCAGCAGCGCTACCAGCTCCGGCAGCACGTGCTCCCACTGCGCGCCCAGCGCCGCGCGGCAGTGCTCGTGGAAACTGCTCGGCGCTGATGGAGCTGTCGCGGAAGGCGCGCGAGGCCACCTTGAAGTCCTCGACGGCCGCGTCTCCGCCGAGCGCCACCGAGAACTTCTTCACGAGCGCGCGGTTCCTGTGCTCGAAGTTGGGCGGCGGGATGTACGTGTGTAGCGGGGCGCTGAAGGTCTGGCCGGCCGAGTTGGTGAACGTCATGCCGTCGCAAGGCGGGCGCGGCTTAAAACCTGGCGGGACGCTCCCGTTCATCATCTTCTTGTTCGGAATACAGTTCTCGCTTCGAGAGCTAAGCGGCGGGTAATCCTTGTCAGCTAAACTAAAATCTCCATTGCCTCCGTTTCTATTCCGCTCCGGATTGACTGTACCACTGGGTACAGTGTCCACGGTCTTAACCTTTTTATCTTCTACAGACTGAATATTGTTGTTAGCATTGACGGAAGCGTACGACTCCCTCAGTAGCTTCTTATCGTTGGTTCCGTTGACATTATAAGCGTCCAATAAATTTTCCTTTTTACTATTTTGTTTCTTTTTTTCCTTTTTACTAAGTTTAGTGTTATCATTTGTGTTTTGAGGTGGCGGCGGTTGTTGCGGCGGTTGTTGAAGCGGTTGTTGCTTCTTCTTGGCCTTGGATACATTGACGGGTAGTGTGGGGAAGTCCGCGACGGCGTTGAAGCTAGGCTCGCGCGGCTGCGGCGGCGGCTCGGGCTTGCTCGGCTTCTGTTTGTCTTTGGACTTGGACACCGTGATCCACTGCGGCGGGGCCACGGGCGCCGCGGTGGACGACAGAGCGGGGAACGCTTCCGAGCTAAGCTGGGCTTTCTTTGGGTGTGAGTGGACGTGGTTATGTTTTAGTGCTTGCATCTCTTGGCTGTTGATAATAGCAACCTGGAAATTTCAAACCAAACGTAAATATATACATCAAAGTGAAGATGTATATCAAGGGCAATATCTTGTTATCGACGCTTACTTTAGGCGCTTGTACGGTGGCGGCGCCGAGGCTGGGATGGTCGTCTCTGGCGAGGCCGAGAGAGGGGAAGTCGTCATCGTTCATCATGGCCGGCGGCTTCTTCTGCTGCGGCGGCACAGATATGCGATGTCCACTAGTCTGCGTCAGTCGGAAGTTGCTGGCGCTGGCTGGCTGGCTGTGCAACTGAATTGATACGCTGGGCTTACCTGGAAGAAGAGAAATCACAATATTAATATTTGAAAAAGTTATTACAAGGACTAGGTACCTTGAATTACTAGGAGAAATAGGTATGTAACTAGGTTAGTCCTAGTAATTCTAAAGTAAGGAATTGTTATGAGACTTATGCTATTTATAATTATACTACATTATTTTTACCTAAAAGTTGAAAGAATTTTTAGCACTCTTTTCACTTGTGACAAGAGTAAGAGCAGATTACGTTATTACTATCTTTTATTTCGACTATTTATTGAAACAAATCACAGCTACCCACATAAAACTTTATGTTTAGAAAATAATCCGTATACGACCTTTAATGCTGCCTCGTCGCAAGTGGTCGCGACTGGTCGCAAGTGCGACTGCCGGGCAAGGGGTCTCGGGTTCGATTCCCGGGTCGGCAAAGTATTACTGGGTTTTTAAAAAATCTCAGTAGTAGCACGGAGTCTGGAAATGTGCCCGGTATATGGCAATAGGCTCACCCCCTATTACATGGGACTCATAACATAAATAGTAAAAAGTGGGTATTACTCCTGTGTGCACCTCTGCCTACCCCTTCGGGGATAAAAAGCGTGATGTTATGTCAAGACTTTCAATGCTGTAGTTGAATAACACTTACTGTTTCTAACGATGGTGGCAGCCACAGTAGTAGGTGTCGTGGCGACGGGCTTCGGAGCTCGCGAGGGCCCCGCTCCGTCCAGCGCTGGGAAGTTCTTATCATTACGCAGCAGACCATCCACACCTGCCAATGTATTAACAACTTTATTAATATTTTAATAAGTGTCAGTTTGTTTTTAATAGTAAAGTATAGGAACGGCGAAAATTAAGTTTCAACAAAGTAATGTTATTTTGTTGTGTAGAAGCTTTGGCTTTGTAAATTTAAATCAATTTACTATACACTGATAATTAATCTAAATGTAAAGAATACAAATCCTGCATTTCTTTGTAAACAAATTAGACAAGAATACCGTTTGACTTAAGTTTAAAGGTAAAGGTAATAGCTGACTATAATCTCTGTTTTTAATCATGTATCAACATAATCACAATTCACGTCAAGTGGGTGTCAATCTATATATATTATTTCTTCTATGGGTGTGTATGTCACTGAACTTCTCTCAAATGACTGGACCGATTTCGATGAAATTTTTTGTGTGTGTTCAAGGGGATCTGAGAATGGTTTAGATTCACAAATCAGCCCGGCAGATGGCGCTGCAGTCGATGTTTAGGTTATTTATCATAAACAGCTGAACTAATTTGAATGAATTTTTGTTTATACATTCAAGTGGATATGCAGGACAACGACTGTTGGGTCCGCTAGTAGTCTATATATAATTTAAAAATCTTAAGTTTGGCACTGTTGCTTGGTTGGTAGATAATTCAACACTCATTTTTATTAACAACTTACTTTTATAAGCGCGTGTGGGTGCGGAAAGTACAAGTCCAGGCGCCGGGGGGGCGGCAGACAGTCGCGGGAACTGCTCCACGCTCCCAGTGTCGATGTTCGCCTGAGTCAGCGTCGGCGGCGGCGGGGCTAGTACGGGCTCTTGCTCTCTCCGATCTCTGTTCTCTCTGTCTCTATCCCTATAATGATTTGCATAGGAATATAACCTTTAATATTGTGCATTTGAGTAAGAATTTCATTGTGGTGTTTACTGCGTACCAGTGCATTATTTAGGAATATAATTCAGTGGCATTAAGTTTAAATTTTGTGTCCAAAAATATATTCACCATTGAAGTTGGAAAACTTGAGGGTAAAACGGTGTTGTCGACTATATTTCCACCACAAATGTAGACAGTAAACCTTTACATGGCTGACTGCAAAAGTTCACAAACAAAATTTTGACACCCATACATCTAGGTTTAATGATTGTTTATTTACCTACTCATAAAGACATGGTTCACTTACAATGAGCTTAAATGACTAATTATAGCTACTTAGTATACAGAGTTGTATCTAACTGTATTAACCCGTTAATACCATTCCATCTTAGGCAAGGGATGGATCATAGTATCCTGAAAAAGTTTAGCGACGAACTGCAATCGCCTACTGAGAGTAGAGATAACGATAACCCTACCCGGTTATCCCTACTCTCGGCAAAATTCTTTCCTCCTTGAAAGATGAGAGCATTATTTTAAAATCATTTCAATTCATCCAGCTTATGGATTAAGTTGGATATTGTATGTACGTGGAGTGTAAAGCTCCAAGGCTGTACCTGGGCGTCCTCTGCACGACGGGGTGCGGCGTGATGTTGAACTGTAGCTCTAGAGTGCGCGCCTGGCGGGCCGCGCCGCGCGGCATGCCTCGCCCGTGCACCGTCGCCTTGTGCGCTGGCGATCGCGACCCAAGTCAATTATACCACTCATTATATGTCAAATTACATTAAAATAAATGAATTAGCAGTTCATCTATCATTCCACCCCGTGTGTCGAGTTGTGTTAATATATTTTTTATTTATTTACCTCATAATATCATTTGAAATTAAAATAAAATTTGCCAAACTGTAGAGCAATTTGTGGGCAGCCTATAAAGGCGATGATTGCCCGTTATGTACAAATTTTTACGCTAATTAAAGCATCCAATATGATTCAGAAAATATACTATACAATAGCACTTTCATACATCAATATTTCAAAGAAATCTTAATGAGTTCGCAATTTCCCCTGAATCACTCTGAGAGCATAATCTAGAGATCAAAACAAACTCAGATTTTCTCTTGAAGTCCAGTCTAAACAAACTGAAATGTGAGAACAATGCAGGTTATCCTACTGTGGTTATTTCAAGAAATATCTACAAAAGTTTGAGTGGATTTTTCCTGAAAATATATTAATGTAACCCACCTTTCAGATCAATTTCGCTTCTAAAGACGGCAGTCAAGTGTTGTCCGGCGCACTCCCCCTCCTCACAAAGGTAATGGTCGGTCCTGAAGTGATGCGCAAGCGCCGAATGGGACGCATAGTACAGATTACGTCCATCAGCGTCGCATAAATGACAGTACAGATGTTCCTTACGCAAATGCCGGTATAATTCATCGGCATCCATGAACCGTTCCTCGCAGAACTCACAGAGAGGGTGGCCCCTGTTGACGAAGGAAAATGGATATTAAATCAATGAAATAAAATTCTAATTTATATGCATAAACTGGAAGGATTTCTGAAAAACAAACGATATTCTCTTTTCATAGGATAGGTTTCCATACTTACAATCATATTGAAAAAAATTGGCAACAAACCAAATAATGGTTTTACCATTAGGGGCCGTTCAAATATTACGTAAGCAGATTTTTTACAATTATTTACCCCACCCCCACCCCCCTTGTCAGCAAAAGTAAGCAAAGATCTTACCCCCTCTCCCTTTGCTTAAGTAAACATTTTAAATTATATCTTTTTTATATTGTAATTTTAATATTCTCCAAATAAGATAATGTCTCGTTCTTTGTCGGTCTTTGCTTTTAATTTATAATTTCCATATGAGGTTGCCATTCGTGTAAAAAAGTAAATAACTACCGATGACGTAATCATCATCTAGACTCCCCTACCCCACATATCATCCGAAATAAGCAAAACAGAGACCCCCCACTCCCCATGGTGCTTACGTAATACTTGAACGGCCACTTAGGAGAAATGCTAGTCGCAACAAAATAGTTTGCCACCTAAAAACAAGCGCGCCTTATCTACGAACAAGTTACGAATATTCAACCACAGTATGCAATACCCAAGTCAACACGAATCATACCGACTTAGTACCAGACACTTACAAAGTTGCAATCATGTTCGACAGAACATAGTTCCTTTCTATGCATTGAAAGGAAGTCTCTATTATAATAGGTAGTCCCACAAATATATTTACATTCGCTATGATTATTAGATTTTGCTTTCACTGATAGCTGTGTGGACTTAAAGCTTTTATCTTTTATTAGTATAATAACTTGATAAGAATAATGTATTGTCTATTGGACATGATTATAGTTTAATGTCCTTATTTTATTATCACAAAACTATAGCTATATTCTCCATAGGGATATTGAAGCTAAATGCAATCATTAAGCTACCTTCCAACTAGGATTACGGCCAACGCCCCAAGGGGTACGCCCTAAGGGGTAAAGGAGACCTTCCGCAGTAAATGTCATAATGATATCACTTTTTTGGACAATAAGACCAGTATTTTCACGTCTCATCTATATACATTGTCTGTTTGTAACATAAAAATAACAGCTTTTTACAATTTTTGTCTGTCTTTCTGTTTCTACTAGCTAATCTCTGGAATGGCTGGACCGATTTTGCAAGACTTTTATTGACAGGTAACTGACGTACTAAGGAGTAACATATGCAACTTTTATTTTAGTAAATTAACCCTTCGTGTGTCTAAACGTGTATCCACGCGGCATTCAAGCGGTTAAAACAAAAAGGTTATATCATAAAATTCGTATTCTACGCAGACGAAGTCGCAGACAACAGTAACAGTAATGTAACAAAACTCTATGAAAGCTGATAAGTATTATTAATTACCTAGAGTCAGTATTAATAACACGTTTAGTTAAGTAAATGTTTGTACCTGAAAAAGTATTTGATTACAGGAGACATTGAGATGAATTCACATAATACTTTGAACTGTCTGACATAAAACAAGTTACAATAATATAAACGTATTAAAAAAAACGGGCAGTGGAATAATTCGATTTTTGTTTATAGCGCGCCTGTAGCACGGTCGCAATATCGATCGTAAATCTACATACATTACATAATGTATTGTAAAATAATGTTAAATGTTTTTTTTTATTACTCTAACATTTAGAGCCGTTGTGGGAGGTAGAGGTCTATCCCTAGCAACGGAAATCACAATCTAGAAATCGAAACGGGCTGGTAATGTTAACAGCAGAATTAAGGCTATATTTCACGGGGACACCATGGCAGCGGAACCAGTCGCGCCACCATAGTTTCTGTAGCTACAAACTAGACACCATGGAGACACTTTTTTTTTTAAGGGGGGACAATCATCGAATAACTGCTCCCGCCTGGGTGAGGCGGGAGGGAGTGTCAGACTCTTACTGACTAAAAACCACCCCGTTCCTTCTCCTGCACGTCGAGCCGGAGCCCCGGTTACCCGTTAGGTTCTCCGCGACACCATGCAGACACTAGAGTCGCCACACAACAATGTGACACCAGTTACCATTCAATTTGGTCGCGCCGCCACATTGGCTGCTCAGTTGTATACATTTCGTTGGTAACGGAGGCTGGTTGCACCGCCATGGAGTACCGGTGAAATATGTCTCTTAAAGTGCCGTGTGGAGAGTAGAATACATTTATTTGTCACTATCTCTATTTATCCCTTGGGTAACTAGCCCGTAAGAGTGGAAACTATAGTTTTTTTCTCCTCCTCTTATGATATCTTCTAATTCACTTCGTTACGGGAATCAAGACAGCTATTCATGTCCTTGGGACGCGCCAGACTTCAGTGTTCCGGTGTTTTCATGGTTGTATCTACTATAGATCTACTATGGCTTATACGAGTGGCAGCGGTTTTGGTAGGTTGTGGTGGGCTTGTCCCAACTGTAGCCGTAAGAGTCGGCTAAGGCATTTGACAGAGACCGGGCAGCGGCGCTCTTGTCTCTCAACTAGATGATTGAAGTTCAAAAGCTCTCTTTTGCAGACGAGGTCCTTGTCCAGTAGATTCTCAAGGATTGTTAATAATAAATTAGATTTACCTGTGCGACGTATCATCCACATCACCTCTCCGCCGATGATGGGCCAACTCCTGACGAGTATAGCACTTTCTCTCCATAGTAAATATCTACAAATTAATAAAACATACTCATTATAATAACTATCGTGAGACATACTAAATTAACTAAAAATCACGGGTTACTCACGTGAATATACTGACTGACTTAGTAGACTGCGCGACATCGCTGCGACAGCGCACGCTGCTCACGAGGAAGAATCCCTCTGTGGTTCGAAACTAGTAGAGCTTTTCTCAGTATATTCACGTGAGTAACCCGCGATTTTTAGTTAAGTTACTCATTACTTCTTCGTTATCAATCGACAACTACCATTCAAGTAATTAACTATTATTTACATTACCTGATAACATTCTCGTAATTATTGTAAATAAAAAAAATAGGTATATATAAAATTACAATTTGTAAACGTATTGTCTAGATAATTGGTGTGAATATTCTTTATGAATGGGTGCATGAATTACGTCATTATGTCGGCTTTACTCATTTAGTAGGTAAGGGATAATTATTACTTATTTACTTTGTACTGGCGACTATAACCACATTACCACAATTGAATTATGTTAATAGAATATAGAAACAGTTGTTTTCTTTTACTTAGGTACTTTAGATAAGTTTGAAATTATAATGGGATTATCCAAAAGGCATTGTTCCTGGAATTAAAAATGTGTAAGAGTGTTTTATGCCCTAAAGGAGCAGACAAAGTTGTATTTATTATTTTCTACTTGACTTGTAGAGGTTCAATGCAATCAAACCAGTGTCCAGTCAAATGAAAGTAGTGTAATGAAATCTAATAAGCTTAGCCAGTAAATCATGTAAATAAATAATGTACTTAGTCATGTCCAATTTTCATCATGTTATGCAATTTTTTATTTCAATTGCTCATAAACCATATCTATTTGATCAGCATGACTTTGCAAATTGTTAATTTTTTTAATTTAGTTCCAATATTTAAAAGATCTAAGAAGAAAATATGTAACTAATATAGGTCCTACTACTTTATTTATTATACAGCTTTGCTTTATTTCTCCAATATTAAGCATACCCACTTTTCACTATTTATGTTATGATTCCCATGTAATAGGGGGTGAGCCTATTGCCATATACCGGGCACATTTCCAGACTCCGTGCAACTACTGATTTTTTTTTAAATTCAGCAGTACTTTGCCCGACCCGGGAATCGAACCCGAGACCCCTTGCCCGGCAGTCGGACTTGCGTCCACTCAGCCAACAAGGCAATGCAGCCAACATTGCACGATGGCAATGTGCACCTCTGCCTACCCCTTCGGGGATAAAAAAGCGTGATGTTATGTTATGTAATTAAGCATAATGACTTAATTACAAAATTAAAGTATAGTACAGGGTGTAAACGGAACGTCCCGGAAAAATGCCGACAGGTGATGTTAAAAAACAAGTCTTCATAAAAGTAAGGAATTAAATGTTTCTATTATGTAGTAATAGTTGTAACGAACTGCTCAAGGCTGATGTTGCATGAATAACACGAAATCAAAAATGATTAAAATTGTAAAAACAATTTCTTTTAGTCATCATTTCAGGAGCATTCAGTTTACACCCTATATAGCATAAACGCAGTAAAATTAAACATAATATTGTGAATAAAAAAATAACTGTACCTTTAAATGCTTAACACAGAGATCACAAAAGTATCTCTCATGGATTTTCCTCATATGATCACTCAGCATACTAAAAGTACGAAATGGTGGTATCTTGTCACAGATCTTACAGCGGTTTTCAAGCAACCGCTCGTAAGCCTGTTTTATATCCTCATTACAGAACCCAATCTTATACTGCCTCTCAAAGAGGCGGTCGGAGAACGCCCTGTTGCGGAGCTCTTTATAGGGTTGGATGGAATCCGTAAACACAACCTGTGGAATAAGTTTAATTAAAAAAGCTCTGTGATTTGTTATTCAATATTGACCTTTAAGTTCTATAGTTTGGAGTTCTCGTTTTAATACTTAATTAAACATTTTATTGCCTGTTTTTCATCATAAATGTGAGGAAGATTATAGTTGAAATAAGTATGAAAGTGTAATCAAAATACTAATAACTTAGTATTTTGGTTTTATTCACATGATTCATAAAAATCAGATACTTAACTCGTACACAATCATTTGACATAAATGCCAAAAATTTGTACATACAAAAATATTGTCTAAACATCAGAAATAAGGTCTATAACGGAGTTAGTGGAGAACGGGCACCGGTGACCTTTTGATGGTTGTTCAGTTAAAATAATAAAGGAAAATTATATTCAAAATACTTGACTGGGTTTATTAAAATGATAACTTTAGTGTAACAGGAAAACATCAGTTTTTAAGTTAGAAGATACAAGGAGAAAGTTTCTAAGGGTGTGTGTTTGTGCCCCTTTCAAACAAAACCTAGGTATCTATTGTTTTTTCTGTACGAAATTTGATACAGAGATACCATATTGATGTGTATTATAGACTACAGGATCCATCCCGCTTAAGATATAAGCTTGCCCTACTAGTTTTTATAAAATCTATCGTGAGACATACAAAATTAACTAAAAATATTATAGGCTGCGCGACATCGCCGCGACTGCGCACGCTGTTCATGAGGAAGAACCCCTGTGTGGGTCGAAACTAGTAGAGCTTTTCTCAGTATTTTCAAGTGAGTAACCCGCGATTTTTAGTTCATTTATTATGTCTTACGATAGTTATTATAAGAACAGATTAAAAGAAAAGAAATTTAGTTAAGTCCTACTGGTATTATAAATGTCAAAGTCTGAATGTTTGTTTGTTTATTATTCCTACATATCAAAACGCTGAAAGAATTTGGATGAAGGATAGATTATAGTCTGGAATAAAACTAAGACTGCGTTTTATTCCATTGGAACGTTAATGAAGCAACTGGCAGAAGCTAGGATTTACATTAACTCGTCGAGTACCGGTTTTATAGACACAATTAAAGAACAATAGGTCGCGGTCACCGGTGACCGCTTGGTGTTTGACAGATTAATGTTTAGTTTTCGTAAAGCTTATTCACTTTTCTTATTCTGTGGTTTAGTGTATACAGTACTTATATTCAATTCTACCAGCTCAGCAGTTACAATATTTCAGGGGTACACAATTACCAAAATAAAATAATAGGGTATTGACAATAACATATTTTCTACATCTAAACACAAATTTTATTGGACTTTATCAATTTGAACATATTAATTAGACTACAAAATAAGTTACATGCTTAATGATTTTATTATCTCTAAGAACCTAATAAGACAATTAACATAGGTGATAATCATAGAGGTAGTAAGTAGCCACCACCAACTGACATGTATTATAAGTTTATCAACAGAATATTCAATTAAAGTGTTCTAGAGAAGAAAATAATAGTAGAAATATTCGCATATTGTGTAATAATAATGCAAGTGATTCGCTGAATGTGTTTATAATACACAATGTTGCACAATGATACCCTGTGCACCGAGGATGTGAGAAACATAACATTCATAGTATTGTACATCACTGGAACTTACCCTTGAAAGGTCCTGCCGGCAGATAGGGCACTCATTTTGCAGGCAAAGGACCCGCATTCGGGTAGAACACTCGAAACATACGGGATGGTCACATTCGCCAATCGAATAGTACAAAACGTTCTTGAAACACACTACGCAAGTATTCTCATTTGAACTCGAGTCGGCCATAGTTCCGAGTTGGATTCTGGAAAATTTTACACGATACTAATATCCGACGAAGATATGTCGAGATTTTTGATAAAAATCAAGGAATAAATACTAGAGATACCTACGTAAGATTGAGAAAAGGAAGGACGAAAATTTCGTAGCGCTGGAATGACAGTCAGGTGTAAAATTGCTATATGAAAATAATACTCAGAAATTAGGACGTGTCTACACTCTACACGGAAATGGAAGAATGCCTCAAAAATCAACTTTACTCTATAGCCTTAAAATTGGCTATGGTTTTGTATTGTGAGTTAGTTAGAATTTCAGTTGTCAGAAAAAACGGTGAACGGTTTGAAGTTTAAAAAATTGTTTGCGTTTGAATTTTAACAATTCAAAGATCGTTTATTATTGAGTTTGAAAGTTTTAATAAAATGTGTGATATAATCAAATAAAACTTGTGATTTATTGAGTTCTGAGTGTTTCATTTACGCTGATCATGTATTTCCAAGTTAGTATCATTAGCTTCACTTCGTACTGTTGTAACAAATCCACCAAAATTACAGATGTTTTAAATGTCGTTTTATATTTTTAGATTGAAAATACTCCTGAACATATACGAAGGGCTCGGCGCGCGGAATTTGTTGTGAAGGAGGCACCAAAGGAAGAATGTCCTCGTCTTGTCCTGGCCCCGTTTTCTCGGCCTCCGCAAGTGGTATTCGACAATGTTCTTATTGGTGCAACTTGCGAGAGGAACCTGGAGGTGTTCAACCCGTCAAAGCAAGTACAACAGGTAACAGATGCCAAAGAGATGGCTCTTTTTAAAGGATTATAATAATTTTGAACTTAAAATGTAATGGTTTTCATGTAACCATATAAAACATTATTTGAAGTAACGTATTTGATACTTGGTACACATTCTAATAGGAAGTAGTCTTCTAAATTGGGTTGATAAATACTAAAATTGAATGAATTATTATAGTATATTCAGCCAAATGCTGATCATCATAATAATATTTTGTCTTCTCACTACTATACATACTCACCACATAACTGAATTATGATCTATATTTAATTTAATTTTGTATAGTTATTATACAAGTAACCCCATAAAAGTTTTCCATTAACTTAGGTAGCCAAGTAAACCATTTACTTTGAATAAATTATGTATCTGTAGAAAACACATATAATTTACTTTCTATAATATAAAATAATATTTCCTTTTTAGATAACACTCGGTAAGTCTCTACCGGCTGGCTTGGTGATCCACTTGCCAGGAGAATGGCTGGTCCTGGAACCGGAGACGTGTTACTGTTTGACGATGCTATGGACTCCGACCCAGCCAACTGGAACCAGGGAAACAATCCGCTTCACCAATGAGAACAGAGGCCGATATGATGTTATTGTTGTTCTCAAGTCTGTTATGGTAATTAGTTTACATTATTAATAAAAATAATATTAAATAAAAGCTTGTAATGACCTCTATTTTAGTTATCCATGGAAAAATATCAAACTTATAATAACATATGCTTATAGGCTTGTCCAATTTAATAAACTAATGGTTGTAATGGGGTTTAGATTGCATAATTTACAATAATATTAAAATAAAATGTTCCAAAGAAGAAAGTTTAAAAAAAATCTTAGTAGTAGCATGGTCCATTATTACATGGGACTCATGACATAAATAGTGAAAAGTGGGTGTTACATTGTACAGTGGCATAATGTGCACCTCTGCCTACCCCTTCGGGGATAAAAGTCGTGATGTTATGTTGTTATTATTTAGTTATCAATTTATTTGCACATTCAGTCTCTTATTCGCAAATATTGAAATGTTACTCAATTTTTAGTCGCGTTTAAGTATAGTTCTGTCTCTACAAATTCTTTGTAAAATGACAGTGACGGCACGATATTTAAGTACAACTTAAAATTGAGTAACCTTTCAGTATTCAGATTCGAGATCCATATTATTTTTAATCCTTTGATACCAGAAAATATTTTTTCACATTGTTGCTAGCTGCCACTTATAAACATTTTATATTTTCAGAATATAAAAGGGAAAGGCGCCCTACCTAAAGGTTTCAAGATATCCCCAGGTAAAATAAAAAAGAAATCAGGTAAAAAATCTCCAGTAGCTGTTTACAAGAAGAAGTCTGAAATAATTTACAATACAACACAAATACAGAAGACTTACAAAGTCATCCAATCACAACAAAAGGTTACTCATCAAATGTACAATAAAGAAAATATGGCAATTAACGACTTTGCCATGGACATTCGTCAAGATAAGTGTCCATTTGATTCACCAGGCAGTATTGACTTTAACTTTGATACTTCCGAAGTTTTCTCTAATATGCGCCAGCCTTATAAACAAGATATACTGCAGCAAACATATGACAAATCTTATACTTACAATAACACATTGAATGCACCACAAAATGTACTGAAGCCATCCAACAAGCAAACTTGTGATATCTCTGGCACAGAACTGTTTGACAATCTCACATTTACTCCATTAAAAACTTTGCCTGCTAAAGTTGAGAAACTTGACAAGGGACCTAAGATTATCCTTAGTATGAATTCTGAAAGTGACTTGGATGATAGTTTGGAGAATAAGGATTATAATAAAGAAAATCAGACTCATTCCATTATCAGTGTGACATCTTCACAACCACCCAATAAGTGGCTGACAGTCAATCATCACACTAAAGTTGAGACCCACATGGAAACACCCACTATACTGAGTAAGAAACACCCTGACACATCATCGCCTAAAGAGCTAAACAGCCCTAATTTCTCTATAAATACAGAATTCTCTCGTATTAGCGACCTGTCGTTCTTTCCACAAAGATTTTCGACAGAACGGAAAACATTCCCGAAGTTAAATAATGATACCCATGACATATTTGACGACCATTTCAAACCTGGCTCTGATACCTACACCAAGGAATCACCGAATACGCCAATGGAACCGAATTTCAACCAAATTTACGAAATGAAGCCACCACACTTCTTTCTGAAAGATCAGCCTAAGATGTGCAGGCAAGCTCTCTTCAAAGACTACCAATACCAGAAAGAAAACTACGATCAAAGAAATCAACACCAAAAAGAAATTTATGATCAAAGAAACTTTTTGAATGCTTACGAAAACGCTTGGCAAAACGAATTACGAGTGGATACACGATCTCCTCCACCTAGATCGATCACTCCTCCTCTACAGTCTATTCCCGAAGAAAGTGTCCAGTTCTCTGATACCTTCAATAGAACTGACCAACAAATGTCTACATTCACCATCAATCGTACTTTTGACAAAGCTCCCGATAGGTTTTCTTCGATCCCTGCAACGAGTCAAAGACAATCGTGGTCCAAGAAAGCTGTGCGCGCGGAACCAGATCTCTGGAAAATACCGATTTCTCATGTCAAGAAGACTATGAAAAGTAAGGCGTCTACCAAAAAAGATTCGAGCAGTAGTAAAATTTCTAATACGACGTTTGAGACAAATAAAAGTATTATCCAGAACATGTCAGTCAACCAGGTCGGGAACGTATACTCTCAAGCGGCGACAGTCGATCCATTCTTGTCGTCTACTTACTTTTACGACGAAGAAGCCGTAGAAAAGTTCGAAAATGAATTTAAGAGGTGGTTGAATTGTATATTGACACCACCTTCCGATTTGGATAGCAACGTAGAACAGAAGATAGACGTTGGAAAAGCTTGGATCGAAAATAGGAATAAAGAAGTTCCTGCCGCGCCTACAAAGGAACAAGTATCAAGTGCGTACCACAATAGTCACCGCCTGGAGAGTCTTAGAAGATCAGCTAGAGCTTTACTTATGAGTCCTGAGATCGCAATAGTGTTCCAGAAGTTGACTGCTCAAATTGACAAGAAACTTATTGCCATTAGGGCCGACAGAAATCTTCATTTAGATGTTGGACTACAGAAGATTATCATGGAGTTGCTATTATCGTACAATCCACTTTGGCTTCGAATCGGTCTTGAAGCCATCTATGGTCTTGTTTTACCTTTACATTCAAATAGCGACGTTGAGGGTCTCACTACGTTTATAATTCAAAGAATGTTCAAGAACCCCTTTCTCAAAAATAAACATTCGAAGTCCAATGCACCGAATATGTTACTCCCCGCGTACATGGAAGCTATTAAGAAGTTTACTCTCAAAAAGTTTTTCATGCTCGTATTCTTCTTGGATCAAGCAAAACAAAGGAAACTTATATCACACGATCCTTGTCTCTTCTGCAGAAACGCCGTTTGTAAAGAAAGCAGAGAAATTATAATAAGATTTACAAGAGAGCTTATTGCAGGTATAGGCGATATCACGAAACACCTTAGACCGCTCGGCTATGTCGTGAGTCATAAGCAGTCGTATTTAGATGAGTACAAATACGCAGTGCATAACATAGCGTTGGACATTAGGGATGGGGTTCGACTAACGAAGGTAATGGAAATCATTTTGATGAAGGATGGCTTATTGAGGCAGCTGCGTACTCCGGCTATTTCTCGTCTTCAGAAGATCCATAACGTGCAAGTTGCATTGAATGCTTTGAAAGAGGCCAACTTCGTGATCGTTGGCGAAATAACTTCCAACGACATTGCTGACGGACACAGGGAAAAGACATTGTCTCTGTTATGGCAGATTATTCACGTGTTCCGCGCCCCATTGTTTGAGAGAGCCGCTAATGTTATACAGACGTGGTGGAGGAAGAAGTACGAAGTTATCGTAGAGAAGAGGAGGGAACAAGAGAGAATACTTCAAGAGCGTGTGAACGCAGCCAGTGTGATCCAATGTTGGTGGCGCCGTATACAGTACAACCGCCTGGTCGAATGGAAGATGCAACAGATCACAACAGCGACAATCATAGTACAAAAGTATTGTAGAATGTGGATACATAGAAGTCGCCTTCTGCGCTGGAAAAGGAGCGTCCTGAAGATTGAAACTTGGTACAGATCTGTAATGATGATGAGAGAAGCTAAAGCAGAACTTGAAAGGTTGAGATTTGAGAGGGAAGAATTGAGGCGTAAGGCTGCTATACATTTACAGTGTCAAATCAGGCGCTGGCTATGTGTGAGGCAATACACGTTACAGTTAAAGAGGATTGTCACTGTACAAAGCTTAGTCCGAAGATTTCTGGTCAGAACACAGTATATTCGATACAAGCAGGCTGTTCTATGCATCCAGCAAAGGTACAGAGGCAAACTATTGATGAAAGAGCAAATGCAAGACTTTGCTATTAAGCGCCGCAGCGCCATCCTTATACAGAGTTACTACAGAATGATACAGCAGCGCAGATCTTACTTGAAACTTAAGAATGCGATCAATATAATTGAAGAACGCTATAGAGCATTGCTTCAAATGAGAAATGCTCGCAGCCAGTATCAAGCCCTGAAACAAAATGTTATTATGGTACAGGCTTTGTACAGACGTAGGAAATGCCAACAGGAATATTTAAGACACAGAGAACTTATCATATCCCTTCAGAGGAGAGTCAGAGCTCACCAATTAATGAAAAAAGAAAAAGAAGAATTTCTTCGTGTCAAGAATGCAGCCATTGTACTCCAAACATACATTAAGTCATATTTGATCATGAAAAAATTAAGACAAGACTACCTACGACTACAACAGTCTACAATTATCATTCAAAGATACTGGTGTTCGTATTTAGAAGCGAAAGCTCAGAGAAACGCTTATCTGCGATTAAGAAATGCCGCAGTAACTCTACAGAGGTCCTACAAAGACTTGCTGCTTACACGTAAAGAGAGATCTGAATATTTATGCCTGAAGAAATCTGTAATAGTTATACAAAGAAGGTTTAGAGCACAATGTTTGATGCGTAAACAAAAAGAAGAATATTCTAAACTTCGCCAAGCAACTATCGTCATTCAACATAGATATGTAGCCTTAATGAAAATGCGTGAACAACAGGCCATGTATCTAAATCTTAAGTCATCTTGCATAACTATCCAAAATGCTTACCGGGCGTATACTCTGGGCAGGGAGCAAAGAAAGAAATACTTGGCATTAAAAACATCTGCCATTAAAATCCAGAACTGGTTTAGAAGTTGCAAGAAGGGCAAAGAAGTACAACAGCAATACCAGCAAGCGAAACAAGCTTGTGTTACTATTCAGAAAATATACAGAGCGTATGTTATCGGAAGGAAACAGAGACAAGAGTTTATTCGAATTAGAACCGCAACTATTCGCATTCAAACTTATTACAGATCGTATATCGAAATGAAGACCATGAGACAGCAATATATTAAAATAAAAACAGCCACAGTTACTATCCAGAGATACTACAAATCGCATTTGGAAACCAAGAAGCAAAGGGCATCGTATATACAAATGAAAAACGCTGCAATTCTTATAGGAGACCATTATAAACGTTATAGACTAACTAAGGCAGCCAAAGATGATTACCGTCGGCTTCGAAACGCAACTCTATGCATCCAGAGAAGATACAGAAGTGTTTGTGCCATGAGAGCCGAAAGAGAAAAATATTTAAGAACCAAACTTGTGCTTACACATTTACAACAAAAGTACAAGGCCATCCTTGCGATGAGAAGAGACAGGCAAGCTTATTTACACTTACAAAATGCTGCTAAGACAATCCAGAACAGATTTAGAGCTCAAAAACTTATGATATCGACAAGAAGTATGTACACTACTATGTTGACAAAGTGTATCGTGATTCAGAGATTCTACAGAGCTATAATTGCAGGCAGGAAGCAAAGGAAAGAGTACATCGATTTGAAACAATCTACTATTGTCTTACAAAGAAGATATAGGGCTCTACTTGCAATGAGAAAGTATAGGAAATTATATCTGAACAAGAAGTCAGCTGCTATTGTTATCCAAAGGAGATTTAGATCATATTGCCTCATGTTGAAAGAAAGGCAAAATTATACAAACATACTCAAGGCTTGTACTACTATTCAGGCGGCATTCCAAGCGTATGTAAGTGGCAAACGCCAACGAATTGAATATAAAAAAATCAAATCAGCTACCATCCTAATTCAGAGACGTTTTAGACTAATCAGAGAAACTAGAAAGATTCGAAATGAATACCAAACGCTTAGAAAGGCTGTTATAATAATACAGAACAGATATCGACAAAAGAAATTAGCTCGTATTATGAGAGAAAATGAAGCTGCTCAGAAAATAGAAAACTGGTATGTTGCTACAAAAAAACGCGACATGTGCCGTCAAGAATATTTAACGTTGAAAAAGTATACAATACTGACTCAGTCTGTAGTCAGAATGCTTATACTTCGTAACAGATTTGTGGCTATAAGAGAAGCTACTTTGTGCATACAGAGATTCTACCGCTCATACAAGATGGCGATCACAGAACGCGAAAGATACGTTAAGACAAGAACTTCCATTATTAAGTTGCAGAGTCATGTTCGGAGCTTCATTGAAAGAAGACGTTTCTTCAGGATGCGATCGGCAGCGGTGACAATACAGGCGGCCTATAGACTTAAAAAGAAGCGCGACCTTCTGAAAGCTCAAAGGTTACAAGCAGCAATATGCTTGCAGAAACACGTAAGACGATATCTAGTACGATCATGGTACGTAAAATACATACAACGGGTGAGATTCATTCAGACAATATGGAAAGGTAAATTACTAACGAGACTGATACGCTGCGAATTTACACAAAAAAGAAGGATTATAGTCAAGTTCCAAGCTATAATCAGAGGATACTTGGTGAGAAAACAGATTCAGTTGAAGAGAGAACATATTGAAAAGATTAGGGAAGAAAAGAGAGTCTACTGGGCAGCTTCTAAGATTCAGGTGAATTTTTGTCTATAAAATATCAATGAATGTAATATACCTAGTGATCAACATTTGTAATTTTATATTCTATATACATTTTAGGCGTTATTCCGAGGACATAAAGCGAGAATGGACATAGCTCATGACAAGCGCGTGGCGGCAATCAGGCGCAGATGGCGCGACGGTGGCCTAAAGTCCACCCAAGAGTCTATGAAGGAGCGCAACGAGGAAGCTATGGAGGTGCTCAGGAATATCAGCGGCATCGAAACTGTTATCAAAGCATTTAGATCTCTTGGTAAGTTAGAATAAACACATAGTAAATGTACATTTCTCATTATTGACTCGTTGGGTGAAAGGCCGTAAGTTCCAACCGCGGTTCTGAGGGGTAGTCCTAAGTCGTAAGATTCTAAGTTTTCAGTTTTTGAAGATCTCTGTAAGGTCTCTCAGTTGCTTGGAGTAGAAAATAGCGCCTCCTGGCTGGTGATACCGTCGCGCCTCATGAAATGGATCTAGATTTAATAATAACTTCCGACAAGTGGGAGTTATATGAACGTGTTTCACGTCACTATTCCTAATTTCCTAACAACTTGTGTTATTTGTTGCAGAATTATTAACAGAAGTATTTCCGATGTTGTACAACGACAATGCGTCAGCCATTGTGCATCGTGTGTACACTTACATGTCAGTGACGAACAGATCCATATCTAGTATAGAAGTGCTGAAATCTGCTGCGGCCGTGCTCGTCAATTTGACTAGATATAGGATCACGGGACCGAAAATATACTTGGTAATTAGCTGTTAATATTATTCGTATATATAACGATTTGTAATCTTGTTCTTGAATTGCCTTGTTCGCGCGACGTCAGCGAGGATTTAAACAAAATAGTTCATTAATATGGATGTTTCAAAATTCACAGTAAACACTAAAAGTCAAGATCTCTATTACATGGGACTTGCCGATACGGAGCCGCGGAGAACCTAACGGGTTACCGAGGCTCCGGCTCGACGTGCAGGAGTAGGACGGGGTAGTTTTTAGTCAGTAAGAGTCTGACACTCCCTCCCGCCTCATCCAGGCGGGAGAAGTTATTCGATGGTATAAACCCCTTAAAAAAATATTACATTGGACTTGTAACTATCGATCAGTGGGTGTATCTCTTCAGAATATAAATATCGTGAATTTGCATTGTTTTCTTCAAATGTTTTCTTTATATTTATGGCTTCTTTTCTTTTGCAGAGAGATCGTATTTCGCCAATATTAAAATTCATGTGGAGATTCAGTAATAGCGAGACTCAACTGTTTTGCATAATGGCAACATATTTGTGGCTGTTTTCCAAATATGAAAATGTTAAGAAGGTATGCGATTTTTTGAAAATATTTATGTTTTAACAAATATGTATACTAATCTACAAGTATCTAAATATCTTTCTTTTCTATCTCAGGACCTAACACAGTTACTGAACCAGCCAGAAAACCACAGAATGCTAGTAACAATAAAAGGGAATGTTGATAGAACTAAGAGAATGACTACAAACATTATGAGGAGCAAGTTCCATACACCTCAACCATCCAAATTCATTTCCCATACAAACAACCAGTCTTTAAATATGAGCCTTTGTCATACTGGACAAAGTACAATGTTGCCAGCTTTAGAACCAGATTATGGCATTGTCAGAGTAGATAAACCACGGTACTTTGAAGACGCCCAACAAGCCATCAGTTGCCTTTTCCACACATATCAACTGTGATCATATGTTTTTGAGGATTTTTAATTAGTTAAAATCGTTTAATATATTCTAGCACTGTTAATATTATTATGTTAGTTTGTATACTCCTTTATTGTTAATTTTCTGCCCTTTATGAAATTATGATAGCTTTTTTAACAATTTTGCTTGTTTTATCAAATAATATTATCAATACTAAAAAAGCTAATGAGTTTAGAAATAGCAAAATTACCCGGCCTAAATTAATAGAATTAACACACAATACTTACAATAGAATTGACATACATTTAGATTAACAATTAAGGTAAATCTAATTCTTCTTTTTATTATAATAATTATGACTTTGTTTTGTGTGTGAGTGAGATAATGGACTGGTAGTATTATAATAATTATGATGATAATCGACTTCCATGTTTAAAAACTTATAATTTTAATATAAATAACAATGTTAATATTATTTCTAATAATGGTCAGGATTTGGTCATTAAAAGAATTCTCTTTTAATTATGTTTTTATTTACAAATTCCTATTTCCATTATGCGCTGCGTCTCAACCCCGGAATTTTAATATTTTGTCATTAAACCTTCATTATTCAAAACATAGACGACAGACCACTGCAGTGCAGTTGCCATATTATCATAGACAAAACTGGTTCATTTATCTGTCAAGCGATTGTCAAAACATGCGTCAAACTTTTAGGTTATGTTATTGATATGAAGAGTAATTATTCAATTCAATGAATAATTTTAATTCATTTTAGAGCTGCGGAATCCAATACTATAATGGATGAGTTTGTTAACTACTTACTGATACTTTTGGTTGTATTACCAGTGATTTTGTTCTTCAATTTATGGTCTGGCATTGGCTGGGAATTGTTTGAAAACAACTAGCTGAACATCAGAAGAAGAAAATAATTCAATGAAGCGATATCGCCTTGAGGACTTTGTTTATTTAAACTAATTTTATGTTAAGGATTATGTGAGTTATGAAGAAAAAATAAATATTTTTCATATAAACACTTTTATTAATAACACAATTAAATAATCTTAGCCTTATAAATTATCACAATAGTGTCATAATAAACGATACATCATAATTATTTTCATATTCATATTGATTGCATCACAATTTTATGCAATTTTCAAGTACATGTTTCACCTAACAAGAATATCACATTCATTAGGAAATATACATGTATTATGCCATAATTTTTAACTTTATAAGAATATCTATCATACTGCATATTTTTTACTACCAAGTGATGGGTCAGATACCTAAAAACTTATGTGATTCTCTAACTTTGAATGGGGTTTCGTTTGATAACTTTTAAACTAAATGTGAGCTATATACCTGAGCAGAGAAGAAACTATTGTCCTCGATTACAAATGACATAAAAGTTAGATCTTTGAGTATTGCAGGAATCTGTTAAGAGATACAGTAGGTAATTATTTTAAATACATAAATATTGCAGGATTCATCTGCACCGGCCACTACTACTATTCTATTGATAAGGACTACAATAATAATACATAACAACTAAGCGATAAACAAACAAATACTACTTACTATTCATAAATACTTCATAATTTCCTAAGACCCAAATTCATCAACTATTTTGATTAGGCATTAATGATTTATTATCTGTCTACTCCATAGACCTAATATTTGGCGTCGAATACACGTACAACGAAACAATAAAGCTGTACTTAATAAAAATGTAAATTCTGAGCTATGATTAAGTAAAAAAATAAAAAAAATTGTCAATTTCACTAAAATTATTTCTATAGCAAAATGCCCGACTGAGATACAAAGTTTGAAGAAAGTATTTGACTCGCCATTCATTCTGTCCAATATTGTAGATACTAATCTATGTCGTGACTTCTATAACTAATTAAATGACACTTCATAATATAAGCAAATTAAATACTTTCGGAAAAGAGTATGTTACAATCTAGCAGTTGTGCGAGTATTACAGGCACATGCAAATATTATCATACTTTCTAAACTGCATTCAAATTTCACTCGATTTTTTCAAACATACTGATATTAGACAGGGTAACAATACTGCCTAGTCAAAACAACACTAAACTTGTTTCATAAGTCTTCATAAGATTTATTCCCAATCGAATGTCCGTGGTACAATTTTGGCTGAAAGAACTCGTCACTGATGGTGTTTCGGTCGGACACTTGTGCATTATAGTATTATGTTAAATTTCACTAGAAAGTATTAACTCCTCCATTCCCATATGGCCGCGATGTCGCCATACTCGATATCTCGCAATATCCTTGCGGGTTACCATGCCAACCACCTACAAATAAAATGATGATATTAATAAATACACTGGAAATTAAGTAAAAACACGTGAATATACTGAGAAAAGCTCTGCGACGGGGTTCTGCGACGACGCCGCGACCGCGCACACTGCTCATGAGGAAGAACCCCTCTGTGGTTCGAAAACTAGTAGAGCTTTTCTCAGTATATTCACGTGAGTAACCCGCGTTTTTACTTAATGTAGTATGCCTCACGATAGTTATTATAAAAAAATACACTGGAAATGTTATTACGATAAATTAATTTTGTTAGCATCTACAGTGTGACAGTCTTTCCCAGAAGTGGTATGCAGAGAGATGGCACCTTTTGCGTTGATTTGACTAACAAGACAGTTCCTAAATTCCATAAACCTATCAGAACTATTAATTGTCGTCACTTATAACTCACAGATTGTGGAATTACTTGCTGCCCGGCTGCTAGTTGCTGCTCGGTCTTAGTGTAATGTTTTATGACTATAAATAGACTATCTGACACAAAAAAATATAATAAGTATACTCTTCAGCTTTACAACATTAGTTTAAATAGATGTATGAAATGATTACCTCATTGACATCATTGACTATAGGCAAATGCCTTAGTCCGAGCGCTCGGAACAATCTGAAGAGACGCGGCAATGACGCTCGATGCGGCAGAGTGTAAGGCGACGGATTCATGAACGGACGCAAGTCTATCGTGCATGTCTTCTCCCATTCTGCTACGTCTAACTGTGGAATGAGATTTACATTACAATTGGGTAGTGTCCAGGGTATCAAAATTAAAAATCTAATTAGTCCGTCAGTTAGATAATGAAAAAATATTAGACACGTATTTTTTTATTTTCTCGTATTAAGTTGCAATACTTAGATAAAATGGCGCTAAGTTTAGGTGTGGGAGGTTGTTACGTCATAACGTGCTACAAAATGTGGCACGCTGTGACGTCACACGATATTTCAAATTAATATATCGGCGAAAGTATTTAATTTGGTGAGAAAAGAAAAAATACGTGTCTAAAGTTTTAAATCTATGTACCAGACGGATATTAAAATAAAATTTAGGAAACTACCCTATTCCAATCAATCATTACCGATTTAATAGATGACTGACTGCCATTTTTTACAGCGAATGTTCGCCCACATTTGTGGCAAGTCAGTACCCCTCTGGTGTAGGCATTTTGTTTTCCGTACGTACACAAAATAAGTCAAAGTCACAATTATTTAATTCAATTAGACCAGAAAGACACTTTTTGACGTTAACAAAAAATTTAAAAGTGAAGCTATTTGCAAGTTTTTACTATTTAGACACGATTTGAGCGTCTTATAATTATAAACTTTTGCATAATTCTCTTAATTCAGACAGCCATATTGCAAATGTCCTTTAATTTCGAATTTAATACAGTTTTAGATATTATTCAAAATAGAATAGTACATAGTATCAGTTTTCATGAACTTTTATTTATTTAACTACCAAAAATTCCCTTACCTCGTCAATAGAAGGAAACCGTGGATATTCCTTTCTGAACATGTTCATATCCACGTTGAAATTCGACCAGGTCGTGTTGGCGTTCTCGTTGTAAAGCTTATTCTGTATCAGTACAATTAGTTGAGAACGTAGTATCATACCCCTTAGTCGCTTGTACGTTGTCACTTCCACCTATGAAAGAAAAGAAATGCTGAAATCATGTGTATTGGGATCGGGATTGGAAAGGATTGGGAAGTGTGGGTGAGCCATGCTTCGGCACGAATGGGCCGGCTCGATCGGAGTGATACCACGGCCTCACAGAAAACCGACGTGAAGCAACGCTTGCGTTGTGTTTCGTCGTGTGAGTGAGGTTACCGGAGGCCCACCCTCTCCTTCCCAAATCTCCCCAATTCCTGAAACCCTAATGATCCTCAAACTCCTAATCCCCAAAAGGCCGGTAACGCACTTGTAACGCCTCTGGTGTTCCAGGTGTTCATGGGCGACGCCGATTGCTTACGATCAGGTGATCAGTCAGGTCGTTTAACGGCTTATGCCATAAAAAAATATATATACATCATCTCAATATTATGTTAAGTAACAGTCAGATCTACTTCAAACCGACTCATTTTTTACTAGTTGCAGTAAGATTGTAATGTATGATAGATATTATTAATATGTTGGGTCAAGAAAACAATAAATTATTGTACTAGTATTTTTACGTATTGACTGCCTCGTTTGCCGAGTGGCAAGTGCGACTATCGGGCAAGTGGTCTCTGGTTCGATTCCCGGGTTGGGCAAAGTATTACTGGGATTTAAAAAAAATCTTATAAGTAGCACGGAGTCTGTAAATGTGCCCGGTATATGGCAATACTGCAATAGGCTCACCCCCTATTACATGGGACTCATAACGTAAATAATGAAAAGTGGGTGTTACATTGTACAGTGGCATTAAGCCTTTGGGGTTAAAAGGCGTGATACGTTAACGTAATTGAAACGCGACCGCGTTCGGCGCTCTGATTGGTTGGTTAATAGCCTTAAGCTTGAAAACACGCTTACAGAGTTCCTCAAATGTTGACATATTCTCTTTAAGTTTAAGTATGACTGTTTTTAATGTAATTATGATATTTGACTAAATTTTGTATGACTGCGATGGTATGGTATTATAATGATGTATGGTATAGATACTAGTTAATTTTATGGATCTCTTAGATGTCCGAAATAAATGATTTTTATTTTTTATAACAGTACCAAGATATAAAATAGAAATTTCACTTACATCATCAGCTAAAGGTGGATCAACAACAGGGAATCCGTTGTAGGAAACAAGTTTTAGCAGCTCGACAATATGGCCGACGTTCTCCACGGTTCTTAGAGTGAATACAGGGTGTGACATAACTTCCGATGCGTACAAGTTGTGAGCAAGCGGCGGGGGCTCCCAAGGCAGGAGGGGCACTCCTGCCAACTGGATGTGTATGTCGTAGATGCCCTAGGAAAATTATTTAGGTTAGAACAAGAGTCTACTTTGATTTGAGAGTATTTTTCTTTAGTTTAAAATTAAACACTATGTATTAATAGTAATTAATATCCGAATGGGACAACATAACGTAACTCCTATTTTTATCAACGACTTTCAAAAAAGAAGGAGGTTCTCAGTTTGTGTGTACGTGTACAATTACCTCGCGATTGGCTGAACCCATTTTGCTGCAGCAAAGTTTGGGTTGAAGTTTATTTTAACGTAGTTTATGAAATAATTATCCATTCATTGAGATGCTATGAGTTCTGAGCTCCAATTATTACAATTGCTGTAATACAAACATTTTTATTATAATTTTAATCTATGCCTTCTTTTCAAAAGGAGGTAATTGCCATAAAAATGTATTCTTGATTATTCAGAAGAATAGAAGAACTAAAGATTCAAATGTATTAACGAATCTACAAAAAGACAGAAATACAAACAAAAGGCGACTCGACTGCATGGTTGGCGCGGCGATGGCTGGGCAACTGGCTGCCGCACAGTGTCACGTGTTCGTTTTCCGCACGCAACAACTGTTTGTGTCATCCACAGACTGTTGTTCCGGGTTTGGATATCATGTGTATGTGAACTTGTAAGTTTATAAACGCACCCACGACACAGGAGAAAATCCTAGTGTTTTTTTTAAGGGGGGGAAAATCATCGAATGACTTCTCCCGCCTGAGTGAGGCGGGAGGGAGTGTCAGACTATTACTGACTAAAAACCACCCCGTTCCTTCTCCTGCACGTCGAGCCGGAGCCCCAAAATCCTAATGTGGGGCAATGTAATTATAAAAAAAAAACTTACTTCATTAAAGAAGTCTCCGACCCATTTAGCGACGACCAGTGTGATGATGATGGGCAACGCGTTGGAGATCTGTCCTGTAGTCTCGATGATGATGACTGTCAATGATATAGTCATGCGCACTACACCACCGAGTTGGGCTGCGGCTCCAATCAGCGCGTACTTCGCTGGGTTAATTGTCTATTGGACAAAAATACGTAAATTAAAAAAAGTGCCTTATCAGTCCTCTCAAATCAAACTTGCATAATTGGAATACAGGGTATGAAAATTAAAAATCTAATTAGTCCGTAAGTTAGGTAATGAAAAAATCGTCGTATAATAAAACAATACTTAGATAAAACGAATCAAAGTTTAGGAGTGGGGGCTAAAACGTCATCTCTACGTATAAAGTGTACATAGAAGTAACGTCACGCGACATTTCAAATCAATATATCGTCGAAAGTATTCGTTTCTGTAAGAAATTAAAAAATACGTGTCTAATGATTTAAAATAATCGATCAGACGGACATTAAAATAAAAAGTAGGCATCTACCCTATTATTGTAAGGAACATTTAATACACCAAAAAACATTGCCGTGTGGTAACAGCAGGGTAGGATACATTTGTCCACTCCTACTCTTCTCGCGGATGCCGGAAGAGCCGACAAAGGGAATACACATTTAACAGACATTGTCTAATCTATGTTAAAAGTGCTACTGTCCAGTAGCTCTCTCTGATAAACCCTATCTCGTACCCTGTCAGGCGTGGAGATGAAGGCAAACCTCTCTTTTGTAGACGAGGCTTATAATCCATCATTGGACTCTCGCGATGATTGATAATTATGAAGATGAGAGCAGGGAAGGGTTCCGAAACAAATATGGAAAATCAGTTTATTCCAAACTTCCATCGTCTTAATACACCCTTTTTTTTGAGTGGGGAAAATCATCCAATGGCTTCTCCCGCCCGGGTGAGGCGGGAGGGAGTGTCAGACTCTTACTGACTAAAAACCACCCCGTTCCTGCACTTCGAGCCGGAGCCCCGGCAACCCGTTAAGTCTTCCGCGGCTCCGTATCGGCATCAGCCCTGTTAGGCCCCATCTGTGGTGGTCTGATGGCTCCTTGAGGTGCGCGCGGTCTTAATACACCCTAAGATTCCGTTCCACTGCTTTACGTACTTTTTACAAACAGAAAACAACTTTATTCCAATAAGCATACGTTTGAAATTGATAAAAACACAGTTACTTACATTAGAAGGTAGCATATACTGTATGATAATCGCTAGCATTCTTCCCCAGGCGGCGCCCGTTAACAGATTCGGTATAAAGAGCCCACTCGACACTGACAGACCGAATGTCCAGGCAGATAATAGGAAGTAGCAAGCGACGAATGCCAGTATGGACCATGGTTTGTAAGATCCAATTGGGTCGTGGAGGAATGATCGAACTGAGGCTTCGGGCGTTTGAAACCAAATAGCTGCTAAAGCGTTGTATTCACCGTCTGCGCAGAATAGCTGAGGAAAATAAATATTGACTTGTCAAATGATTGATTATATCCAGAATTTAAACTTATTTAGATTTAATTAGTTATGCAATAGGCAGACCTCAAAACTAATTAAAAAAAGTGAGGAGACAAAAATATTTTGGAATACATTAGCTCTTTTCCGACATGAGGTTTAAACCCAACTTCTTCTCTACATAAGTAATTTTATGCCTTGTTGGCCGAGTAGTCGCAAGTGCGACTGTCGGGCAAGGGGTCTCGGGTTCGATTCCCGGGTCGAGCAAAGTATTACTGGGTTTTTAAAAATTCTCAGTTACGTAGCACGGAGTCTGGAATTGTGCCCGGTATATGGCAATAGGCTCACCCCCTAGCACATGGGACTCATAACATAAATAGTGAAAAGTGGGTGTTACATTGTACAGTGGCATTAAGTGCCGTAATTTGCACCTCTGCCTACCCCTTCGGGGATAAAAGGCGTTATGTTATAAGTTATTTTATCTGCCAATTGCCTTCAGTTACGATCTATGATTTCAGTAAAATAATAAGTCTGTGGACCATGGACAAGACTTCACTTCATTTTAATTTTATAGCTTTTATTTTATTTTTATTTTTAATTATGTTATGTGTGTTTTGCGCAAAAATAAATAGTGTTTCTTTCTTTCTTTCTTACAGTTCACGAAACATACCTGCAAAGGCACTTTAGTAGGATCCTCTCCCAAAGGTCTGCAGTCGTCGAGAAGGAACATCATTAAGAACCCACACGTAGCACTCGCGGCCGCCACTAGACATGCCTCCACTACTCGCAACCAAGGAGTTCCAATGTACCTGATTATAAAACACGTTGGAGTAAAAAAATTGGTTGCCTGTAAAGTCGGTATACGGGCGAAAGTTTTACGTGACAACGATTTTGAGTGGTAAAATAATTTTAATGTGAATATTCATTCGTATAGTAGGAAGAAGGATGAAATAAAAGTAACAATTTAAAACATTTATTTATACAAAGAATTATATTTAAAACATTAATACGCGTGGCTTTCACTTTTTATGTCTGTCTCTCTCGCTCTTAGGCGGGCTAACCATGCCCGAGTGGAAGGGACGCGTGCCTCTCACTCGGTCTCATTGTGAGCGCATAACGTGAGCGAAGCGTAATGCAGTTTCTTGAAGTGTCACCCGGCAAACCAATTTATAAGACGTTGTCACGTTAATAAACTTTATTGCTATCAAACATTGAGTTCATTATTAAGAACCCACAAATATTTATTATATTATAGCGTTCGCGGCCGCCACTTTATCTAATGATCACTATGTCGACTACTCGTACGTTCAGTGGAATAAAAACTTTACTTCTAATAAAATAAGGTATATTTTTGTAGGTAGGCAAGAGATTTAGGTTCGGCGACCAAACTTGTGGTTGGAAAAACAGATCTATAATAAAAACGAATAATTAAATATTTACCTTATCCTAAACACGGCTAGTCTGTAATTGATGTAATTCCACAAAGCTCCCAGCATGCCGCCGACTGCACCAAAGAACATGAACACGGGCAGCTCATAGAATTGGAATGGAAATGGTTCCATCTTGCCTAAATTCAGCAGACCTAGAATATACGAAATATAAAATTAATCTACATATACAAAGTTAATCTACACTAGCAGCCCGTCCCGGTTTCGCACGGGGTAGACAATTATTTATTTTTGGAAATTGGATCTTTGTAGTGACATAACTACAATAGTTGGACATATTTGTAGACATTATGATGTTCTTCAATATTGTTGTACATTATTTTGTTCTATCGCTAATAGTTTCGGCAGCGCATTCGACGAAAGACATTTTAAGACTCATTTTTCTACACCTTCGGTTAGATTGTTCAAATTTTACCAAGGATCCCTAATTTTTTTCAAAATGAAATGTAATCAAATCAAATTAAATCAAAATCATTTATTCATTAAATTTTGGGTAAATAATTATGATCACAGTATTAAGATAGTACCACCAAAATCTGCCCTGTAGCCTATGTCAAATTGGAAGAATGTAGCATTCTATTGGTGAAGGAATTTTTTAAATAGGCCCAGTACTTTTTGAACCTATTCATTACAAACATACAAAAATAGGTACAAATCTTTCTTCTTTATAATATTAGTATAGATATCATACTAAGAAATTAAGTCTGTAAGGTACCTAATCAGTCTAGTCTAGGAAAGAGTGTGAATAGTAATTGAAACGTTTTTCTTGATACTTTTTCCGGTCTCACAGAAAACGGCAAAAAACAATGCTTGTGTTATTTCGCCGTGTAAGTAAGGTTACTAGAGATCTACACCTCCCCTCCACCTCCACCCCAAATCTCCAAAAGACCAGTATCATAATTTGTTACTCCTTTGGTGTTGCGAGTGTCCATGAGTAGCGGCGATTGCTTACCTTTGTATGTACACTCACGTACACACCTATGTAAATGCAGGTGCATGGCTGTGTGCGTAGGGCGTCGTATCATATTGCTATTCCCTCCTTAAATTAGAATAAAGACCAGTCTTCACATAACGGTGTGCCGAGCCGGTACTTTTGTTAAACTTGAACTTTTGTATAATAATTTTAAAAATACACTTTAATGCACACAAAATAAGGTACATAAGGCGGACTTAATGCCATATGGCATTTTCTCCCAGTCAACCTTTGGGTTAAAAGTAAGCTCAGCGAAAATGGTAATAAAATAATTTCGTGTGTCTTGATGTGAACAATATAATTTACCAGGGGCGTTCTGAACTTTTATTTATCTTTGACATTCATATAGACACAACCTCAAAACCTTCATATCCGATTGCCTACATTGTTGCATGAAAAAATACGAACCAGGAAAGCTGAGTTCTCCCGCCCTTCCATGATACGCTGACAGAGCGCAGTTTAATGTGAACGTGGAAACCACAGTGCCGAAGAAAGTTCGCCATGTCAGCGCCTGGTTCCAGAAACTCGTTCCTTCTTCAAGAGAGAACAGTACTCCACCTAAAAATTTAAAATCAATGTGTATTATTAGAATTCATTAACGTGTCTTTTGCTTTGGTTAATCAGCAAGTTAACAGATTAAATACGGCATGAAACCACCAGACTGACCTGTTAACCTCTCGCGTGTTTCTCGTACACACGGGTGTACGAGAGAGTTGAGTGCCCATCGCGTAATTGTACACACGGGTGTACGAGAAACGCGCACCGATTGGATATTTTTTCTGTGACGTATATTTTCAAGTTTGCAACCCGTTCTTTATTTGATTGAACTGAATTATTAATTCGCTTTTCTATTAAAATATTTACCCGTGTGTACGAGAACGCGCGTTTACGCGTGTGTACTAGAAGCGCGCGAAAGGTTAATGATGCGAAAGAGGTATGTGGGAATCGTAGTAATTGGAGTTCCATAGTCTCTGCCTACCCCCATGGGAGACAGGCGTGAGGTTATGTATGTATGTATGTATGAAATAACCAGTTAAAAAAAAGTTATGTGGTCCAAAAGTTTTTGTTATCACTTTAGTATTTTACGTCGTAGGTATATGGGTGTGTGTACCCAAATGTCATGAGTTCATGACGTAACATTAGGTACGTCGGGTATTCTACGGTTATTTCACAACAGAACACTTCTTCTCCAGCGGTCCAGCGACCAGGGAGCCGTACCATAAACGAATATTTCGAAGTTTAGTCTTACCGATAGGAGCGCCGAAAGCCGCGGACACACCGGCGGCCGCCCCCGCCGATACAAAGTCACGTTTCTCGTGATCCTCGCGGAAGTACTGGAATATCTTGAAGTCCTTGTTGAAGGTCGTGCTCTTGCCTTGAGATATACCGGCCGCCACCACAGCTCCACTGTGGATCATAGGCCCTTCCTAAACAAGAAAGTGTTATGTGGAAGGATATAGTAATACATAACGGTTCGAAATAGAAGAGTGAATGAAGTTTATGAAACTAAAGTAAGTACCTATACGGCTTGTTACAATGAGCATGTATTAGATTTTTTCATCCTCTATCTAAATTTTTTTTATGGCATTAGCCGGTAAACGAGCAGACGGATCACCTGATGGCAAGCAATCGGCGCCACCCACCTAAAACACTAAGGCGTTACAAGTGCGTTACCAGCCCTTTAGGAATTGGGAATTTGAGGATTGTGGAGGATTCGGGGATTGGGAAGACTGGGGAGGGGGGCTATATACAATAGGAGGAAAAAAATCTGATACACAAAAATTTACTTGCGAATGTTTTAGTACCTATATACTGAAACATGCGTAAGAAAACTATTGACTTATGTAAATTATTCTTTGGCCAATTTACAAGTGACATGCAAACATTGATGATGATGATACATTGTGTATATTTCTATGACGTCAAGATTGACGTAGCGTAGGTAGGCAGTTTCATGTGAAATAGTAAGTGTTAAGTTGTTGTACTTGAATGTACAAAAAATATTCAAACAAGTACAAATAATAGCTTCACTTTTAAATGTATATTGCTGACGATCAAAAGTGCCTTCCTGGTCTAATTGAAATAAATAATTTTGACTTTGATTTTTAAGTTGATAATGTCAAAATACTCAAACGCCACTCAAACTTTAGGTCACGCTTTGGTATACTGCTGTCACTATACATACATTGTTTGTAAAAAGACAAAGATGGCACCATATTTAAGTAAAAAAAATAAAAATAATTTATTTCATTTAAGTACAACCTAAAATTGAGTAGTTTTTCAGTATTCGAGTGTAAATATACCAAAAACATAGCAACATTACGTCACTACTTTACATTGGTATTCTGTAAGATAATGGTATTTTGTATTTGCAGTCCTAGCCACGCAACTTGGCAAGATTTCGCGCTTAGTGTATTATCTCATTATTTCTCACATTAAGTTTCAGCACAAATTCCTTTTCTTATTCTTTCTTGAACTTAATTCCAAGCGGACATGATTAAAGTTAAATGCTGGTAAGGGGGTGTCCATATATTACGTGAGATGTTTAAGGGGGGGAGGGGGTAGACTCAAATCTCATCTAATCTTACGTTGGAGAGAGGGGGAGTCTCGGCAAATATCACGTAATTTTTTTTCTGATACAATCAAAAAATTATACTATTTTTACCGACTTCATAGTTCATTAATTCCAGATTGTACATGCTTAAGATTTAATTCTACAAGAACATGGATTTTTTTTGTTTTTGCAATAACAATCCAATGCGTTTACGTGAAAAACCAACATTTAGGAAAATCTCACGTGAGGTTGGGGGATGGGGGAGGGTGTTGAATAAAATCTCATGAAATCTCACCAAGGGGGAGGGAGGGACAGACAATTAAAAAAAACACCACACGTAATTTATGTACGCCCCCTAATAAAAATAAAATAATGAGAAAGTGCACAATTTGCGAACATACTCCCACTGCGACAAAATCGTGCTAATTTACATGCCAGGTGGAATAACAAATGGTTTGGTTTTGCCACATATAAGAACAATTTCGTATTTATTAGCATATGACTAGTTTACCTTGCCACCAGCCAGTCCGCCGACGACAGCTGTGATAACACCGACCGCCTTCACGATAAGCGTCTTGATCCGTACCACTCGCGGCACCTTCACTCCGTTTAAGTAACATTTGACTTGAGGAATACCACTGCCAGCTGCTACAGGCTAAAAATATATTTGCATAATTATCGTAAGATATAATTACATGGGACTCATAACATAAATAGTGAAAAGTGGGTGTTACATTGTACAGTGGCATAATGTGCACCTCTGCCTACCCCTTCGGGGATAAAAGGCGTGATGTTATGTTATGTTATCGTAAGACATACTGGATTTATATGACAATAGGCTCAGCCACTATAACATGAGGCTCATAACATAAATAGTGAAAAGTGGGTGTTACATTACACACAAGCACTGCTTATGTGCATAGTTCATTACTATGAGCCCCAATTTGGTTTGAAATTAGTTGAGCCTCCATGGAAGATTTACAATATTAACATGACTAAACCTTAATTTATAGATTTGTTAAAATCTGCTATTAACTTTTTTGTTTAACGGCATATTAGTTTTGTTCGTTTTTGTACAGTATTAAAAAATGTAGCTAAAGAAACTATAACAAATACAATAACAATACCACAGTCAAATTAAACACATAATTCTTTCAATTGGACATGGACTTTCGTTAAAGGCAGGTAGTAAACAATAATAATAATATTGGTCCATAGCAAAATTTCACACAGAGACATATTAATGTATGTTACAATAGTACTACAATAGTGTAACTTACCTCCACATAAGCAACTAGCATAGATCCAATAAACACAATGCAAATGTTTGATAACACCCACAGCAAATAAGGAATGTACAGTTTGTCTTCTAAAACATATTTGTCCACAGCTGTTTATTAATTAGTCATGGAAATCATATTCATAACCACATTCATACTTGCACATATCAAATGACAGTAACTATCAAGCAAAATACAACTTTATCTTCTATGTATTACAGTTCATATTGCAATTGTTTGTATTACAGAAATATGTTCCACAACAATCAACATCAAAAATCAACTTTATCATCTAGGTGTTAAAGCTCTTATTGGACTTGTTTGTGGTACTGGGATAACTGATGAAATAATAAATTTATTAATTCATTGAAACGTTTTAAAGTGTAACAATGCCTGTTCAATAAATATATTTGTTGGTTGAGGAAAAGTATATTCCTTAGGAATTTTGTGAATTTATTGCAATATACTTAAATTGCTTTTTAAACTGTTTGTTAAAATGAATCACCATTAAAATAATTAAGGTTGAATATTACTACAGTAATGATGATTCACTCAAAAGTTTTTTAATGAAACTTTAAAAAGGATACATTTCTTCAGCTCTCTATATTTGATCTTGGAGAATTCTTCTATGCATATGTCTATGAAAAATGCTATGAGAGCTGTTACTATTCCAATCAGTAATATTATGAACCATCTGGCAATATCTTTCCACACAATGAAAGCATATCCTCGTTTCCTTTCCTCATCAAGAAGTAGGTGGTTCTCACATGTGTCATAATCTAAACTCTGAATAAAAAAACAGTTTATTGGCTATGTGACTAATAAAAAACACAAACATTCTACAAAATTAGTCTCTAAACATTGGAAATAAGGTCTATAATGTAGTTAGTGGAGAGCGGTCACCGGTGACCGCTTGGAGATATACGGGCTAAATTCAAAACAAATGATCACGAAGGAGTTTTCAAGAAAATAGTTAAACTTTCTTTTTTATATCTTCTATAACAAATAAATCATTGTTTTTGATAAACACAAAGATGAAGGGAAGAATAATGTTTGTTTTTATCTTTATTAAGATTAGATTTGTTTATAATATGCAAATATTAGTCAAACAAATTATCTTCATGGAATTTATTGATTAGGGAACAAAGAATATCTGGAGTATGAATAAATTAAATAGACATTCTGAACATACTTACTTCGTATTTAGCTGAGAGAACATTCATAGATCCAGGTTCAATTTTCTGTTGAGCTTGTCGCCTCCTAATTCCATGGCTACCGTGAAATTGATCATCATCGGAGTCCTGCACATTGAATAATTAATTGCCTCATTTACTAACTATGCACACATATTAGTTTCACTAAACAAATGGCTGATTAGACAAAGAGGTCATATGCCAGCTAGTAATATCAATAACTATGTTACTTAATACTTGTTCAAATTACTGTACATGATAAAATAAAAATAAAAAACAAAGATATAAATATATAGTACCCACGGAAATATAAATGTTATTGTTCTTTGTAAAAATCTACTTACCTCATATGGCACAGATCTGTTGAGCTGTGTGTAATTAGAAGTGCTTGCATCTTCGTGGCTTAATAATTGAGCTGTATCCGATGTAGTTTCTATATTGCTAATAGAACTAGCAGTTCCATCAGCAATCGATGTCGACGAGTTGCTCATTTTATCATAATCATGAACTCGATGAAAGAAAGGAAATAGGATGTTTTGTTTTCCTTATCTAAGATGTTTCGAATTCACACCATGTCTTTTGACTTTATAAAAAGTACGTGTGCGGCAGATTTATAGGTATGTTAGTTTAATATTAATTTGCGCCAGATAGCGATATAACAAATAAATAATATTGTTTTACAATGTACACTGCTCTTTCGCAACATGAATGAAAACAAATTGAATGAACATTTCATGTTTTTGACTAATGACATTTAAAACTCTTGACAGACGTCAAGCTTGACGTTGACGTTTAACAGCACAGAGTATTAATTTCAAACGAACAAAGATATTCTCGACTACAGCAACGACAAAATATCAACCGATTAAAGTCCTTATCAAATCGAATAGATAAGAATATTACAAGGATTAGGGGTGATGGCCATTATTTTGGAATAATTTCATAAATATTTTACAAAAATGACAATGTTTTACGAGCAATGCGGTGAAATTTCTTTGTGTATAACTTCAATTTATGTTTCTATTAAAAGAAATAAAATTATTCACAAATTATGAAGTTATTTGTTTTAAAGTTATTAAAACTCATGAGTGTTTGTTACCAAAAGGTAAATTGCTTTCAGAGCTCCTTATGTTTAATAAAAATATAATTTTATAATAATTTGTTATGTATTTCATGTATATTAAAAAGTGATCATCTAGGAAATTCAAACGCGTGAATTAAAATAAACTACAATTTATAACATACCTATTTAGTGTTCATTCATAAATCCTAATCAATATCAGATATTACAACAATATTGATAATACAAATCATTTTGATAATGTTATCATTTTATCAGTGCGTAAACTAGAACAAACTTTCTTGGTGCACACATACGACACGATCATAGCTTCGTAAACAATAGACGATTTCAATGTGTGTGTAGCTTGTTCGTTCGTTTGGTTGACAATCGCGATGTGATGTATTCTACATCATCGCATGCTGAGTTATATTTTCAACAAAACCTTTTAATTTTAATTAAGTTACTTGATTAATTTCTAAATGTTTTCTTTCATTGTGAATACTTTTCTCTGTTTTAATTTCTAAATATGTGTAATTTGCCGCCGAAGTTCCATTCAGTGTGTCGCCTTTGTTTATCATTCTGTGGCGATAATTGCAGTGATGTTAAACTTCCAATTTTTGACCGTGATAAGGATAAATCACGTCTTTCCGAGATGATAATGGCAAATTTGTCAATAATGGTAACAATTTTTGATTATTTCTTGCAATGATCATTAAACAGGAGGAGTTTTCTCGTGTGAAAGTTTAGCGTAAGCGTATGAGATTGTGGATGCTGATAAGCGCCATTAACTTTCTCGCGGGTGTTGGGTATTTTCGCATTGTGATATCATATTACGGCCCACGCGTCGATTGCTCGGCTGTATGACTAATGTCATTCGTGGAAATGATATGCGAGCGTATAGCAGGCGCGCTGTATCAGCGACGCGGCCGCTGATAACAAAGGAGCGCGGACGGCGGAGACCACCTCGCGCTCGCCTCACACCTGCGCCGCTCCTGCGGTGGCCCTCGGACCTTCGCATCGGCTCCTCCACAAATACACTGCTCAAACCCATGCTCTTTGACAGTGCTTATCCATGTTATGCTATGCCCTGCTATTTTGAGATTTCAATATTATCTAAATTTAGATTTGTATTTTAAGGCAATCAATCTGCAGGGGGACTCCATGTTCCCATTTTGTCACAGTGTGCACCAAGGATGCAGGAACAACTTGTGGATTTGTAATGTGTTTGTTATCAGATTGCCACCAATGACTCATCATCTATGATTACACTTGCAAAAGGTCACTGGCCACATCAACTCTCCTAATGACTGAGGTGTTGTGAAACTAACTTAGTTATATTTCTAATGCTGTGAATAATATTTTTAGGTTTCCCCTGAAGACTTGCTGCCACAAGTCGTGTGTGGGGGCTGTGCACACAAACTTGATGAATTTCACACCTTCCGAGAATTATCACACAAATCTGAACGACTTTTGGAACAGTTTTTGCAATATGCTAATTCACTCTCTGGTCCAAAAGAGGTGAGTTTCCTATAGTCTTATTATATATTTATTTTTAGCAAACAAACAAAAACAAAAGTGTTTTAAAATTTATTAATAATTTCCAAAAATATTTAATACAATTTCTATTTACATATTTTCGTTACTATCTAAAACTTCCTGACAGTATAATTCTATTGAAGATATAATACAATTTACTGATTAGTAATACTAAGGTGTTATCATGCAAAACTGGTATCTGAGTTTAAGTTGATATAACGGATTGGTTGGGTCTTGATCTTTTTGTTGTAGCAAGATTTGACTGCATTGACAAGTAGGCCTAGTAACATACCTAAACAGGCTATTAATGCTACTCCTAGGATGCTGTATAAGATGTGTTTAGGTTTTAGGTTAGATAAAGTGAATACCCTGATGTTCTTAGGTTCTGTGTTCAAAGTTGGGCAGTAGGGAAGTGTAATGTTGGTTATGTATGCTCCACTGAGCCTCATAGGGGCAGCACAGCTGTAATAAGAATAAATATGTTAAAATAGTTTCACAATGTAAACTCTGGTAGCATAAATTAGCCAATCAAAAGGCACCCTTAACATTAACTGATAGGTAATAATAAATGCTTGTGATTTAAATGTAAGACAAAATTACTATTTACAATATCTGATTAGATCATAAAATATGAAATACTATGATGAACTCATAGATTGATAATTTTATGAGCTGACATACTGTCATAAACCAGTCTTAGACTGAAATATTAGTTATAATGTAGCCTTACATACTTGAGAAGTTTCTGTAAAGTTTCATATTTTATAGAATTTCCTCTGTATTAAAGATATATTTAGAATTATAATCTGAATATTATGTCAGAATACGTACATACATACATAACTTCACGCCTGTCTCCCATGGGGGTAGGCAGAGACTAAGGAACGCCAATTACTACGATTCTTACACACCTCTTTCACTTCATTAACAGTCATCAATCTTTTCATGCATGCTCGTCGGTTAAGGGTACTTTTAATTTGGCCCTTCTTTAATCTATATTTATAATTATATCAGAATCTATTCCTTAAACTCCTTTGCAGAAAAAAATTTGTGCATTTTGTCTATAGGACCACTCACTTTAGCAGTAAAAGCAAGCCACATTATCTATAGATATTATAATCTTAAATATTATAGTTATTTTTAATTTTATTATACTTACAAAGGAATTTCTCCAATCTGGAATTTAGCCCCTGCTCCCTGATCTGTCACAATATTGGCCAGTTCACAGTTGCAAAGCCAATTATTGCCAGTCATTCCTAATATCTCCAATTTGTTCCATGGCATTAAGTCTGTGGATAACTCACTGAGGTAGTTGTTATCCAGGTACACCTGTATGAATAAAACATTTTTCAAATTAATATTTATAGACAACTGTGAAAATGTTGAAACATCTTAGAACATAAAAAATAGATTTTCTGAGGAGATGGAGATGTTTGTTATTCTTTTATGCAAAAACTAATGAATGGATTTAGATGAAATTTGGCATATTGATAGACCATGACCTGCATTAACATATTTTATCTTGGCAGCTCAGGAGAATGTGCTTGTATTAAGTGGTTGTGTTTCATAATAAATGTTAGGATATTTTTTACTATAGAGTATCGTGCGGTAGCAAAGCATTGCTTACGTCAATACTTATTTTTTATTTAAAATGTCGCGATTTCTCTCCTTCTAGACAAATCACATACCTACTGTACGATGTTGACTCTAAATAAGGTAGGGCAAACTGATTAATCGGCTTACATAATGCTATGGGAATACCCCTATCAACTGTTTTTAAAAAGTTATGCTTTATCAACCATTATTTATTTGTATCACGTATCTATTTAGAAAATAATAATGGTTGTTTTTCCCCGAAACTAGGCAGTGGTTTACAGTTGACCCACTTTTCGCTAGCGCAAAGCAACACAACAATTATTTCCAAATCGAAGAATCTAAGAATACTCAACTCGATTAGAGTTAAAAACTAGTGCTTAACAGTGGTTCTTAAGGCCGATAGATGTAAAAAAGTTAGGCTATCAGTCCGTCCGTCTTAATTAGCGTAATTATGATTGTAATCATAGTCGACAATGTTCCATTTTTTAGGATAAATGTGGCAATGATTGATTGTGTATCAAAACAACACTAAAATGATTAGTAAGCTGACCCCGATCCGCGACTGTCATGTAAGCACTCAAAAACTGGGGCAAATTGGATTGCATGCATTCTACAAAATGATGATTATGATACGTTTACCGAATTTATGTTAGTAATCATCACGTTTATTTAATAATTCTGATAAATCATGTTACCATGAGCTTATAGAATATATCAGTCACAATAATAGACGGGTGTCGTCATCCCGAGTAGGTACCTAACATTAATCATTATGAGAAAATACATGACGCCCAAACTAGATTTGCTTCGATTAAAATATCGGAATAAATTATTTCCGCTTCGACAATAACTTTATAGCACCGAATTAGCAATGCTCATAAGATATGCGGGATTTTCCGTGCTGATGCTGCTATCTATATCGTAACTTTGGTTGGGACAGTGTTACTCACTTCTTTCAAGGTCCATTGGTCTTTCAATCCGAGGAACGCTTTATGGCTGATGTATCGCAGGTTTCGGTTGTGGCAGAGGTGAAGTACCCTCAAGTTCTTGAGTGGGGAGAACGTGCTGCTTTTCACTTCTTCCAAATAATCGTTTTCGCCGACTTCTAATTCGATTAAGTTCGTTAAGCCTGCAAAAAAACTGATTCTATTATTATTATGTACTTCCGTATCAACGAGTAGGCATGTTACATCAACCTGTAATGTACTCTTTAATATAATAGATAAACATCTGTGGCATTTTTTTGCTACATACTGTTTATAAGTAGATAGTCGATAGTGCTTGATACTTGTTTGGAAGTAGATTATTTTTTCATAATTCTGTTCAATAAAGTAAACATTCCCGAAATAAACACATTGATAGTTATATACTTCATGGTATGCTCCAGATTTAATGGTTGCCAAATACCAATTCGTTGTTAATTAATAAGCCTATGTTATAAAAACACGAATGCGAGATTGAAGTGAAATTTATCGGGATTGATTCGGCACAAAAGTGGAGATAAATAGCGTCGTAAAATCCTTTTTAATTTTGGTATTTCCCGTAACGTGATAACAACAGGTTTCAGTATAATGTTATGTATTGTATCCACTTATGACTCAGCGTCCAGTAGGTACGTAAATGATGATGAGTCCAGTTTCTACGTACACATAAATAAGATAAACATCATTTTGTTAACTTGTTATACTACGATCTAAACCCGTTCTAGAAATTGGTTACGTAGCGTTGTAACAACAAAACAGTATAACATCCTATCTCAATGCCTGATTTTCGATAGACTTATAAATATATTGTATAATTCGTATACAACTAATTAGTCCTATATAGGGACAAGCTATTCTCCCAAAACTGCGTTGCTTCTGAAAGCGCTGATTTTCACTGTTCTGAACCGCAAGCAATACGAACTCTCATGTAGATGGTAAATCTCTGTATTTACCTACGAAACTGTCGTCATTGAGCTGGTTGATAGGATTGTTGTTGAACGTGAGGTACTTGAGGGAGCTTCCGACGAGAATCAGACTCTCCGGCACGGTCACGAACCGGTTGTCAGACAAATCGATTTGCTGCAGCTTCGTTAACCCTTTAAACGCGTCTAGGGGTATGCTATTGATGTCGGTTTTAGCCAAATCCAATACCTAAAATAAAAAAGCATGTATTTTTAGGTGAACGCTGCGGGGGCCCTTAACTAACAATAGTAGGTGATCTTCTCACTTAAGGTCTTTATGAAAAAACAAACATCTGGGTTTTCGTTTTAAACTTAACTTCTTTTGTTAGATATTATAGATAAATGAATGTTACTGGAATGCAATCTTAGCTAGAAATTGTTCATTGTGCGTAATCTCAGTTATTAATCTTTCATATATTTTAATTAATGATGGCGATATCTTGTATCGTGACTAATACTCATTGTTGTTGACTTTGCAAAGTTCCTTCTAGTAATATACATTTTAATATTCGCCTGACGTCTGGGATGAAATTGACACAATACTTGAATAACGTGTCTCATCGTAAATCAGTATTTTATAGCTCAAGCAAAAACGAAGAGTTTGATAACCTTGTTTTTATCAGGTAATTTATCAAAAGAAATTGAATATTATCTCAGCTAGTTTGAAATGTTTTCTATCCGCTAGTTTCTAGTCTTCAGTTAATCTCTGTCCACAATATTTTTTTAGATCAAGTCAAAAATACACTTCTTGCATTCGTAAACTTTGTTGGTCGATGTTAGTGATATTGATAGTGATCCCCAAATAAATGTAGGTCGCCCTATTTTGCTGGTTTCGTAAGGGGCGATTTAAGAATTTGATTGGTTAGGTAAAAGAGAAGCAGATACTCCTAACCCTGGTACATTGAAACAAAGGTAAAGGAAAAAGGATCTCCCTGAATTCGTACCCAGGATCTGCCAAAATGATTCGATAGTTTTCTTACCTGTAAATTGATAGCACTGGCTAATGCAAGAAGTGTCACATGGTCGAGGATCTCTATCGGATTGTTGTTGAGGTAGAGTCGTGTTAAGTTCGGCGTGTACTGGAACAAGTACCGGTCCAAGGAGTGGATGTCGTTGTGACCCAAGTTGAGCGTCTCCAATGCGATGCTGCCGTATACGCCATATTGAGTGCAGTTGGTACATTGGTATTTTCCTCGGAATATCTCACTCCTTAACACTTCACCTGGAACCAAAAGAGTCATATTGCAAGTTACGTTATAACTTCTTAATTTTTTTTTTTTTTGTGTAGTAGTTATGCTATGTCGTAGTTTTTGCGTCCGTTGTACTTTCTGCTTTGTATTCATTCTGAAGTTGCAACGGCTTATCCGTCCGCCCACTTTCCTAGTGATTCATAGTTTTCACTGTGCCAGAACTGTAGTAACATTTTATTCAATATTTATTAGTTTAGATAAAGTACTTCATCTGTATGTTTGAATGAATGATGAGAGAACATTTGGTCCAAAAGACTACAGTTGGGCAGTCTTGATTCCACGGTACCGCAAAATGTTTAGTTGGAAATAATGACTATTGTAAATCAGTAAACCTATTTGGAAGTACTGCAAGATTCGTAATAATTGATTAATTTCTAGAAAATATACTTTGTTTGCGTTTATGCTAATGAAAGTCAATAGTGATATATCGTAGATACTTGTGATTTGAATAGCTTATCATGCGCCAGTAATTGTTTGTACTTTCTAATGAGCTACCAAATCGACAGAATATTTCAGAGATCACCTTCGTACAATACACACTTTCTTTATGTTTATGTATTTATGTTGATGACTTAGATGTATTTTGCGTAGAGAAGACTGTTTGCGATATCTTATTGTACACATATGAATGTTTAGATAAGAGATAAATATTTTATCGTAATGTGTAGATGTAGGTATGTTTCCTATTATGCTTATGGTGTAGTGACATTATCAGAAACTTGTTTGTGTAGTTCTCGAGGCGTGTCCTGTATCTTAAATTCATTTGTCGGTTGAACACAAGGAAATCTTTAATTAGAAAATTGTCTCACAAAACTATAATTACGGATCATTGAACCGGGGCCTTTGATTGAACTGTCGATGTCGCTTGAGGATTCGTGTTGTTATGTTCTCTGTAATGATTTTTTTGTTGCTCTTGTTTGCACTTTACCTACGGCTACGTGTGTGTTCCGATTACACTTTGTTGTTTAATACTTAGTGCATTTGAATGCGATATCAATACACGTATATAGCTTACTATATTCATAACAATAGATGAGAATTTGCTTTATTCTCTTAGTGAACTGTATTGCTTCATATTTATGGTAAATCCAATCAGAGTTAAATGTCAGAATTATCTTCACAAGCGAGTAATTTATATCGTAAAGATTTAAAGGTGCTATAAATGACACGATCTTTGTTAGTAATGAGTTCAATGAGACAATGCGCATTAACATGTTATTTGCTTTAGACCGAATTACGTCAGTTCACCCAAAAGTGTTGTTCTTCTATTCTAGTTGTTATCATGCGGAACCGACAACTTAATATGCACTTAGAAACACGGAGAACGACTCCCCTATACATGTTGTCTTAGTCAAGGCTATTGTTAGATGGTGTTTACGACATTTTTGTGAATCAAAGTGTTGCAACGTAGCGTTCTTCGGCGAAACCATATAAATAAATGTACCGCTGCCGGTGACTAACATTATGAAAGATGTTGAGTGTACGCTCAACGCTCATATCTGTGGAGAATGTGAAAGATAATAAAACGTTAACTATATTAGCAATATTATTGCGTTCACTTATTTCGTATACTATAAGCACGGAGCTAATTCGTTGTTGGCCGTTTGAAATATGGATAAATTAAAAAACAAAAAAAAATGTGATTCATGAATGGGTTTCCAATCTAGATGTATTATGTATATCACGCCATGTTTGAGGTACATTTAGCGGAATTCATTCACCTTTATAATGGAAAGTTTGAAATCATAGACGTAATGGCAACGTCAACACTTGCTAAATGTTGTTTATATATCTATGGGAGATATTTGTAGAGGATTTAGATCATCTTTATTCAGTGTTTGTGTAAGAATAACGAGGAGACATGGGGCGCTTCTGTTTTATGTTATTAAGGCCGAAAGATAACGAATAGCCAAACAGAATCTTAGCAAATATTTATTAGCAGTGTGGGTTGACAAATTGCAAAAATATTGGCTTTAGAAGTGACTGTTAATGCACTTGACTTGCTCCTAATGTCAAGTGATTGCAGTAATCGAATGTAGCTAACGTGTAACTTAAGTAGTACATTTGGTTCACGTCTGTTTTGTATAAGTTTTATTAACTCGTCGAGTACCGGTTTTATAGACACAATTAAAGAACAATAGGTCGCGGTCACCGGTGACCGCTTGGTGTTTGACAGATTAATACTTTTGTTTGCCTTTCTTGTGAACATAAATATCTGACCCAGATAAGTGTTTTCTGATCAATAATCACGTATTACGCATCTCGCTTCCATACGTTGGCGTTGATAGCTTAACGGTCAGTATTGACCAGTTAGTGGACCATCAAGGCCCAAAATAACAGTAAGTTGAAATATTTGATTTATGATTTTAGTGGAATTTATGGCAATTTGTTGTTGATATTTGATAGTGTCGTGACTTCGTTGTCTCTTGATCGAAGAGTGTGTATGAGTTTACTTGAATACTGATCACCTATCGCAGCTATAGTTTATATGTTATTTAATTGAAAAGTAAATAATAAACATACCAGAGATATAATTGTTGCTGAGATCGAGGTATACCAATCTCTCGATGTTGCTGAATGCATCGTCCTCGATGTCAACGATCTCATTCGACTTGAAGCTGATGGCGACCCTCTTGCCGGGCACTGCGGGTATTTGCGACACGTTCGAAATTGTATTGTTGAAAAACGTTATCAACACATGCCCATCTGGAATTCATGAAATTTCCATTATAACATCTATTTTCCAAACAAAAATCTTCACATATTTTTTATCATGTTAATAACGGTTATAGTCCTGTTAATACTTCATCAATATTCATAAAACCAAATAGGTATTATCATAAAACCTAATCCATTCCACCCACGGTAAACTTCACTGCATCGATAAACGTACGCACGGAACGTATGCATGATTTTCAGAATGTATTATGAATAATTTATTATAACACTAAAACTTGATCAGATGTTGATCAACCGATAGTTATTTTTAGGGAACGTTGTCTTCAATATAAAACTTGATTGATTTGCAGCTATTTGTTTTGTTTACGCCATACTCCGCGATAATGTACGATGATTAATGATCCCATCATTCTCCCTCAAAGTCGCCGTCGTTACCTTTGTCTACGCTGTTCAATGTTTCTGGCCATTTTTCTGGAATCTCATCAATGTTGCGGCGCGAACAGTTTAGTGTGAGATTGGATGAGTCTTGTATAGTAATATCACATGGAACGTTTTCCGCGTCGGCCTCTAGTGCGTGGCTCGACGAAACTAGGACGCATAATATCATTAACACCTACAACAAAGAAACACCATTACTTATATAATGTATAAGGTACACAAACAACGATCGTCTCTGTTTTCTATCTCGGCCACTACGGTCACTCACTTTGCATAGCGCTTGGAAGTACATTTTCACCAAAATTAGAAAGGACACTGGAGTACACCTTCGGATCACAATATATTTTATCTTATCAGTTAGGAGCCGACTGATATCACGAGTGACACGAAGTGAGCGAGCTTCTCATTGGTCGATGTTTATTTGTGCTATCATTCTTCTAATATGTATGAGCACCGTTTGATTCCCAAACATTGTCTTTTATTTTAGGAAGTCCTGAACATAACGGCGGCAAAATTAGAAGAAATAATCAAGCCACTGAGCGACCCCGATTACGAGGATGATTTAAAACACAAATATGCAGAGATCGGCTCTCCAGACTCGACTGAGGAGATGAAGAATTTGGAGAGCCGGCAAGCGGCGGTCACACTACTACAAATAAAAAATTACGACCCAAGTAAATATGTGGTCAAACAAGAAGAGGAGCCTCATATAATGTTCAACAGCGTACAGAGTTTACCGCCCTCTGACAGAGCGAGAGAGGTGATGCACTGCAACTCCGTCATCGATATTATAAACAAGGCTGTGGCGGTGGCTCGGGAAACCGATGAGTCTCCAAAATATGCACAGAACTATACGGGTGTCATAGACAGGACACACGCGGCCGGCGCGGCCGAGTACCAGCACGAGTACCCGGACGAGCAGTATGCGTACACCGCGCCACAGCACGCTGCCAGCCCCACGAGCAACGACGACCATGACAACAAAGAGATGGACCTCTCCCTATACAGTTCTGTCAAAAACGAGCCCAATGACCCGACTGACCAGCAGGACAGAGAACACTCGAGCACTTACTTCCACGGCGCCCTCGCACACAAAACAAACTTCGTTGATGAGTACAAGCAACATATCTACGGTCGAAACAAAATGAAAACGTCAAAAGAAAATTCGTCGGTATATGAAGATTGTAGTCGGAGTAGTAGTGGGTCAGATCCAGACAGGCTTCAGATGGACATATCTCAGATGTCGCAGGTGAGTTCCTTGCAATTAATATCTGCGGCATGTTTTACGGAGGAAGGTCAACCAGGTATTCTGCCGTCCACAATAGAAAACGAGAGATAACGAACAAGGTTGGGATGACGTCAATGCTTCCAGCGACATTGACTGATATTTTTGCAACCTTTATGGCCTCTAAATGTGACTAAGCTTTGCGAATTGCAACTATTTTGGGTCCCAGTCCCGAAAGTTTGTCGAACCAATTTTATATTTTTTTTTGGATCGAGATGGAATATTATTTTGTTCCTTTCTTTCATGAAATCCAAACCCTGCTCTTCACGTAAATAAAAATGTATGTTGTGACGATTACAGGACGACCCTGAGGAGACGCAATCAGCACGATCGACCCAGTCTTCGCCGCAACCCGCTATGGAACACGAACAAGATAAGGAATCCCTCTGGCAGGCCCTACATAGACAAAACGGTGAGATCATTACAACAAATAGACATCAATAGACAGCACATCCTACTACTCTAATCTGACAAAAATCTTCAGTACAATTTCGACTTTATTACTAAAGCATAACGTTTATAATGCACGATTTGTATTAATAGATTTACGTCAGACTTAACTAGTTTAGTTGATTTACCTATATTATTTAATAGAGAGAAAAATAAGAATTACATACCAGTTCACCACTGGTTTGGTCTATGTTGAAACTTATCTCTTCAGCATAACTTGTTCAATGTTCAATAGTACAGGGTGATACATGTTACAATAAGATAAAAATGTAGACTAGACTATCATAACGTACCTAATGACACTCCTTATATTTCAAGGTGGGAGAAGCCATTGGACGATTTGTTCCCTTCAAAAATACCCCTTATATTTCTCAAAAATATAAACAGTGCATTATTTAAAGTAACACTTCCGTTTTGAAATTGGAAATCAAGTTGAGTCCCACGTAAAGGAGAAAATAAAAGTAGACTGGTTGGAATGTCACAAATCTTTTTTACCTGTTAACCCGTCGAGCGTCCGCGTTCCTTATGATCCAACGGGTGCACATGAGACATTTGGAGAAAGAAAGAAAATGCATTTATTTGGCCATTGGCACACGAAAACAAGGATCATTACAATAGAAATATAACAAATATAGTCAAAATAAAAACAGCATGAAAGCAGCATGGAGCATTTTTTCTTATGGTCCACCGGGTGCTCATAAGGACGCTTGAGGGGTTAATTTTCATTTACCATGATTAGTCTGTAAGACCTATTTAAAGTAGTACCCTTTCAAATATTCAATGATGTTTTTCACTTTTGTGCCCGACATTGATCTTTCGCAATTTTACTCCGCTATTTACATACTAATATTACTTATACTAATATACTAATAGTGAAGAATATGTAAATGGCTGACGACCTGTAATACACTGCAAACTAGTTCTTAAAACTTACAGAGAAGGCTCATTTTCCTTTACACGAAGTTAAAAATCTTGTATAATGATTGCATTATAATAATATTACACTTGTAATAACATAATGTACATTATTTCATTTCTTTAAATTTAGAACATGCGCGCATTTGTTTTTTTTTTTTGTTTTCTTCGGAACGTAACCGTGATACCCAAAGAGGTCCGGTTTCGAAGACCTACATCATTAATAAAGGTTTATTATGTTATTGCAAGGTTTTAAATAAATAAATAAATGTTTCGATTCAATTAAAATATACGTTATTTTTTGGTGTAAAGATATAAAGTTATGGTTATGATTTTGTTAACTTGAACCACCAAAATTACTCATATGCCTTACAAAATAATGATAAAAATTGAGGGGGATTCCAAAGGGTTTGGGTAAATAAATAATCCAATAAAGTTGTGAGAAATACTTAAATTACGCCTATCGTTCGCTAGTAACTAATGTTATTAATAAATAAATAAAAAATAATCTTTATTCAGAAATGGACACAGATGCAAAAATATTCCTTGGGTAAGAAAAATAGATCTCACATGGTAAGGTGCCTGTACTACGATAATCCTGTGTCACAGGCGAGAGTACTCCATTAAGCCCATTTTAACGGTACATGGCGCATACGCTCACTTCGAATAACCGGACTCACAACCGATCTCTAAACTTTATACTATTCATCACGACATGAGTCCCATTTAGTAAAAGAGAACGAGAAACTAGTTTTATTTTTTCTTTCTGCACTATGGCAATCTGTTCTAAAACAATAAGCCACTTATTTGGTTGGAACTACATGTCCTGGTTATATATAATGGTTTTCTTCGAGGGCCAATCAGTTGCTGAAGTATCCAGCAAACCCTCCTTTTGGCTCTGGGAATGTCTTGTCTCTTTAGTCGGTTATAATGTAGTCCACCCTCTCCACTTAAGGCCTGTACGAGTTTGTTTGTATGGGTTGCTAATCTCTCCTGGTATTTTTGGCTAGCCTTGACTATTTCCTCACGAACAGTGTTTATGCCTAGGAGACTACAAGAAACTAGTAACCCTTATTTATTTAATGTTAAGATAGCTCCAAGATTAAATTATTATTTAAACAATTATGATGTGGTTTACAGGACGTAGCGGAGAAGCGACACAGCTACTACGGCGGCTAATCAACAGCAAGCAGCTTGGCATGACGGTATCTCCACTGAGGACGCCGGCCTCACCACTATCCTCAACTGTACAACAACCCATCAATGGCTCAGTCTCACCGGTCAGTACAACTTTATTGACATAGACTAACTTCTGCCAGCAGATTGGCACGACAGTATCCTCGCTAAGGACGCCGGCCCCACCACTATCCTCCACTCTACAACAACCCATCAATGGCTCAGTCTCTCCGGTCAGTACATCTTCATTGATATAGAATAACTTCTGCCAGCAGCTTGGCACGACAGTATCCTCGCTAAGGACGCCGGCCTCACCACTATCCTCCACTCTACAACAACCCATCAATGGCTCAGTCTCTCCGGTCAGTACATCTTCATTGATATAGAATAACTTCTGCCAGCAGCTTGGCACGACAGTATCCTCGCTAAGGACGCCGGCCTCACCACTATCCTCCACTCTACAACAACCCATCAATGGCTCAGTCTCTCCTGTCAGTACATCTTCATTGATATAGACTAACTTCTGCCAGCAGCTTGGCACGACAGTATCCTCACTAAGGACCATCAATGGCTTAGTCTCTCCGGTTAGAACATTTAAATATTGATGTTTTTATAATAACTATCGTGAGACATACTAAATTAACTAAAAATCGCGGGTTACTCACGTGAATATACTGAAAAAGGCTTTACTAGTAAGCTGCGCGAGATCGCCGCGACCGCGCACGCTGCTCATGAGGAAGAACCCCTCTGTGGTTCGAAACTAGTAGAGCTTTTGTCACGTGAGTAACTAGAGTGACTAACTTCAGCCCGCAGCTGGCATGACAGTAAACACAAAGGATTTAACATGGAACGATAGCTATCTACCCTCCGAAGTTAATCTGCAGCTTAATAATTATAATCTTGCAAACTGCACTGCCTAATTGTTATTGAGATTCGGATTAGACGTAGGTTAATCATGGATATATCATGGATTTTCGTATGACCGATATGACCGTATGAACTTGATTAATGATAACAAAGGGATTTTTAACATAAAACGTGTAATTACTTAGTGCAATAAAAAACGTTAAATCAAGGAATAACGGACGATAAGAAAATGACTTAAAAAGATTAATCACAATTTTCTTTATAATCTCAAAAATTCTGAACGATTCGACGAATCGATTAAATTAAAAACCAATTAAAATTATTATTCATTAATATTCTACTTAAGACCTATTTTTATACGTAAACTAGCTTTTACCCGCGGCTTCGTTCGCGTCACAAAAGAATAAAAAGTAGCCTATGTGACATATACCAATACACCAGCGCCATCTATACCAATACTTTTGTTTTTCCTCGGGAATATCAATTTTTCCGGGTTAAAAAGTACCCTATTATTTAATCCGGACTTCTAACTTTACGTCTGCAAAAATTCAAAGCAGTCGGTTGAGTAGTTACTGCGTGAAGGTGGAACAAACAAACAAACTCACTTTTAGATTTATAATATTAGTAAGGATAGATAACAAAACATGAGATGTGTATCCATCTAGTAGGTACTACAAATATATTTAACGATACGTTGATATGGAGTTGTACTCCGCGAAATAATTTATCTTGTCAATAGTTGAATGCTTCAGATAAAGACGATGCGGGTAAACAAACTGATAGGAATTGAAAATTAATCTATATTAGTAAAATACAATAACATCTGGCCTGTTATTCCCCGAAAACGTATATTCGTTATCTATTTTTGATGAAAATAACTAACGAATAACAACACCACACCTTTAATTGTCAAGTGCGAACATAATATGACACCCACTTTAATACAGGATTTTTCAAGGGGGAAAATCATCTAATGACTCCTCTCGTCTTGGTGAGGCGAGAGAGACTGTCCAAAAACCACCCTCTTCCTACTCCAGTTTCGAGCCGGAACCTGGGTAATCCGTTAAGTCTTCCGTGGCTCCGTATCGCTCTATTATTCTATTTTTTCTTTATTTTATTTTAGGGGGAGATTTAATTCCTACTTTGTTATTAATTATTGGTTGAGGGTATCAACCTGAGCGTATTCAAGCAGGTATATATTTGTTATTTTATACTTTATTTGTTTCTTTACCTTTATTAATTGGTATTTTTTATATAAATAATGAAATATAATTATTAATTTGTTTAATATAAATATTTAAATATTGTACATATGTTTCTATTATTTTAGCTTTTACATACTTCATCCAAAGTTTGACTAAGAATTTAAAAAGAATATACTCAGTCAATCCTTGTTTGTCAAATGAAGGATATAGTTGCTGTGGAATTAACAGACATATTGTGTTACATTTAAAGTAAGTTAAGTAATAGATAATGCACACTTCGTAATTTCCTTAAATAACTTACTACCGTTTACTTTCAGTATTTTATGTGTGAATACTCGCTATAAAATTATATTATGTTGAACGAATAAGGAAATATTCACTGTATACGTGTTCCGCATTAAAGTTCGTTTATTACCACTAGTCATGCACGTGGCTAAGTGATATACATAAGTATAAAATATCTTTGTGTCGGAGCTCTCGTCAAAATTCTATCATTATCTGATATTGTCTATTCGCGGTAAACGCAAAAAATACGAATCTTTCTATATGCGATTTTCGGCAATCATTTAACCGGTACTTCAGAAAGTTTTAAGTGAAATTCAAAGATATACGTGACACGCTAATATTATAAAACCCTTTTTTAATTTATGTATCTCGGGTCAGTAACCAGTATAATGTGAAGTGTTATGTTAGTTTCTGTCCAAATGGCAACATGCGTCCTTTCGTTTACGTACGCGCGTACGTAGGAGGTAGAGCTGAAGATCCAAGCCAGGGGAGCTAAATCTTCAGCTCTTCACTTTCAATCACTGCCCGTCATTTCGCGGATAATTTTATGGGACACAAACAACACACCACAAACGAATAGGCGAATCTCCTAACGGTAAGCATAAGCACCCTCCATGGATACCAGCTACAACAAGCTTTGCCGGCGTTTTGGGGTTTTGGGAGGGGAGGGTTTTTTTATGTCAGAAGCCGGTAAACGAGCAGACGAATCACCTGATGGTAAGCAATCGGCGTCGCCCATGGACACCTGGAACACCAGAGGCGTTACAAATGCGTCACCGGCTTTTTGGGGATTAGGAGTTTGAGGATCGTTGGGGATTTAGGGATTGGGGAGATTGGGGAAGGAGAAGGTAATTGGGCCTCCGGTAACCTCACTCACACGACGAAACACAACGCAAGCGTTGCTTCTTCACGTCGGTTTTCTGTGAGGCCGTGGTATCACTCCGGTCGAGGCGGCCCATTCGTGCCGAAGCATGGCTCTCCCACACTTAATATTTGTTGGTCCGGTAACCTCATTCACACGATATAGTTACTCCACTTAGCTTCAATATTCGCTTTGTTTTATCTGTCCTAGCTAATTTGGCCTACTGCCAAGTATCGGTGCGCTTGAATGTAACTATCCGGTCATGCGCTTATGATCTGGTTCTCAAACTAAACTCTATGACTAATTTCTGATTTTAAATAAGGACCGTATGACCGGCTTTTGAATAAGATATTGATCTTTTTATCTTTGCTTGTAAATATACTGTCATTCTGGTTTTCAAATAGCTTCACTATTTTTTTGTTGACGTTCAAAAGTGCCATTCTTGCCTAATTGAAATAAATGATTTTGACTTTTGACTTTCATTTTAATTTCTGTTTGGTAAAAAATTTTGCCCCACTATTAAGTGACACCATAAAGATGCGGCATTACTCTCACTCTCTTTCTCATTCTATTTAGTGACTATCGATCGAATGCAATTAAAATTATAGAAGCTCAGTGAAATTAGATTTGTTTACAAACAACATACATCTAATTTGTAGCACCTATACTTTAATTAAATGTAACTTAAACAGGTAAAAAAATACAATGTATTGACTTACGTCATCCCGTCACCAAAATGATGCGACATAGATTTCTTATCAATTTATCAAGTCTGCATTACTTGTTAGTTGTTACACTGATAATGTAATATTTAATTACTGCATATTGAGAGTATGTATTAGTAGATGATAAGAGAATGCTACTAACTTATGACGATGATTATTATTATTATTGAGAACTCCCCAAATGATGGCGCAATTAAGGATTACATGGGCGCAAAGTAATCGTGGTAGTGTTGCAGCTGTATTAAGGGTTCAATGACCGTTCATTATATTTATCGCCCGTTAGCTTTTTAATCACATATACCTGCTGAATATATTTAAAAATGTCATTTATAATAGCAAGCAATAAATTAACAATATTACAACGGTATGTAGAATACTAACGACAAGTAATTTAATTATATCACTCTGAAAATATAAAGAAATTGGCATTGAATTTGTCTCACAAACAATAAAATAATAATAATCAACTTTTATGGACCTGCATCACGTTGCGCTGCAGTCAATTGTCCAGACGCTACGTCAACAAAAGAGTACACAGATAGTACACAGATAAAGATAATTCTTTATAATCTAAGTTTAAAAAAGCGACTTCAAAGCTTCTTGATGCCAGTTAAATAATATACTACCTTATCCTAAGTGTAATAAACACTTTTATGAAAACCACATCAAAATCGGTTCAGCCGATCGCGAGATAATCGCACACAAACATACATATAGTTCAAACGCCTTTTTTGAAGTCGATTAAAAAACATTTCTATTTTTAAACATTAAGGCTACCTTTGCACACTTTAAAAAAACATTATAATGTAATTATACTCGTTGCCTGCCTCGTTGGCCGAGTGGTCGCAAGTGCGACTGTCGGGCAAGGGGTCTCGGGTTCGATTCCCGGGTCGGGCAAAGTATTACTGGGTTTTAAAAGAAATCTCAGTAGTAGCACGGAGTCTGAAATTCTGCCCGGTATATGGCAATAGGCTCCACCCCCTATTACACGGGACTCATAATATAAATAGTGAAAAGTGGGTGTTACATTGTACAGTGGCATAATGTGCACCTCGGCCTACCCCTTCGAGGATAAAAGGCGTGATGTTATATGTATATATGTATGTAATTATAACGCAACTTACCTTCATGGTGTGCTCTCACCAGACAAACGTCAGACGAAATCCAAATACACGGCGTCCCAAGCACAGATGGTAGGTCACAACAGTACATTAATTACACAAGTTATGAACACTGATGGGCGCTCCATATCTTTGTCATTACCATTACCGAAACTGGTTTTATAATTATTTAACAGTAAAATTTCAATATTCATATATAACGGTGCAGTACGAAGTAACTTCCTAGTCTTTATAGATTAATTAACTTTTTTTATTAATGTGGTTTTTTTAAAGGGTGGTCCATTTCACATAAAGTAAATACAAGTTATACGTCTGTTGTTTACCACGAAACTGAGAATACAGAATAAGTTCATATTATTATGAAGTAGGACACATGACAGCACGAATTTACTTCTTTAATGTTATGTTAATGGACATTTATGATGTACAATACATTTTCCTTGTCTACTTTAAGTAATGTTCTTATTGTTATATCTGTATGACTTATGTAGCTGTTGTATGTGTTATCTTCGCTAGATGTTCGCGGCAAGATAGATGTGTGCCTCTACAAATGCACTTATCCATCTTTTGTGTATACAATACAGAACAATAGCTTGAGGATTTGGCGGTTACTGAATTATTATTTGTCGAGATCCAGGATATTTTGTTTTTTGCCACCGGCTAAGTGTTATGGTAACAGAAACCTGGAAAATTTTTGGTCGAGAATTTTTTTTGTCCTGTATGCCTTGTTGGCAATCGCTTCGTTTTTAACGTTTATTTCATAGGACTGGCGAAAGGTTAATATCTTATTTGACATTGTGTATCCCTTAGTGGAAATTCCCATCATAGTAATTTATGTTGTTTTCGGTTACAGAATGGCGAATGGACAAGTTCAGGTCGCGGGTCGAGTGTGGCCGGCACTGCACGAAGAAAACAAAGTTTCCCAGCACGAGCACAACCTATTATGGCTGTGGACCCGCCCGCCACGAACGCGCAATGGCCACAAACAGCATCTGAAAATGTAAGCTATGCGAAACGGCGATAATAATAATATCTTTATTAAATATACTTCACGTGAACGATTATACATAAATGAATACGTATAAAGTTACATAATGCACTAGATAAGTGTGGCGTGTAATATATTATACATTATAGTAATAATGTAACCCTGCCTTCAGAACTAGCGGTCTAACCTCCTGAACTAGGTAAATGTTTAATCTTAAAGAACATAGTAGTCCTTTTTGTAGTGAAGTAAGAAGAGTGGCTTCTTTTCAGTTGAGAATCACTTCTAACTGAGAACCCCTCTAAGTGGGAGACCTTCGTTAAACATCAGACCCCTGATGTCATACCTTAATGATAATAATGAAGACAAATGTTTTTTTTTGCAGCAGGAACCTCCAGAAGGGTCATCGACTCCTGAGGAGCAGGATCAGGTCGGTCGGGGCCGCGCGTGGAGCTATCGTGCAGTAACTGCGGCACGCACACCACCACAATCTGGCGCCGCGACGCGCGCGGGGAGATGGTCTGCAACGCCTGCGGCCTGTACTTCAAGCTGCACGGCGTGCCGCGCCCCACCGCCATGCGCCGCGACACCATACACACGCGCCGCCGCAGGCCGCGGCACGACGGCAAGCATACTAAGAGTAGTGAGTAGCTATAATGTTTGTATCTTCTAAAATATCTTAAGACTCTTGTCCCGCAATAGGCGTATTCTGATTAGTTGATACTGTTTTATCTAATCTATTATTCCACATTGAGTATAACTCATAGACCAGCCTGTCAATCACGTGGGGGCTAACGTTAGTAGAGGTAAGGTGGGGTGGAACGGTGAGATTCAAGTGAAATACACAACCGCTTCAGAGGTTTAAGTTTCATTTTTAACTAGGCTATGAAGTCGGAGTGGTGTTGAAAGTAGAAATTGTTGCAGAATCTCGCCGTAGCGGCGGCAGCGTGGGCGGCGCGGCGTGCGAGGCGGGCGAGGGCGCGGGCAGCGGCGGCGAGGGCGCCGAGGAGGCCGTGCTGCAGGCGCTGCGCCGCCAGCTGCAGCCGCATCTACTGGCCGCGCTGCACGCGCGCACCGCGCGGCCCTCGCACCACCACGAACAGGTACTCCCACGACTACCGCATACATTAACAATAAAACATTAATGCTAATGTCCCACAAAACAGAGTCAAACTAAAATCGTAAAAAAATCGCAGGTCGGTATAAGCGCCCCGGACTACGACGAGGCGCCCCTGAACCTGGTCGCCAGCCACGTCGCCGCCGCCGAAGAGACTCACTGACTGCCCTCTGTGATACACTCGCTACGGACGCCATAGCCCCGGCGACACGTCTCACCCACACATTGTTCCCTTACAGCATCGCGTGTATATTCCATATCGACAGCTTCTATACAAACTTACAATGTTCCTATGAATGTTTGACACAAGCACGGCACGCTAATAACACTTGTGACTAACAATCACAGAAACATTCGCTCGAAAAGCAATATAAACTTAATAGAGTATAAGTATACATGCAATAATAACATTCTTCATATAATATAGTACTAAATATCTATTTAGTGATAGTTCAGGCCAGTGTATGATGACAATAGTGGGGAAAATATATATTAAAATGTTTATCCCTTTCACCCGGTCGTAATAGAATAAAGTGTGAATTATTTTTATAGAAGATCATACATTTTTTCATAATAGAATCTCACGTAGCACTCAATGATGGTTTGGCTTCTTCCATATTATATATACGACCGGTTGAAATGTGGAGTGGCATATTAGAGCGTTTAGGATGGGCGAAAGATTGTCGACAGCGTTATTTCATATTACACAAGCTTGTATGTGTATTAACTACCACATTTCTATCCCGTAGTCGACAATATTTTGTCCAGTACCTAATCAATAGGAATACGATTAAAAATATACAAAACCAGGGCATTACGCATAATTTCGTGATTTGGTCGCGGGAAACAATATACATTGATTGTATTAGTGCCTACTTAACGTATAGGGATGAAAATGGTACCACAGTGTACGGTTCACGTAAGAGTACTTTCCGTGTGTACATTATTCTTAACTTGTGATATGTATGATTGTTGGTCATGCATGAGTAAGCATCGTGCAGTTTGTGATGGCAGCTCGGAGTGACGATACTTCCAGCAGTCGTATGTAATAAAGTATTCGGGTTTGTTCGGTGAATTTTCGCAGTCTCGGACAGACGCCGATTGCGATCTGTAATTATAAATCTCAAAAAGATAATGACACTATGATATCGGGTTTTATTATAGTAAGCCTTGCCTTAGAATGCTCTCTTTGATATTATTGAAATTATATTTACGGTTACCTATTGCAGGACGCAAGTATTCTTTTAGTTATAGGTCATATTGTAAATTTTATTGTTTACGTAGTAGTTGTAATGCTTAAATTGAGTAAATTATAAGTGTCTAATTTATTTCCCATTTCGGTCAGTATTTACAATGTAAGTATTTTTTTCTGTCGAGTATTTTTTTTTAGATAAGGTAACAAAATGAAAAGAAGCAATAATAACAAGCAAAATGATTCTGGAAATATTTAAAGTCCAGGGCACATTAATACCGTAGGGTTGGTAAATAATAATAAATATATAGAATTATAAAATTACTTTTGGATTTATATAAAGTATTTAATAAACATTTTTTATTTACCACGCTTCAACATTGCCTGCTTGAATTTTAGCAAATTCCTAATGTATAAACTCTCGATCATAAATAATTCACAAATCTGTGGTGTACTTACAATAGTATACATTCTCATTAACATAGTGATTATGATGATGTTGCCTTTATATATTACTAATGAACAGTAAACACCTGTAACTTTGGCATTATTAAAATAGATATATTGTACGTCATAACATAAGGAAAACATTTATTTTAAGAATTATATTTTCAATTCATTTATTATATTGGGCATTTGTGGTCGTTAAGCGTTAGAACAAACCATTTAACAGAAACGTTGTGGCATTATATTTGAGTTAAAATCTACCGGATTCACCTCATGATGGTCAGTGTTATGTGTTTATTTATAACAGAAAGCATTTACGTTATCTGTACCTTGAACTGGGCTGTTTTGTTATTGCTTCCATTCGACTTATTTAGCTGTGAACTCCGTCACCGTCCTTTACTTGACGTCTCTACTTAATTTAGTGTTAGTTCGTTTAATTATCGAAACCCCACGGGCCAGTAAAATACAGCAGTCTATGAGACATTGTGATATACTTAGCTAGACAACCTCCGCTGTAACGTAGCTGAGGCATCTGAACGTGTGATTCTGTTGCAGCTAACCTTCAACGTTACGTCAAGCTTATCGTATTTAAAAGCTTTAAAAATTGAGATTATTTATTCATTCTTATTGGGATCACTGTATAGTTGTCGGTGTAGTGTACCGTTAGTATTGCCTACGCCTAGTTTGTGTCGGAGTAGCTGTCTACCTTGACAATAATGGTTCATTCATACTCTTAATGAAACCGTAATGAACGTAAAACTAAAAGTGTTTTGCTCTCTATTTAACTTTAGCTCTCTCTACGATGATATTAAAATTTAAATTCAATTTACCCATTTTGATCTTGATATAGGAACTAGGTCGTGTTTATTTTTCTAAGAGTATATCTATGACCGAATATTATATTTCGAATATTTTTTAAATTGTCGTTAGAAGTGACGTTGTGGTCAGAAATTTATAATCACCTACTTATTTAGCTGTGAATAATTATAAACAGAATAAACAGTAAACCATCTTGATTTATTTAGAAATAAAAGAATATTCACAGTATCAATTCTGTGCTGGTTTACAAAGATGGTCATTTGTTTAGTCCAAACCGATTGATATGGAATGCATCTCAGTGTGAAGGATTGTCACTTTGAATACTAGCCTGCTAGTGTAATTTGGACATCATAGGACAGTTCTAAATCTCCACTAATATTGCTGATTGCAGTAGTGATACAGTATTATTTTATTGAAATCTACTCTGTACATTTGTGTTAGGTTTATTATTTTTGTATTTTTATTAGGTTTTATCTAGTTTGACTTCCGAATTTAACTCGTTTACTATAATTGTCGGTGGTAGTGGAATATTTGGTTAAATATTTTCGCTTCAACATCGTCGTCTACTTACATTTTTCACTCGTTTTGTGTTTCTCTGTGTCTCAGTCGACACATACAGCAGGATACAAGTTCGATAGATCTTCCAATTTGGTTATTTATTACGTTAGGTTAATTTATGGATATATCGGTATTAAGAGTTGATGAACAATGTATATCGTCATTTAGTTACTAACAAACCGGTTGTGTTGTGTGTGCTTACGCTCTAACAAGCATGTGTTTGTGATTTTGTTTTTATTATCACGTCTGACAGAGGCGCAGACAGTACCAATACTGTTGTGTATTATTATAATTTATGCTGGAATATGGGCTTCGTATTCATATCCTAGGAATTCCATTCGACATTGTATGTAACGTCATTTTTCGAAGATTTAAGACTGACAAGAACTCTCATGAATGTCTTCTGTTTTTGTATTCACTCCCACGTTATATTTCGCTCGAGTTACGTATTCGAAAAATGATAATGTAAAAGTATTTTTATTCATTGTGATATATTTTGTTGGAGAATGTAGTAGATGTGTGTATCCGAAAAGCAATAACATTGTGATAAGTGGTGATGAACATTGTATGTAAAACTGAACAGTAATATCTGAATAATATATAATGAATATTGTCAATTATATATCGTGTGCGCTGGAGACTGGAGCTCAGTCTATTATAGTAATACTATCGTAGGTGTTATGATAGCAATCAAGTAACGAAAGCAATAGACCTGTTGGTCACAGAGCCTTATAATCCAAATTAAATGTTATTCTAATAGTAATTGTAATTAAGAAATGTATGTTGTATTTACCTAGGTACCGTGAGCCCAGTTGTCCAGCGACAAACTTTAAAACTGATAAACTCGTCTTTTAATGTCAAATTTCAACTCGATGCAGCAGATGTGAAATTATTCTGCTGGTAATTTCTTCGTAAAGACGTATTTATAATATTATGATATTAACATAAAGCAATAATTTCCAATATAGAAAGCTTTGAAGGACCATTTGTTATTGTTGTTGTCAAATTACATAACTGTACGTATTTATAGTAAGTTTCAGCATAAATTATCCGTTTGAGATTGTTTAGTATGAACACGTGGCCGGAATACTCATTGTGAAACATTAGTTATTGTTGTATAGATGATAAATAATGTGACTTACGCAGGGATGGATACTTAAATTATTAAAGTTTTAACTGATATATTGGCTATGTAGTGAGTAGAATATTTTTTTACAAATAAATTATAGCAGCTAATGTGGTTTTTTATTTCAACCAACCATTTACAATTATATTACCAACTACAACGGAGTCAAGAAGGAAAATATGTTGATATTTTCAGGCTTTAGGATGCCGAAGGTGAGGCTCTGTAGTTTTACTTTACCCTCTTAGGCATGCCTATACCCAGTAGTAGGTGAACTGAATAGATAATAATGATGTATTAGTAACCACATCTGATATAAAAATTGCTAATATGGGTGAAGTTTGAATAATGGTTAGTAAGGCTTTGGAATAATACAACAAATTAACATACATACATTTATTAATCTTATAACTAGGTAACAGTAACGATGGGTCGTTTGACGGCTTGTCGCGCCCGTCTCCGTTTGTCTCGCTTGCGGTTCTCAGTGAATGCCTCGCGGAAGAGTTGCTCGTTGTCGGCCGCCTCGGCCTCGCGCCGCAACCACTGCAGCGCGTGCACGTTGTAGCCAACCATGTCCTGAGAAATATTATTGCTTACAAACTGTTCTACAATAAATGCAAGGACTGAAAATGATCGCTATAATAAGAGAGATCAGACGCACGATTGAACGATTCACACGTTTTCTGAGCCATTTATGAAAAAAAAATTGTTGAATAAAGACTACCATTTTTTTTACGCACCAAATAGCGCTAATGTGGTGTAAAGTATGTTTCTCCAATCACTTTAGCTAGCTTTTGTGTACAATGGTTTGAGTGACTAGCTGATGCTCTATTGGACAAAAGACCCGATACTACCGGCATCTGGTATGCACGGTAGCTTTTTCCATAAACCAATTTAATATTAGAAGTTTCTGATATAAAAAATACAGGAACTTACTCGTAACTCATTGAGCCGCATGTTAGCTTTGGCTTGTATTTGGATCATATGCTTGAGTAGTGCCTGGTTGGCCACGATGGGTGCGTGGTGGATCTTCAGCAGGAACACTGCGAGGCGACAGAACAGCTCCGTGTGGTCGCCGCGGTCCAGGAGTTTCGGTAACATCTTCATTATATCGCACGATACGCTGAACGGGATCAATAGAAGAGCCTCTTCCAAATCACTGTAAGCAACAACAAAATTATTCAATCAAAATAAAAATCTAGTTAATTCCATAACATGACATCACGCCTTTTTATCTCCGAAGGAGTAAGCAGAGGTGCACATTGCAGCACTTAATGCCACTGTATAATGTAACACCCACTTTTCACAATTTATGTTATGAGTCCCATGTAATAGGGGGTGAGTCTATAGCCATATACCGGGCACAATTCCAGACTCCGTGCTACTACTGCGAATTTTTAAAAACTCACCAAAGTATTACACTTTGCCCGACCCGGGAATTGAACGCGAGACCCCTTGCCAGGCAGTCGCACTTGCGACCATTCGGCCAAAGAGGCAGTCTATTCTAGCCTAGTTAATCACTTAAACTGTCAAACACCAAGCGGTCACCGGTGACCGCAACCTATTGTTCTTTAATTGTGTCTATAAATACGGTACTCGACGAGTTAATTAATTAATTATAATTCAATTATTCTAAAATATTGATCCTCTTCTCAAGCATGTATGCAGAAATAGATGAAGTAAAAGAGCTATGCCAGAATCATGTCGTTTGACGTTCCATTGTTTCTCAATCCCAAAGGTAGACGGTGTGACGATACGTATGAATGTTGATTTACTATATCTCGATACATACCTCGACCGTATCCTCTTGAGTGTCTCGACGAGGAAGTGTTCGGGAGTGGTGCAGTTGTAAGCCGCCATCAATAGAGGGGGCTGCACGTACTGGCCGCGCGCCTCTGCTATCTCGCGCTTGTATTCCGCACCCACTGACAGACATTCCATTATCGAGTCCGCCTATAAAAAGTCATACATTCAGTCATGTATTACGATATTAAGTTACTATAATGCTTGGAAAGTATCACAGAATATCACTTTTAAGCAGTAATCCTTACTAATATTATAAATCGGAAAGTGAGATTGTTTGTTTGTTTGTTCCGCTTTCACGCCGTAACTACTAAATCGATTGCTTTGAATTTTTACAGACGTAAAGTTAGAAGTCCGGATTAAATAATAGGGTACTTTATCCCGGAAAAATGTGATATTCCCGCAGGAAAACAAAAATATTGGTATAGATGGCGCTGTGTGTACTGGTATATGTCACATAGGCTACTTTTTATCCTTTTGTGACGCGGACGAAACCGCGGGTAAAAGCTAGTGTAAAGATATAGTGTTAATCTGGAAATGAGAGTTCTCAATGCACCATCACTTTTGGGGATACCTCGGGTGACCGTTTACAGTTAGGTAGGCCGTAAGCTTTGATGCTACTAATAAATTGCTTGTTTTACTCTCATGCAAAAGAATTACATAGATTTTTAGTTTACTTACCGCTTTCTCTGCTCCGATAGTTTTCTTCGTTGGTATATTGAGACCAGGTAAGCCGGGTACTGGCGCCTGTTAATAAATAATATTATGTATTACGTTACAAATGATAGATTGTGTGAGGAATGAGAATTGTGAAGGGATGGGACGAGTAGAAAGTCCGATAGGGACAAATTAAATATCAAATGACTTGCTCATGAAAAGTAGACAGTACAACACAATACCAGTTGACATAAATGTTAATTTGGTTTCCTTCTTGCAGCTGTATCCAAATGCCATTTAGCGCTTGTCTACTTGTAGAATAGAAAACCAAATTATATGGGATTGACGTAAATTTTGTCACTTGTTAGTGTCATCCCCATACATTTAGATTTCTACTCTCTTTGTAGACAAGCGCTAAAGTGGCGTTTGGCTAAAGGCCCTGGAATAAGATAAGAAATATTGGAACTACCAGCTTCTTTTAAAAATGTTGACGAGAAAAAGTTTGATATACATAAATATGTTAGACGTACGTGTTGTTCTCCAGTGGCCAGTCCTTCCTCCTGCTCGTCGGTGTCCCCGAGTACGAGCGGCTCGTCCGTGCGCGAGTACAGGCGCAGCGCGCGGTCCGCGCCGCACGACGCCGCGTGCAGCCCGCCCGACCCCACGCACACAGCCCAGCACTCGCCCGCGTGACCCTGTGCCAATATATTCTCCTACGTAAATACCTGCTAATGAATTTGTTGCAACCCCTAATGTACCTAGTCGCGGAGAATCTAACGGGTTACCGGAGCTCCGGCTCGAAGGACAAGGAACGGGGTGGTTTTTATTCAGTAACAGTCTGATACTCCCTCCCGCCTCACCCAGGCGGGAGCAGTCATTCGATGAATTTCCCCCCTTAAAAAAACCCTAATCTACCTGCAGGTACTGTAAGACTAATGTGCGAAATTATAGCGTATCTCAATCCAAAATATCTAGATAGGTCAAGTTATACAAAGACTAATGTAAAAAATGAACCTTATTTATTTCGACTGTAACCGACTACACGGCTGTAACAGAGACCAACCTTACAGGGCTCTCTGATAAACGTGAACTTTCTAAATATGTATGACTTCACACGATGCTATATTGTATAAAATGAGAAGTCAAACAAAATATATTTACGTTGAACACATTTAACGTGTAGTATGTCTGGTATGTCGGAGCGTAGATCTACGCGAGACTCAATTCGTTTTCTATTGTGTCTCATATATCGACAGACAAGAGGTTAAGGGTTCCATGAATCCCATTTTCCCATGGTCACCGCATCACGCGTGACCGGCTGAACCGATTTCACTCATTCTTTTTTTGTTGTATTTGTTATTATTAGGAGAAGGTTCTTAAGACAAAAAAAATACTAAAAATAACTAACTACGGGTACGGGAGAAAACGGAATTGCGCGTACCAAGTCGCGGACAGAATCTAGTAAAGAAATAAATAACAATAATTAAAGACTGTACTTACATGTAACGTAATTATATTATCATATGTATCCGCGTCCCACTGCTTCACTTTTCCATCTTTCGATGCAGTGAAGAAGTAATGTGTTGAAGGCACGAATTGTAATGAAGTCACGGAGTCATTATGTGCAAAGATGGATTTGTGACAGTCTCCAAAGTCCATGCCCCAAATCTTGACGTTTCGGTCTGCCGAGCCAGTGGCTATGATGTTGGAATCGTAGCTGATGTCCAGACACAAAACTGGTAACTTGTGCCCATATAGGGATAGGTAGAACTGTGAAAGAGAAGAAACTTATTAATTTTGTTGAACTCACTTATAAAAAGGAGATTCTCAATATGTATGATGTTTAATGCATGTATAATCTTTTATGTCGTCGTATAAATACAAATTTTCACAGTTTGATAAGAAACAAAATATGTATCACACAAATAGATTTTTGAAAGGCACCGCGGTATATTATGTATGTCGTCACAAACAGCCAATCGTTCGACCAAAGCCCCAATCGCACATCATTTAAATGTCAATGGAAAGAAACCTAATCTCTATTAATATCAGTGCTACGTAAAAAAATATTAAATCTTGATACAGTAGGCTAACGAATTTAAATGTTACTAGTTACAAAATAAAGTACATAATCAAGTGACTGACTAAAATTATTATGACTATACTACTGGGCAGCAGCAGCACTACCAGTGACTACCAGTAGCAGCGCGACAGTCGCCGCGTCGCGGGCCGCGAAATGCTGCTCATGAATATGAGCCTCTAGTATGGCTTGAAACTAGTCTAGTTCCTCGTCAAATTATTACGTAAGTAAGCCGAAAACATAATAATTTATTTAGTATTAGCATTTTCTCGCGGCTTCGCTCGCGTCACAAAAGGATAGAAATCCTATGTGACATAAATCAATACACACAGCGCCATCTATACCAATAATTTCGTTTTCACTCGAGAATATCAATTTTTTCCGGGATAAACAGTATCCTATTATTTAATCCAGACTTCTAACTTCACGTCTGCAAAAATTCAAAGCAATCCGTTTAGTAGTTACGGCGTGAAAGTGGAACAAACAAACAAACTCACTTTCCGATTTATAATATAAGTAAGGAAAGTAAGGAAGTAAGGATGTCTCACGAAAGTAACAATACAAACAAGTGACTGACCTTAAAAGTGTCAAGGAAGAAGATTTTGACGGTAGAGTCTAACAACGCTACTGCAATGAATTTGTTGTTGGGACTTATTTTCACTGCACAAACAGACTCCTCCAGTTCCAAGGTCCTTGTGTGTAGGAGTGATAGCACCTAAAATAAATACACATTTATAAGTTACGAAAACACAAATGACAGAAGATTTATTTAAACCCAGACTATAAGTCCTAAGAGACAAAATTCTAAGTTAGGACGGATAAAATAAGTACATTTATTACCTTCGCTTTCGATTCTCCTGTGGGATCTGGTATAAGTTCAAACTGCCAGAGTTTGACCGTCTTGTCACCGCCGCCAGAATAGCAACCTCGCTGTGGACAATCAATAGATATTAATTAAATTTTTCAAACTATATTTTTACTTACCTAACTGATAATAATTGAAAAATAATGAAGCAATCATAAATAATGATTTATTTGATATCCCTAGAAGTTATGGATCGAAAAATTAATAAATAAAACTTCAGTATGGTTTATCAAGGTTACAATCAGTTATTTTCTCTTACCATATCAGGAGTTAGTCCAACAGTGGTGCACTCAGCGGTATGCGCAGGCACTTGTTCTAGAACCTTCCCGGCGCCCACGTCGACCAGAAGCAGGGAACCATCTGCGCACCCAACCAGCGCATGTCTGTCGCCCGGTGCGAAACATATACTGCACGGACGACCACATGTCACTGGGATTGTACGGAGGCAGGCTTGTGTCGATCTATCAAACAGAGAAGTACAATAAGTTATTTATGTTTTACGGTACTAATTATTTTACGAGGTACCTCAACTAGTTTCAAGCCACTCTTGGGGCACATGAACAGCGTTACACGATAAATCGTTACGTCAGAATTATCTCGTCAGTCACGTGAGAAGGCCGTAAATAAAATTAATTAAATACGTTAAACGAAAATTCCAACAACGAATAATATATTTAAAGTACTTATTAAGTGTTACATACCTACTCCATAGTTTTACAGAATCCGCAGAGGCTGAGATTACCGCTAAATTATCTGAACTAATAGCCACGCACCGCGGGTCCTTCTGATGACCAGGCTGTGTAATCTGTTTGAGACATTGTACTGTAAAAGAGAACACATATAGCATATTATTCAATACCCTAGACTCTGAACATTACCCACTATGACTAGATGAACATGCAGGCACAAGTGCATTATAACATAACATAACATCACGCCTTTCTTCCCCGAAGGGATAGGTAGAGGTGCACATTATGGCATTTAATGGCACTGTACAATGTAACATCCACTTTTCACTATTTTATGTTGAGTCCCATGTAATAGAGGGTGAGCCTATTGCCATATACCGGGCACAACTCCAGACTCCGTGCTACCTACTGAGAATGGGGAGGATGACAGATGATTTCATACCCATTTACAAGTCCGTCGATTAGGTAATGAAAAAATATTAGACACGTATCTTTTTATTTTGTCGTATAAGGAAACAATAATTAGATAAAACGGATCAAAGTTTAGGAGTGGTAGTAAAAAACGTCATTTCTACGTATGAAACGTACATAGAAGTGACGTCACGCGACATTTCAAACCAATATATCGTAGAAAGTATTTGTATCTGTAAGGAAATAAATAATACGTGTCTAATGTTTTAAAATAATCTACCAGACGGACATTAAAGTAAAAATTAGTCATCTACCTTATTTTTTAAAAACCCAATAATACTATACCCAACCCGGGAATCGAACCCAAGACCCCTTGCCCGGCAGTCGCATTTGCGACCACTCGGCCAACAAGTCAGTGCATTATAATAATAAAAAAGGATTTCAACAGTTACACAAGCCACATTGTAAATAGATATCGAGGAATTACAAAATCATAACTTGCCCTATGTATAGCAAATAGCTAGCTAGCTGGGAGTCTGAGCTACAGTCACACAATCAGGTTTAGATTGCTATAAGTCGCCGTTAGATACAAATATCTCACCTTGATTTCCTTCAGTAATCTTCAAGCTATGTAATTCCACAGTATTGTTGGCTAGAGTGACTCCAACACGGAGTTCCCCAGTAGTGCCTAGCAGGAGGGTGGTAGACTTCAGTTTAGCATCTAACTTGATGCTCAACAGACGTCTCACTTCATCAGATAATGTGAGCAGTTCCGGTACATCTGTAGATTCAGTTTCTAATTCGCCGGCTTCTTTTAATTTCCTATAACAGTATATTATTTATTTTTAACTAGTAATCAGTCTTGATTAAGTTACTATAATATTTACATAGGCGCATAGGTAAAAAATATGTTGCTAGCTATGTACATGAAGCTTCCTATAAATGTTACATACATTAAACTGTCAAACACCAAGCGGTCACCGGTGACCGCAACCTATTGTTCTTTAATTGTGTCTATAAAACCGGTACTCGACGAGTTAATATTACTAAAAAGATAAAATATTGAATGGACTGTGTGTTAGAGGCGAATTTTATTCAATACAAAGACTGATTTAACCCGTAGTTACGCATATTACTATTAACTTCACCAAAGGTTGACTGACAGAAATAGTGTATTAGAAATAAATATACGCCTAAAAACACAATACATACGCCAATTTTTTCCTTTGTTTCTTGACTCGTTTATCCATTCTAAGTTTTGCCTCATCATCGGAGCAGAAGGAGAATAATTCGAGCAGTGCATCAGTACCATGGCATGCTAACACACTCTGTCCAGGGTCTGTAGAGAGGCCAACCACGCGGCCTCGTCCTCCTCTCACAAGAGTGCCTAATTGGTGACACTGTAATACCTATAATGTCAACATATTGTTGTATATGAGTTACATATTCATCTAGAAATATAGATAGCTAGTTTGTAAAAAGAAAAATAATATTATTTAAACAGTAGCTTATAATGTAGCATAACTGCATAATCTGTGAGTTTTAACATGTACTGTATGTATAAATTAATATATAATAAAATATACAATTATTTTATCTAACAAATCTTACAGATGAATCTTCAATAGTGTCATTTTCTTCTAATTTTACGATTTCAAGTTGTCTGGCTAGCTTTTCTTCATCTTTGACATCAGCTGTCCAGTTTAGTTTCCATACCCTCAACTCCTGATCCATGCTGCCAGTAACTAAATACCTTTCCTCTTTTAAAAGTACTGCAGACCATATCTAGAGAAAAACAAAATTTTTAATTTAGGTTTCCCAATGTTAGTAATAAACTTCAAAAAAATTAATATCATGTTATAGCCTCACTCTAAAGGTTTTTCCAAAAAAATCCAATGCAAGTTAAGTTTATTTAGTCATAATTGCAATTGCTGAATGAAATAGATTAAGTTTTTACACTTCTGTGTATATCATAATATTGTAATAAAAAAGTAGTTATAAACATTAATAATTATAATGAAACGAACAATACAAAATCAGAATTATGAAATTATCAACATCTATAAAGAGACCACACATACTTCCATTTGATGTCCTCCCAAAGTTTTAAAACAGTGTTTTGTTTCTATATCCCAGAATTTTGTGAATGTATCCTTAGACGTGCTGATGACACAATTCTTGCTATTTACAAACAGCACACTGGTTATAGCTCCTTTATGGCCACTAAAGCGAGCCTTACCAGTTTCTGCTACAACATCCCACAAGATCACCTCGGTATCCTGAAAGTCCAAATTTCATAAATTTAAAACTGTTCTCTTTTCGAATGATTTGTGATTGTTTTTGGTTAATGAATTGATTTGTAATTTTGCTTGTTACAAATATCATGGTGTCTTCTAAGCATAAAAGAATCCTTATTTAGGCAGTTTTACTGTATGTACACATCGGTGGATTGTCCAAGTTGCTTATTTTAGTAAGAGTATTTAAAAAGTGTAAACAAGACTAACTTTAATGATTCTATAATTAAGGCAGAACTTACCTTAGCACCCGACACCAAGCGGTGTCCCTGTTCATCATACTGCAAACATGTGATAGCAGACTTGTGACCAGCAAACACACATACAATTTCATTATTGACGAGTTCATAAATATTTATATTTCCATCTACATAGCCCACTGCTACGTGGTTACCACTAGGACTAGCTGCTATTTGTGATACAACTACGTTGTCTCCGGGAAGAACTTGAGCCTGAAGAAGTAAATACCACGCATCAATAATAATGCAACTACAGACGATGGAACAGCAATTACAGATATCCTATAATAAAACCCACTGGAATAGAAAATATAAAAGATTTAAACGATGAATAATAAAGAAATCGAATCTTACCTTCTCGCCCAGCCTCATATCCCAAACCACAACATGTTCACATGCTCCGACAGCAATGTATCGTCCACTAACACCATTTAATGACACATGTGAGCTATTACAATCAGTGCTAGCGATCACATTAAAAGTTCCACTCGGTGCGTAACGTAAATACTGCTTTGTAAGACCCATTTCTAACAATATTTCTCAATTTTGTTTAGTTACCATAACCTCAAATCCCTCAAAATAAAAAAACTAAACAACAATCTGGCACTGGCAATCGTGTGTGTCTGTGATTGACAGCCAGTGACAATACACAAGAGACTGACACTGACACAGACTATAGAGAAGAAGAATTCATAGACAAACAGAAAGCCCTTTTTTTTTTTTTTTTTTAAGGGGGCAAAATCATCGAATAACTGCTCCCGCCTGGGTGAGGCGGAAGGGAGTGTCAGACTCTTACTGACTAAAAACCACCCCGTTCCTTCTCCTGCACGTCGAGCCGGAGCCCCGGTTACCCGTTAGGTTCTCCGCGACTCCGAATCGGCATCGGCCCTATTGGGCCCCATCTGTTGAAACAGAAAGCCCTTAGACACAAAGTTACATAATAATAATTAAAGGGGAAGACTTGGTCTAGTCTATGGTCTAACGTTTTATCCTGTCTATTGTACAACTCTTCTCTTTAGAGTTTTATTTAGCTTACTAAAACAGTTTTAGTAAGGTAACTAAAACTATTCCAAAGAGAGTTGTAACTTTCATACATCCATCCAGTACCTACATTATTTTAATTTTACTCTGTGCATTGCATCTATCCATTGGTAAACTTATTTTATTTTTTGCTTCCACAGATATAGTAGACTATCTATATCTATATTTGCTTCATAGGTTTTTTTTTTTTTTATTTTTTTTTTTAAAGGGGGGAAAATCATCGAATGACTGCTCCCTGCTCCCGCCTGGGTGAGGCGGAAGGGAGTGTCAGACTCTTACTGACTAAAAACCACCCCGTTCCTTCTCCTGCACGTCGAGCCGGAGCCCCGGTTACCCGTTAGGTTCTCCGCGACTGCTTCATAGGTTTGCTTCCATAATTCTGTCTGTTTCTGTCGTGGCCTGTGGTCTTCTTTGTCTATACTTTACGTACAAACAAACTGTTAATCAAAGAAAGATACACAAATCAAAGAGTTCATTACAAAGAGTGTAATAATATAATGTAAATGTTTAAACGTTAGGATGCGTAATAACATTACAAAAATTTGAATTTGGTCCTATTGGTTTAATTGTGGTCAAGTTTTGGTGTCATTGTGTTGTATTTTTTTAGTTATAAGTACGGTTTATATGTCATATTCTGGCCAAAGAGTATAAGAAGTGTACTGGCTGCGGTTTAGCCACGAAAGAATACGATCATAAAGATAGCAGCAAATGGATTCAGTAGATTTTGTGTAGGCATGTGTTGAGATCCATGGATTTCTTTGTTACTGGCAAGGATCAAGGTACTTAATGATCGGAACTTTCTATTGGGATTATGGTTCTTACATTTTTAGCGAAGAAAGAGCTAACGATTGCCGCCACGCGGTGGTTTCAATCTCGGAGACTTGGCCATCCAAGTAGGTACAACTGGAATAAACCGAGATTTAGATGGTGATGATGGATAATTCATGCTATAAAATTACCTGAGTCTTATATCTTGCGCTTTCCAGTCCAGGCATACGCGGGCGTGCATATTATAATCATTATATGATTAGGTGTATGTATGAGAACATAGACTATTCTACTGTGAATTACAGTCATAGGGATGGTCACTATCGCTGTGTAAAGTGCATATACAATGGCAACTATAATTAGTTGTGTATACAGACAAAACATTAAATGGCCTGACATCCTCTGACGATACCTACTGTTTGGAAGTGGGCTGCAAGTGAGGTGCCCCCTAAGAGATGTTTTGACCAATGTCTCAATAAAATAGCTTTTATTAAAACGAAGACTAGGCAAACAGCCTATAGAAGAGTTAGCACTTGGTGTGTGGAATATAGGATTTGATTCTTTGGGAAGCATGAAGGATAGAATCACAATACTGGAATGAAAGTTGGCTCAGGAATAACCTGTTGTGTGTTGGATTACAGTTTCCAACGAGATAGTGCATTTTCTATTGAGTTTCATATAAAATATATGATGACAAGTTGCTGAATAAGCTAACTTCTTGTTTGCTAAACATTTCAAGGCAGCAGTTTTGTCCTTAACAAGTGAGAAAGAGGAAGCTTGTGTAGTCTGCCCACATTCTGCATTATTGTACCTACTACATTTGTCTAAAATTCTTCATTTGTATTCTGTTGTGACTTGATGTCCATCCAAGTTATGTTGCACCAGACTCAATTTGGTTTTGATATATTCTATATTATTATATATTATATATATTTATATTTACATAGTATAATAATATCTGTCATACTTAAAATTGAAAATGTTTCTTTTGACTTATTTGTTGTGGTTTTGCTCTGTTTTTTGACATTTTTGTTTAAAGATTTTTTGTCGAATCTCAAATACTTATTTCTGTTAGACTAAAAAAGGTTGAAAGTCAGAAGCTTTGTAAAAAGTCTATTATTTGTTTGTCGTTTAAGCGACGTTATGTGTGGTTATTTTAAACTTTTCAAATGATTCTTATGAGCAATTACTCTTAAGAAGAATGGCCAACTCCGTGCTTGCTCTTCTAATCATCAGCAAATTTGAGAAATCACTACAGTCAAAACCGTTTATAGAGACATTATGATAGTAATTATGATCATTATAACCAACAGTCGCTATAACCAATATCTTTATGCTTAATAAGACAATAGACTGTGCCTCAAAATTTCGTCGTTATACCCGATTCGTCGTTATAACGATGTCGTTGTAAGCGGTTTGACTGTATTTTCAAGAAGAGAATTTGATCAATACAAGAAATAAAATGAATTTATGAATTCCTTGTCTTTTATGGGTATTCTGTCTACCGCTTCAGAAACAGTCTATTATATAAGGTATTCGGCCGAATAATAGGTACTATTCGGCCGAATACCGAATATCAAATCATGGAAAAAAAGACACATCATATCAATTAAGATACGTATTTATTATCAAATTACAATATTTTAATAAGTAAAATTAATCAATGGTAAGTTGTGATGGATAAAAACAAGCTTTTCAGCATTTGACGGTAGCAAACGATTACGCTTTTCTTCGTAAATGGTACCAGCTTCAAAAAATAACCTCTCACTATACACGCTACTCCCGGGAGAAGAAAGATAAACTTTTGCAAATTTCGAGAGGTTTGGGTATTGTTTGTCATTTGCTGACCACCACTTGTAAGGATGAGCTTTCCGATCTAGGCGATTTGATTTCAAATAAAAATCTATCTCATTTGCCACAGTATTCGTCTCCACGTTCTCCTCATCATTGCTATCTATATATATATAATTCAAAGGTGATTGACTGACTGACTGACTGACATAGTGATCTATCAACGCACAGCCCAAACCGCTGGACAGATTGGGCTAAAATTTGGCATACAGATAGATGTTATGACGTAGGCATCCGCTAAGAAAGGATTTTGATAATTTCCACCCCCAAGGGGGTAAAAAAGGGGATGAAAGTTTGTATGAAACTTTGTCAGTTTTTAACTGATCGGGTTGAAATTTGGCATGCAGATAGATGTTATAACGTAAGCATCCGCTGTGAAAGGATTTTGATAATTTTCACCCCCAAGGGGGTAAAATAGGGGATGAAAGTTTGTATGAGACTTTGTCAGTTTTAAACCGATCGGGTTGTAATTTGGCATGCAGATAGATGTTATGACGTAAGCATTCGCTGTGAAAGGATTTTGTTAATTTTCACCCCCAAGGGGGTAAAATAGGGGATGAAAGTTTGTATGAGACTTTGTCAGTTTTAAACCGATCGGGTTGAAATTTGGCATGCAGATAGATGTTATGACGTAAGCATCCGCTTTGAAAGGATTTTGATAATTTCTACCCCCAAGGGGGTAAAATAAATAGTAAATCTTAATTGGGCACTGAATTGATTCTGATGAATTCTGTCAGAAGTCATTAATCTACGCGGACGAAGTCGCGGGCAACAGCTAGTTTCGCATATTATCTTTAGCGACTTCCTCAAAGCAGTTCCAGAAACTGTCGTGTATTTCAAATGTCTTATCATTTTCGTTCAAGTTTCTTTTCTTACGACGCGCGACGTGGAGGAGAATCGTCATCAGTACTACTAGACTCATCATTACAACTTAGTTTCAGAGCTTCTAGAAGATTTTTTTGTCTTGCTCTTTCTGCTTGAACAAAATCTAGAAAACTTGTTTTGAAGCGTGGATCAAGAAACGTAGCGACTAGATATTTGTTGTTTTCATCAAAGTTAAATCGCTTTTCAAGCTCGGTTTGTAGTGAAGATCTCATTGTCACTAAATTTGGTACTCTCTCTGTCTCTGCCTTTCCCAGATATTTTAATAAAGTTACTGTATGTAGAATCACTTCAGAGATGCAGGAGATACCTGAGCTGGTTATTTTTGTAATCTCTTCAAATGGTTTGAGAAGTTTGATACAGTGGAGCGTCGATTATCCGAACTAATTGGGGGACGTGGGTGTTCGGAAAACCGGTATTTTCGGATAATCGAACTAATGTACATTATATTGATTCAGCCATACATATTTACGTACAGGTAAATGAAAACCATATTATATATTTACATTTATGAATATCTTTAATGACAAATAGAAAATAAACAAAAAAAAGTGCAGACAATCTTGTCGTAAAACTAGTCTTTACTAATTACAATTAACGCTTAAAAAAATCTTGAATCTTCGACTGCCGAAGCAAGCCTACACGCTTACGAGCGGCTAGATCACGTAGTTTTTTGAGAACAGATATTTGATACTGGTCGCTCTCGGCCTGTGTTTCAAACCAGCGCAAGGCAATATCTAAGCAAGTAAACGCTTCAGAAGCACTAACTATGTTTTCATCTTCATTATCTGAACTTGCAGTTGATGTGGTGCTAGTGGTGGCGTCAGCCTTATTAGTCATGAGGTCTAAAATTTCGCTATCCTGCATAATTTGGTACCCGGGATCTTCATCGTCGATACCCATCCATTCTTGAACCTGTTCTTCATCAATCGAGATTTTTTAGCATATCTATCATTTCAGATACATCTTCGTGTTTCTCATTT